ATTGACATTCGTGTAAACGGAACAGTAGCATGAGGGCCCAGCAGTCAACCGCTTTTCGCGTGAGTAACAGCGGGCAGCTTTGCATCTCAGCCAATGCGTCGGTCGCCTGCCTCCACTGGCTATGCATACACTTCCAAGATCTGACGATGAAGGCGAAAGAAGGCGTATGGAGCACCCCGACAATACAAATGGAGCCAGGACAATAGTTGTGGGGACGAGAGGGTGACCCAACATGCAAGTGACCATCTCAGCCCGGGTCGCTTTCGAGATCTGAAGGAAGCCCGTTCAAGCGCGCCACTTGCAAGGGAGCAGAGAAGAGACTGGGTAGCAAAAGCGACCCAACAGCTGCTTCAATGTGTTTCCTTCACACTGGTCACGCATCAAGCCAAGACGAACGAACGCAAGGCCCTAGAACTGCGACAAGCATAGCTTCGGCGGCTTCAAGAAGCCCAATTCACCTTTTCTGCCTGAGCAACTTCACTCAGCGGGGCAGCTCCTCCCGGCCATGCTTGATATACTTACCCACAAGAAGCAGTCTGAGACCAGTCTCGAAGGCAAAGAGCCAAACACTTCGAAGGAGGCAATGGGCTGTCGAAACTACCGTGACATGCTCAGTGCTTCAGGCTAGTCCCTCGCGGAAACGGAGGTGCACGTCATCGCGCTTCCGCTGTCACGCAACCGGGATAAGACCTCCGGTAGAGAAAGGAGCGCTCCAAACTAATGGCATCAGGGAATCCCCAAATCCCATGGTAAGGAGTAAAACCAGCGAGTGATTCGCATCTTAGCCAACGCTCACAAAAGAACTTCGCAGCAGTGCCTTAACTAATGAAGTGGAAGCGACCATCTCAAGCCTAATGCGGTCCCAAGCTGGATAATATTTGGCCTTTTTTTGAGGACAGGATTTTTTTCACCCAATATCCTCGGACGGACGAGGGGTGGATCAAAATCGTACCCGAAGCGTTAAGAGGCAGCAACAAAGGGCCAGGACTGATGCTCAACATGCGGATCTCTTATATCAACCGGACGTTTCTGCCAACCGGCCAATTTTGCACCCCACCCCAGTAAGAAACGTCTCTTCAAGACCGTAAGCGTTGACCGGCGGAGGCATGGACAATATCTTGATTAGATTGATATCCCAGACCGGTGCCGCCAGCAAATCAAGCTCCGACAGATGTTGATTGCGCAGTCTGAAGCATCTCGCAATCAGTTGCATCGGATGCTCCTTTGCACTTGAGGTTCGCTGCTCAATAGAGCAACCTCGTCCCAGCCATTGAAGACCACAGCTACTAGTGCACGAGAGGGAAAGCCTTCCACGAGGATAGAAAGCCGGCCAAGTCAAAGATAACATGAATGAGCCGCCCAACAGGCTCTCGGCACTCCGAAAGACCAGAAAGTTTGCATATTGACGAGCATTTATCCGTCGAGAATAGCGGAGGGCGTCAAGACCTTGTGTCCAAGTACTCATTGCAACGTTAAGGGGGCAGCTTGCATCCCAGCCACTGCTCCGAACACAAGACAGGAGGCGGTCTTGCAATTTTGCAGTCTCTGTATCCCAAGGTTTGATTCACATCCGAAGCCTGCCAACGATCCGGGATCACACCCCCGTCAAAATCCTCACTCGAGAGAGCAATGTCGATCAAGGGGCTGAGGACCGCGAGAAAACAAGCGCACGAGGAGAAATGCACATTTTACAGGGGCAGAGACGTGATCATGGAAGAACGCGCTTGGGCCGTCCAACAGAGTTCTGTTTTCCCGGGAAACAATGATGCGACATTGACGGGCGACATCTCGTGTAGGAGAACAATGGCGTCAGTACGGAGGAGAAGCCTATCGCATATGCGTTAGCGGGCAGCTTTGAATCTTAGCCACGTACTGCTTCCGCAGACAGTCAAGGAGGCAGCCGTGCATAAGTGCAATCTCTGCAAAGAAATAAAAGCAGGTCTGGTGAGCAGCACAAGCTTTTGAAAAGCAGTATGGACGCTCGGGACCAGTCACAAGCCAAACACTCAGAACAGAACGGCTGCCGCAGCTGCCGTTTTTTGCATACGGTCTGGCAGTTCGTGCCGCTACTCGACTCTTTGCTGCTGCTCTCAAACCCCGATAACAGCCTACTGTGATACTCTTCGTCTTATGTGGTGGAGTCCCGATGTACTTAAGCATGGCAGCATAGTCCGACGCCTAGTCTGAGGAAATTACCTAGACGGGACTCTCATTACGGCCACCGTAATAAGATTGCGACACGAAGTGCCACTTTGAAGGTCAACGGTATGGTAGAGCTCGGTGCAGATTGCTCGGAGATGTTACGGCCCCAACTCACAACAAAGTACACGTAGCGAACACAATATCCGGCGGGCGTTAATTAAGTACGTTGCAAAGTTTGACAGGGTGCATCGTTGCGAAAGCTGCTAAGACATGCAAACACTGTTTCTGCGCTACAGTATCATACAAGCGTGCAATAGCTTAACTGGCCTCAAATGCAATGGCTTCGTCCGGACCCTTCTGTGTTTTGAGCGAGCAAAAACTCAGCGCGCAGAGTTCGTCCTAGCCACCCCCTTCAACTTCAACAAGCAAGAAAGAAATAATAGCAAAGCAACAACTCACACCAATTTCCGCCACCTAATCATTGTGACGTACGGCCTCAGGTTTCTTTCTATGACCCAAATGAGCCCGTAGGTCACTAATTTCCAGCCACCAGAGTTGCTCGACCGAATTCAGCAGCCAGTCCTCTAGTACCTTAATTTGGCACCTGCTGCGAGCAGGCATCTTTCAGATGGAGCGTGGATGAGAAGGTAGCTCGAAATGAAGAGTCGATCGTCCGTGCAAAAGATAAAGCTTCGTACACAGTGGCTTCGGATTCACGACACTCCTAATGGGCCCAGCAGGAGGCACGTTTTATCGACATCCCACCATCAACATTTATAGGTTTACTGAGACAAGCCGAGCGCCCCAAAAAGCACGTGGTCGTCTTCTTTTTGGCAAGAAGTACCGCAGCGCAGGTATACCAACAATCCCAGACTTGCAATGTCAGCGGAAATTTTGTTTATGTGTCCGGCCCGGCCTTTGTGACACGCTTGGGTTCAAGCAATCGTAAATTCAGCTCGCGTTTTCGAGAACCAGGCGTACGAAGAAGTGACACGGCACCCGGTGGCGTCAACAAAGGCTACGGACTACAAGCTGCAGTGGGTAAGGACCCGACAGGTGACAGTCATCCCAGCCACTGAATTCGCGCTGATGAAGTAACAAAAGGACGACACCTAAGAAGACGATTCTCTAGGCACGAAGCCATAGCCACAGGAACAGGTCTGAAGAGATTTCTCCACGGATGCTTCTTCCGATGACACTTTAACATGTTCGTTCTACTGTCAATAATCGTGACGGGCGGTTTTGAAGGCCAGTACTCTTGTGATTCTTTGAACGCAGCTTGCGGGACAGCAACCCACCACATGGCAGTGCAATCGGACAATCTTGAGGATCCTTTTGCAGCGTCTCCACATACCCTTTCAAGGCAATCTAAAAAATGGGTGCGCATTGTCTTTGTTTGCTCAAGTGAGAGGCAGACTAAGTGAGCGGGCTCTTGCCAGCGTTCGGAAAAGGGCTCAAGCGACAAGCTTAAAGGGATTGAATCTCAGGCAAACTTCCAACCCTTTGACAAGTACTCTCAACATCGAGGTACAACAAAGGCCGAGTTGGAAGTCTTTAGAAGAATGGCGTCAAATTCCGCAAAATTCAGCTGGTTGTTGGGGATAGTAAGCCCCAGGCAGCCGATGTATTCTTCCTTGCCATTGCTTTTGACGATCTTACAAGCAATTACGGCCTCAACATTACGACCTGCATTGAGTGCTGATTTACAAACCGAAAGCTAGCTGCTGGCACACTTGCAGTGTACCCGACAGGATTTTGGGAGAAGTCCCGTTGAAATGACCCTTTGGACCCCTCACTAGAGGCCACACAAAACGGACCGGTGCGATCACAAGCACACGCGTCATGTACCGCAAGGCGTGTTTGGACAGGCTTCAGCATGGCAGCTTCAACCATTTTCCCTATCCAGGCGTCCGAAGTTTCACAGCTGGTTGGAGCAACGCTCCATACCCTGCGGCAAGAATCTTCCTAGCCATCCTCACCAGACCATTGGCAGATTGAGAAGAGTGCGGCACAAACCACGACGCAACACGGGCTGAAAAGGCTGAAGAATCTACCTCAAAGATCGAAAACAAGGCATTCGAAGGGGTTCGTATACTTCTCAAAGTGAGCTTGTAAGTGAGCAACGAATCTTAGCAGCAGACTTTGCAAGCAGCGGTGAGGAAGGTTAGCCAGAGCGGTCGACCGAGGGGCATCCCTCCCCGCGAAGAGCCCAGATGTAGTGGTTGCGCGGCAGGTATCCAAGGGCTATTTCGCGCGCGCAACGAAACTAACTGTATCCGAGGGCTCGAAGAGACACGCAACCATCTGGGTGATTAGGCACACCCGAAAGAATGACAATCCTCTCTAGCCAACGGTTGTATGCCAGAGCATGCAACCTTTTGTATAATGCTTTGGCCTTCTCTCGCGTTACAATTTAAGCGAAAGGAAAACGTCTATGGAAGTCCAGCTCGCTCACAGGCCGAGCCCTTCCTCTCCCGGTTCCGACCAGAATATTGAGCTTACAGAAACAAAGCATCGAGTTCTCAGATCGATTAGGACAGATGATTGCTGATGATAAAGTAACACTAATCTGCACTATGCGCACGCGCTTCTAAGGCAGTGGATGTAATCTAAAGGCGTTGAATCCCAAGTTTCAATCAATGGCAATCAACGATGGCAACCACTTGGTGGGCAGCAGAGTTCTAGATTATTTTCGAAGCTTCTTTCGGCTTCGTAAGGGTGGCTCCAGTGCACAGTAACAGTCCACTCCAGCAGTGCATGGTGGCAAAGAGGGGTGCATGATTATCGGCAGGACTCTCATCAAAAGATAAGGAAAAAGCTGCTGCAGAACATATTTGAACGCAAGCGGCGAGTCGACCAATGTACAGGTTCAAAATGGGTGTTGCACTGAGTGCCGCATGCACTCTTCAAGGGCCTGGAGCCTTGTTCCCCAATCCAATATAGGACAGCTAGTTCCAACACGTGCAAAGCCACCAACCCTCGCTCTATCCAAACAAACCCCTGTAGAATACACGAAGCATAAGGTCAGATATCGTCTTTGCCGAATGCAATAGCTTGTGACTTCGCGACTTGCTCTCCACCAGACCCCAACGACTGCCGTTTCCATTAACAGCTGGCGGGGTGGAGAATTGCTATGAGACATGGTATCTTCGAATGCGCAGAGGTTTGACGGCTAACGAACTCACGGCTCGAGGCTCGATACACCTTCAGCACAGTCTTCCTGCGTTCCGTGAACGCGAACTCGTGTCGTCGCCTTCAACACCAAATACCGAATACCGTCATCATATTTGCGGCGCCAAATCAAAAGGAGACACAAATAGCTCAACCGCTACGCAAAACACTGAAGGAGCTTGAAGTGAACATACCAGAATGTGAGAAAGAAGCGGCCCCTACCTGGTTTTGAGCTTCTGTTCCCCGACCTTTCGCCGCCCGTACAAGACGTCTCCCAGGTCCTGCTTCATGGGCTCCTCGTCAAATTCGCCCAACAGATCGTAACGCTCCTCGCCAAAGCCCATGTCCTTCCGCCGGTAGACTTCGTATTTGCCAGGGTACACATACCTGCGGGGCACATAAGCATGCAAGATTTCTGGCTTGACGTCCTGATTCTAATAGCAAGACCGATAACTCAAAGGGACGGTAGCCGATTGCGGGCGGGAACTATTGAAGCGCAGGCCTGACCGTAGAGGCATGAGTTCAGTGATTGCAAGTATGCTGGCAGTCCGGACCGCTTTGATGCAAGTTGCGCGTGCTTCAAGGATGCTTGACGTCTCAATGCCATCGGAGGAGGCCTAACCACGCTGAAGCATAGACCTCTAAGGTCAGACCGTCCAAGCTCTCCAACAAAGCGACGGATCGGAACCGCACGACTTTCGGCACAATCATTACAAAAAGAAGATTCCGGCGAAATGAGGATCTAGAATCGGGGAGTCTGGTTGCTGCATACGATTGGTTGGGTCACAGTTGCTAGAAAAGGGTAAAGACTTGACGTCTGTTCAAGAGTTGCTGGGAGGGAGAATCTAGACAGATCTGCGAGGAAAGGAGGATACATAGCAAGTTTTTCGGAACGGAGGGTTTGGTTTACGGTTATTGAGATCGGGAGCATTTAAGGTGAAGTTGCTAGAGTCGCAGAAACTGAGTAAAATGCTGCTAAGGCCGGAGGGCTGTTCAGCCAAGGTCGGTTACGTGAGCGCGCCCATGATGGGGTAGAAGTTGGTGGCGGCCTTGTAGAGCAGCCGGAAGTTGTAGCACCGGAAGAACGACGCGGTGAAGCGCTCGCGCTCCTCGCGCCCGCGGATCTGCATCACGCCCGCCGAGCTGGGCACGTCCTGCAGGGAGAACGCGGGAGGGCTTATGCGTCCGAAGAATTTGAGAAGCGTCCGGAAACTTTGAGCAGCGTCCGACCCCGTACGAGGCCCAAGCGCTTGTCTCGCCCGCGAATCTGCATCACGCCCGCCGAGCTAGGCACGTCCTGCATGAAACTGTGCGCAAGCATTTAAGCGTCCGAAAGACCTGAGCAGCGTCCGAGTCAGTACAAAGTGCGCTCTTCTTGCGCATGACGTGCGCCTGATTAGGGACCTCCTGCAGGAAAAGGCGCACGAATGTATTTCGATTGCGCCCAAAACGACATAAGCAGCGTCCGAACGCGTACGAAGAGCGCTCCTCTCTCGTGCGGATCTGGATACGCTTGCCGAGTTCGGGACGTCCTGCAAACAAGTGCGCGCGAGCGTCTTATCAATGCGTTCGAATGATTCGAGGAGCGCCGAAGCTAGTAAGAAAAGCGCTTCCCGCACCCGCAGATCTGCAACACGCCCGCCGAGCTAGGCACGTTTCGCAAAGAAAAGCGGGCACACATATGCTCGCGCCACTGAACGGTCTGAGAGGCATCCTTAAAAGTGAAAAAGAGGCGATTCAATATCTCGGATGAGCGTTTTGAACAACTTCAAAAGCCCGGAAGCGCTTAAAAGTCAGTGAGAAGCGTACAGAATCCTACCAGGAGCGTCCGCAACTACGTACGCATCATGTTAATCGTCCGAGTTGGGAAAAAAATGGCACCAATTCCACTCAAGCCCAAAATTGTCGAAGAGAAGCACTGACCTTCAGTCGCGGATTCACGATTATCAGCGGCCGTGTTCCCGCAGCCTCCAGCATCGCTTCCAAATCCTGCATTAACCAGTAGTCAAGTACGCACTCTCTCAAGAGTCCGATGCGACACTACCGTTCGTCTGATCAACCACCGTTTGCTCGTCAAGCACTGTCTAACTCCGCGCCGTTCGCTAAGGGGCGCTTGGGGCGCTTTGTAAGCTATAAATGCTTCTATGAGCTTGATTTCGAGCTTGAAGAGCACAGTTACCACAAGATGTTCTCTAGTGCCATTTATACAGTTGTTCTTTCTTATGTATCTAAAAGCAGAAACTGTTTCTTGCTATCGTACTTCTGGCCCGTCACGAGGGGAGCATGCTTTAAGCTGTCCGGTGAATCTACGAATTTTGTCAGCAGACGACCCACAGTGTCATACGGATCTGGACAGTACTCCACTCGTAACGCACACCGCTCGGACAACGGATTGCAACGGAACGGCGGCCTCACCGGAATAATGCAGTTCGCTACCGCGTTTTGGGGCGCCATGACGATGAAGAGGTCGTCCTCATCGGTTACTTCCTTTGCTCCTGGAAATAAGAGGCAGAGAAGCTGAGAACATACTTCGATTGCACACAAGCGTAATCAGGAAGGCGTTGCCTACTTCTCTATCCATCGTTGAGCATGGCCCCAACACAGAAGCAGCTCGCTCTTGTCGCACGTATTTGCAAGCGATGCTACGGGATCATGGAAACAAGGAGACGAAGCACCTGGCAAAGCTGAGCTGTCCCAGTCATATCTCTTTTCTTACGTCTCTGCGGAAGGCGCTTCCAGTCACGGGCCACAACAAACAACAAACGGTGCGATTCACACAAGGGCCGCAACCTGAACTTTCTGGAACAGTTTAGACGTGATGCGTGCAGAAGACTCCAGATTCAAGGTCACCTAAACCGACGGATCCCCAGCGTATGACTCTGGCCAATAATTTTCCGTCTCTTCAACACGCCTGAATCATCGAAGGAAACACGCCCCTCAAAGACGGGTAACACGAAACACAAAACTTTTTTGGACGAACTTCTGACTTTATGGAGCGCTCTTACCGACGGCTCCAAAGCGGATGAAGTTGGCCTTGTCCTCCTCATCCCCCCAGTCCATGCTTTCAATGATGCGCCGCGTGCCGGCCAGCGCGAGGGGCATGCCGGAAAAGATGCCGTCCCCCATGCTGCCCTGGACGCACACCTGCAGCACGGAACGAAGGCAAAACCGGCCGTTAGGGGCCATTTAACAGCTCCCAGGCTTTGCAGATTCAGAGTTTTCGGTTCCTTGGTCTGTGGATCTGCGAGCGGCATGCTGAGACAATGCCGTTCTCCATGCTGCCTTGCACGCACACCCGAAGCAACGGAAACGGGAAAAGGAACGGCAATCAATGGCAGTGATAAGCCTCGCAAAAGTTGTGGTTTTCCTTGGGGTTTATGTGCTTTGCGAGGCTCTAAGCGGCATGCCGGAAAAGATGCCGTCCCCATGGTCCCCTGCCCGCACATCTGCAGCCACGAACACAGAGAAAGGACCGGCGGTTGTCTGTTGGAATGGGCTTTAAACAACTTTTTACTTCAGAGGTATGGGGGTGTTTTCGCCCTCCCGGTAACCAGCCCTCCCAACGTCGTCGAACAGCCGGCAGAAAAGTTGCACACGGCGACCAGAAAACAAGTGAAATATTCGAGGATCAGATGGCGTGCAAACGTCAGCGTGCTCACCTTAACGCGCTTTGCGTCGTCAGCGAAGGTGAAGGCGAGCTCGCGCATGAGCTCCAGGAGGGTGCCAATTCGGTACACGTCCATCTCGGGGTTCAGCTCGGGGATGATGCACCGGATCTGCGGGTGACGTCAGCAAAGTGAGTGCTTCTGATGGTCAATCCGTTTGCGCAGCCTTCTAAGAATTGCCGAACCCGGCCGACGTATAATGTGCTCCGGGCCTCGTCGTTAGTCCTTCCTACATGCCTTTGAGCAAATCACTCGCTTATAAGCAGAAAAAGTGCACAAGGGTTCAACACGAGCATGATCTATTGGGGGCTCCGAACCGGCACGTGACGTCAAGCCAACCAACGGATGACGCAACTGACTTGAGAGAGCGACGCACGTTCTTCCGGTCCATTCTGCGCTCATGGTTCGGTCCTATCCAAACCCGGATGAGCCAGTTATCAGATTGCTCGTGTTCTGTCTTTTTCCGACACTCGGGCCGGGCTTTTCGCACCCAAGCGTTGCGCCGTCTCCCCCTCTCAAAGTACCAGTTCTTTTTGAATCTACTCTTTCAAACGACAGCGGTGCAGTGGAAGTAAATCGGTGCCTCCTAGGTTTGTTCTACCCACCTCTAGTTGGTGCAACCCGTCGTTGACCGCAATCTTGGCCGCCAGGCACGCCTCCCGGTAAAAGTGCTCCCGTATTTCTCGAGGGTACGGCGTCGTGTTCAACCGGAGAGGGATAGGCTCTAAGGAGTCGTGTAAGGGCGCCGCACGGGCTCAGGCCGGGACGCCGTCGCCTGAAAGAACATGAGGGAACATTTCACTCTTAATCTTTGAGTAGTGTGAGGATCCGTAAAGCGGGCTCCGCTACCCACAATCCACGATTTGGTGGCTACCAAGCGGTAAAGAGCGTCGTCTAGCGATCAGCGACGCAACACGCTCTCTTCCTGAACCGGTCTAGCAACCTGGTTTGTAGTTGTTCGCAGTTCTGTCAAGAATTAGTGACATACTGCTTGCCAATTTTCATCACACTGCAATCAGAGTAGCTGCAACAAGCGGCCCGCTTTCGAAGTAGACTAAGCGTGACTACCGCATGCGCACAAATGAAATTAATTAACGGTAAGCAGTGTTCCAACCGAAATGTTTCACGACAATTTGGATGCACGCCTCGGGACTCGATTAGCAGTTTTCGTGAGCTTCTATTTCGATTGGATGGAATCTCAATTCGTTGAATGGACGAGTCCGGATGTCACTTGTTTTTCCAATGAGCTATTACACTAGGAGCACTACCTCCAGCAAAGTGCCTCTTACCGTCTCTTCCGGTGGAGGGACTGCTGCCTCGCTGAGAAGCGACTCCTTTGCTACCTGCACCGTACCAAATTATCAATTCAACTTCTCTTGAAGTTTCAGAAGGACATCATGTCAATGCACGATAGCTCGGACCTCAGGTGAATGCACGATAGCATCTGAGGAATGAGTAGCAAGCTGGCTGCTCTCAATCACAGACCTGACCGGTCATCAGGGACTCCTTATGCAACCGATGGTTCAAAGCTCTCAAAACCTCGAAGTAATGGGCTGGAACTACAGATATTATCCAGCTTAATCTCCTTCTCTAGTCTCTTTTGAGGGGTTTTGCTTCCTCCAAACGATCAGGAACGCTCTTCCTATCTCGTCTTAAGCCACTTGGCCAAGGGGACTGACCGTACTAGTTCAAACAAACTCCTACGGAAAGGAGCCACGAGCAATTGAGCATGTCTTTCGAGCACTGTTTGCATTTTACAGATTTCATTGAGACCCAATTCTTTCGAGCAAGGTCAGCTCGTCATAGTGCCAACACATCCGCAGATTCTGACCTGTGTACGAAACAAGGCGTTTAAAAATTGGCAGCATCGGTCCAGATCATATCGAGCAGTGGGCTACGGGCACCCAGAGACCAATCTCGTCCCAGCTACCATCCCAGTACCAGCAACGAGCACAAAAAAAAGAAGGGACAGGGAATGAAATCGACCTCCGGCACTGAGAACCAAAAAGAAAAGATTTTGACAAAAGCAGCTGGAAATGTCATCAGCGCCACGGCCAAACAACGGTCTCGCAATTTGGCGACGCGTGTGGGCTGCATGTGGTCATGAGCAGAGACGGAGAGCCGATCGAAGTAGCAGAAAAGCAGCCATCTAGTGCAAGTGCTTTGGCAGGCAGAGCCCGTTCAACAGGAAATCAAAGATCTACCCGCAACCTTGTAACGTTCTATGCTTGAGATCTGCCCTTAGCGCGCGTTACGATGGTCGTACTTCAAGGATGTTTGGACGGAGAAGCAGGAAAAAAGAGTGCGGCTAACGGTAAAAGCAGGAAGCCCAAGGAGCAAAAATCAGGTGACCCCCTAAAAGACATGGTTCACCAAAAAGGACATTATTTCGGGCAAACAGATTGGATATATGGGGGACAGGGCAGGGATGGGTAACCCGTCGGCTAACCTAGAACCAGACACTGGCTGGGACAGTGACCGTGAGTTAGAACCTGCTTAAAGTTCTTTCTCTGATCTGCAACAAGACCAGTGGGCACCAGACTAGGGCTTTGCTTGTGAGCTGCTGGCCCAAAGCAAACTTCAAGGCAATCAGAGATTCCATCCCAAAGCAAACTTCAAGGCAATCAAAGATTCCTCATTCCAATGACCATGCTGGTCGGCAGAGGGAAGTGACGTCAGTGCCGGTGAAGATAGTACCCGGTAAGTGCTCAAAGGAAGTGTTGCACATTTTTGGGGTGAGCGGCTCAAACGAGCGCGTGTGAGGCAGGTGGCATCAGGCACTGTCCTCCATACTATGATGGGCACATGAACCCAACAAGGTGCCAGAAATGGTCATCTTTGCCTCCGCACGATAATAAAGACAGAGCACTGCCTCGACAACTTACGATGCAACGCTTCTCGGATAGCCCTCTTAACCGACCCCACTCGCAGCAGACCTCTTCTTCCTACTTCGATCGAGTTCACGGGCATCGAGAGAGGTTCTTATCATTGTCGGCTCTGTTGCCAGAAAACATCAGGGAACACACACACCACTTCAACCGGTGATGATGGCAGGTATCGGCACTGGGGCCGCGCACAGGGATCCCAAAAGCAACCCTCTGGGTAGTTTCGGAAGACATACCAGCGAAACAGAGCATGGAACCAAAATTTGAAAGTACTGGCGTTACTTCCTCTCCGGCGGACACGGACTGACCAGCACAAGCCAGCACGCCCGTTACATCCGAGCCAAGATTCGCCAAGAGTGTATCTGCCAACAGTCGCACGGTCTTTGAAAACTTTCAATGGGCCCGAAGACCGAAGTGGCCATGGAATGGCAGCAGGAAAATACATGCTACTGCCAGGTTGTACCAGTTCTGCAAAAACGAAGGTGGTCCCAGTCTTCACAGTAATAGTAAAACAAACACGTATCTACTGGCGTCATCAATGTTCAAGCAGGTCATCGCGGCCATCAGTATCAGAGACAGACTCGTATCCCCCACGTGTAGAATTCAGTGTACGAGCGCTGTGACGACGTTGAAATATGGAGATTTAGAAAACATCCGCTGGTTCTGCTCAAAGATGGAAAATTCGAGGTGCGAGGGACCAAAGAAAAGACAGCCAGTCAATAGGGATTTACAAGTTGAACCAAGCCAGGCCCAACGCCGGTTCGGCCTTTGCCAAAACCAACTGAAACAGCATGCACGACAATTCTAGAGACTACTTGCAAACCAAAGTTGAATTCTTGCAAGCTGATTGCGCGACTAAGAAGCAGGAGTCCTGTTCCATTCACGTTCGCGCCTGCGGCTGGACCAACGCTTGATTATTGGACAGTGTCAGGGATTGTTAGTGCTGACAAGAACGCTTGACATGGCGGCTTCAGGACCACTCTACACCTTCTGGGCAAAGTCCCATCGGGCGATCTCATCCTGGCCTTTGCCTTCAAACTCGCCACGCACTAATTTCCTATTGGACGGCACATTTTACGCACGTGAGGCAAGCTAATTTGAACGACTCTGTGGAGTTTCAAGCACGGCGCTTGGATGTTGTTACCGCCCCGATTAAGCTTGCGGCGGGGTTTACAGGACCGATTGAAACGTCTACGATGAGAAGAAGAAGTCAATAGGGACGGGCTTTAGTGAAACGCCCGGCTCGAGAATGATGGAAGGACCACACGGGCCTTCTCCTGATAAGCATGGAGGCCTATGCCTTACTGGTCGATCGTCAAAGAACACAAGACTCCGTTCCCGACGCGCTTTAGGAAGTGCTGATGGATGCTCGTTCATAGATAAGCTGCATGCCGTCCTTGAATCTTGGCGTCAGACACCGGTGTAGACTATGATTGTGACCCAAGGGCGCTGCGGATTTCCAGTGTCCTCCTAAGCCTTGCACACGCAGAAAGACAGCACACTACGGCACGCCTACAGGACCGCGAAATGCTGACTCCAGAGGCCCAAGGGACCATTGCAACGTGGCAAAATCTCGGCAGTCCATGGCAGAATACGAAAATACACACAATAATACAACAGGTTTGCACCACCCCGACAGAGCAAACCCTCAAAAAAGGTGTTGATATTGGCTGTCGTACCGGATGGCAGTATCTGGAACCGACTAGAATCAGAGTTGGGAAATCTGGCATGGACTAAACTTTGGTTGCAAACACTGGTACCAAGCAAACTGGAGGGCATTAAAAACCCATGCTGGCCCCGAACCGATTGTGCACATCACTGCCCTGCTTCGGGTTACAACGGCAAATAATCGTTGAGAAGACACGCGTTGACTCTAGAAGCAATAAAACACAGCCAGATATGTACCGCACCAATACAACATGAAAACGTGTATTGTGGCGTCTGAAGATTCCCGCGGATTTGGGAAGTGCCCAACGAGCAGTCACATCCTAGCCCGGGTCGCTTTGGATTTGATAATTGACTTTTGACAAATCTTTAATGCACACGGCACTGGCGGGACAAAGGGGCCACGCACAATCTGAGTCGCCATACTAGTCCAAAAACTAGCGCTTTGCCACAAACCCGAGGTAAAGAGTCAAGATATTAACAGTCACTCAAATCCGGTGGCTCCGAGAGGTGGTCATCAGACATCGCCTGAGCAACCCCACCCCAACGTGGCATCTCTTTTCGGCCATGCATAAGATAGTCAACAACAAAACGCAGCTCGAAACACTCGGTATGACCAGTCGCAAGGTTAGGAAAGCGACACTATTGAACGGGGTAAAAAGCGGAAGCCATGGCCGCCAAAATATGGCTGCCTTTAGTTGCATATAACTTGCGGAGATGGAAGTGAGGCGCACAAGAGACCCACTTTTTCAATAAGAAGCGCTTCAAGACGACGACATCAAGGGATCGTCCCCACATTGGGGAAAGATCCAAGAAGTGATCCGCATCCTAGCCAGCGCTCACGACAAAGCAGCCCTGGAAAGGCTCATCAAAGAAGTTGAAGTGCCAGCTTGATTGAAGACTGCTGAAATGAAGGTGGGCAAGTATAAGATATCTCCTCAACCGTGCTCTCAAGCCGATATGAGGTATGTCCTTGCGAAAAACCGGATCCTTTTACCCTTTGTGCTCAGGCAAACAACGGCGATGCGTAGCATTACCACCTGACCCGTCAAGTGGGAACGACGTACAAAGCCGTGACAAGTGACGCTCACCAGACCTTTTTTCCATACAGCATCCGGCATTCACGCGAACTCCTAAAGAATTTGTCACTTGAGAATGTGAAACGTCATGGACTTGGGAGCGATTGGAAGCCCGGTTTCTAATACAGATTCGGCCAAGGTGTTGCAATTCTTTTAAGAACTTGGTGCCTCAGGTGAATCAAGCGCAGAAGAACCAGAAACCAATAATCGAGGTATGAGAACATCAGCCACGGGGATTGGGACTGCCATAACGCGCGAGCAACACCTCAGCCTGAGTCGACATCGACTTAAATCACGGCGCGACCCATGCTAGATGAAGGAGCACTGAAACTTCTACGTCGCCAGTTCAACTAACGGAGCGCTCTGCCTTTTGGTCGGGCACTTAGGCAAAGCAAAAACTAAAGCGAGGAGTCGGGACAGCAAAAATTGCGTCACCCCAGGTGGCTCTAAGCGGCAGCAATCATCGTCTGAGCAGAGTCACTCAGCAGGGCTTCTCTTCACGGCCATGCGTGAAACACCTATCGACCGAAGGCAGTACGCTACATTCAGGACCGACCACGAGGGCAGCAAAACCAAAGACTTGATTGTCGATGATGGCAACTGCCGTAGCTACCATGAGATGACATCCATTCTCTTGTGTGAAGTGAAGGTGCGCCGCATCGCTCTTTTGCTCTTTCGCGATTACAACAGAGACTACTCGTCGGAAACGGAACGGTCAAGACGACGGCATCAGCAGACTACTTGCCACTTGTTGGGACAAGACCCAGCGAGTATTCCGCGTCCTTACCACGCTCACAAAACAACAACCTCCAAGGCGGCCCCAGAATACAGTAAACATAGTCAGCTCAAGCCTGCACTTCCGACAGTCAGGTGAGCAGACTAGTCGTATCTTTACTCTATTGCTCCGAGCTGGGATCGCCTTTTCCTGAGCCGGTGCTTACTCAACGTACACAAGCAACAGCGGCGGAAAAAAGTGAAACCTAACCACTTAAAAGGAGGACAGGTTGAAGAGAACTGAAGCTCACCATGCAGACCGGTTGTGTGCCAACCCGCACTCGTGCGACTGAGTTAGGAACATCCAACGTGAAAGCAATGACAAACTTGGAAGAGACCGCTGAGGTTTAAGAAACACCCTTGCAGCTTTAAAGACTCGCGGTAAGCAAAGCAAGCCCAAAATAGGAAATTGAATCTATGATATTTTGAAGCATCGCATAGCCAGTGGCATCCGGAAAAACGCACCTCTGCTTGAGGTGTCGCACTCAAATGGGCAAACTCGTCACCGCCAGCGAGGACCGCAGCACAATCGCACAATCGAGAAGAACCTTTTTCGAGAGCAGAGATCCGGAAGACAAATTGCACTTTAATTGGCGTCCGACCCGCATTCAGGCCTCCCAAAAAGAAAGCTAAAAGTTGCTTCAACATCATCGGAGTGACACCCGTGCAAATGGAGCAGCAGCGTCAGGACCCACTACAAACTGCAAGTCGCTTGCAATAGCGGGCAGCTTTGCATCTCGGCCAATACTCCACACACTCAACGAAAGGAGTTCGTGCAACAGCGGGATGTGTACTTGTCCAACTCGCTTCAAGGGCCGAAGCTTGGCATCCTTAACTTCCTGATTGACGCCGACGTATTTACACCTAGGAAGTTTTAGAGAATGAAGGTGCTTAAATGGGCGTTCCTTGATAGCCGATGCCGCACTGAGCGACCGGTCTAGCGACCGGTCTGATGAAGAGAGTTGAGCCCTTGTAGCGTACTTGCTTTGCATCGAAGAAGTAAAGGCTAAGGTTCGCTCGCTTGTACGAGAAGAGATGCATGCAGTTCCTGAATCTTGGTCTTAGACGAAAGTGACACACGCAGTGGAAAATCGTCTCAGAAAAAACAAAGACACCGGCACACCCATACGACCGCAAAAGAAAACGTTGACTCCAAGTGACGAAATCTTTGCCACGGGACAACGTCTCAGCCGTCGACGGCCGAATGAATCGCAGCGGAAAATACAGTTTGTCTACCCCCCTCACGGAGCATGCGTTAGAAAAATGGTCTACAATTGCTCATGGTCTCTAGTTTGTGGCATCACTATCACCCCTCAGACTAGTTGCTGGAACCACCCTGTGGCACCAAACCGACCGGGCGCATCACTGCCTTGCTTCCAGTAACCATGACAGAGTAAAAGCCTTGACGAAAAAAATTGTGTTGATCTCAGAAGAAGTAGAAGCAGCCAGACCTGATCTGCACAGACACGGATCAAGATCGAAGATGCGCCCGTGTCATTCCGTCATCCAACCAAAGCCACCCTCCCGCAGATCTTAGGCTGAAACTCAGGCCGATTCTTCCTTTTCAAGGTTTGGTGCCAAAGGAGCCCACACTTCCGAAGCAACGCATATCAGGGTGTGTGGATAGTTCGATTCACGGCGTGTCGGACGCCTGCCTCCAGTGACTGTGCAAAAAGTCCCACGTTCTCATGATCGAACCAAAAGAAGGCGTATTGAGCACCCCGAAAAATCATAAGGCGTCAGAGCACTAGCCGCAGATTTGGGAAGTGTTCCAACAGGCAAGTGACCATCTCAGCCCGGGTCGCTTTCGGAAACCTGAAGGAAGGCCTTTGAAGCACGCCACCGCAAGGCAAGGGAGCAGAGCATAGACTGGGTCACCCAAGCATTCCAAAAAGTCCTTCCATTCGTTTAGTCTACCTCGTCAAAGCCAAGACTAACGAAGGTGAGGCAATTCAAGCATAGCTTAGGTGGCTTCAGGAAGTACAACCAACTTCACCTGCTTGAGCAACTTCACCCACCGGGGCAGATCTTCCTAGCCATGCTTGACACAGTCAAAAACATGAAGCAGTCTGAGACCAGTCTCAAGTGCACGGAACCAAACACTTCGAAGGAGTCAGCGGGCTGCCGAAGCTACCGTAACAGTCTTGCTTCAGCCCAGTCCCTTGCGGGAAAAAAGGGGTTCCACGTCGCTTTTCCGGTCTTTGGCACACGGGAAAAGGAACTATGTGGAAGAAAGGAGTGCCTCAAGTAATGAAGTGGAAGGAACTATCTCGAGCCTAAAGCGGTTCCAAGCTGGATACAATACGGCCTTTTTGGAGAGCCGTATCAATTCACCAGAGTCGTCAGACACACGAGGCGCTATCAAGGAGTTGTATCCGAATCGTTGAGAGGCGACATCAAAGGACCGAAGATTGATGCTCAACATGCGGATCGTTTCTATCAACCGGACGTGTTTGCCAATCGGCCTTAGCGAGCACCTTGCCTCCGAGCCAATGCACCACAGAGAAAACGAACAGGTCTGCAGGTGTGCACTTCCTATAAACCAACGCTAAGCAGGTCTAGTTCAGCAGTCGACCTATGACACCCTTGCTTTCAAAGACGACGCCGTATTTCCCCGCTTTTATTGTTGGATGCAGATCATAGAGAAGCCCATCAGGGGTTCCAGCTCAAGCTAAGTAACCTCTACTGAGCAGCTTTCTAACAAAACGGATACTTATCCTTCCCATACTTATACGTCTGCGAAAAGGAGTGAGTGACTCTTCAAAAACAGCATTCTGCAGGCGCTTGTATGTCCGCTCGGAAGTAAGAGGGCGATGTTTGATGGCTTCTTAAGTGATGAGCTGCATGTTACTTCGAAGGCTTGGCGTCAGAAGACAGAGCTTCATGCATGCAACGGCAACAATTGCAACTGAACAGCCTCCTCCTAGCCTTCGTCTCAAGAAAGAACAAGATGACTTGAACCTTAAAAGAGAACATATGGTGGCATCAGTCGATCAGCAAGGGCACTGGGACAGTGCTCCAGTGCAAGTAACATATCGGCTCGAGTCTCATTTGACCGTAACATTCATTTTGCAGACTGCCCTCACTTGAAAGGACGCCACTTGCAAGACGGGGAAGCGAAGAATACGCCAACTCGTATACCGGTCATAGGAGGGGCTTCATCTTGACTAGCACCTCGTCGAGCTGATACCAGGTATAGGCGTAAAACTTTGAAAAGTGCTTCACAAAAAGGTGGCTCCTTTCCAATACCCTGATCTGGGCAACTTCACCCACACTGCAGGAGGCTCTCCTCGCAGCCATGCTTAAGAAGGTCAGCCTCACCGAAAGGTGGCATAGTACAAACAGGGCATGTCACAAGGGCAGCGAATCGGAACACCTAAACAATCTGATTGGCGGCTGGAGGGTGATTACGACATAGAAAATCACCATATTGTTCTTGGTCCTGTGTGGCGGAAAGTATTCTTGATTATGCAGTGGCATCACAAGGACTTCCGCCCTGAGGAAGCCACTCAAACGGGCCTCTCGTCATGGCCACCCGTCCGAAGATTGCAAACACGAATTGCTACTCTGGAGGTCAACAGTATAACAGCTGTGTTGACTGCTCGGAGATCTTACGGCCCCAACTCGAAGCAAAGGACATGGGGCGGACATCCTCTTTGGCGGACTTAGAGTACGTTACAGATACTGGTGGACTTAGAGTACGTTACAAAGATTGGTAAGGTCAGGATTATATCGCCTTCGATGACACAACTTGCTCCAAGTTGCGAACACTGTTTCTGCACTACAGTATTACAAAAGCGTTCAATGGCCGAAACTGGCCTTCAACACAATGGCTTCGTTCAGGCCCATCCAGCATCTGAGCAAAGACTCAACGCGCAGATTTCGTCCTAGCCACCTCCTTCAACAGACAAGGAAGAGAACAGTAACAAAAAACCAACCAGACCAATCATTGCGCAACCAATTATTGTGACGTATGGCGTCAGGTATTTTCTCTCTGACTTCAATGAGTAAACAGCCAGTTGGTCAATGTATCCCAGCGACCAGTGTTGCTGGACTGCTTTAGCAGCCAGTCATCCAATACTTCAACCCGGTACCTGCTGCCAAGCAGGCAACTTTCAGAATGGAAGTAGATTGGCGGAACTAAGAGTCGATCAGATCGTCGGTGCACAGGGGAGCTTCAGAGTTTGTGGCTCCAGACTTACCACAGACCTATTGGGCTCAGCACCCAGCAGGCACGTTCCATCGACATCCCCGCCATAACTTTTGATGTGTCGACTGAGTCAAGCGGAGCGCCCTGGACACGACGTGTTAATTTGTTTGCAAGCACCGCGACAGAGGTTGAATCAACGATTCCGAACGCTGACATGCCACCGAGATATACCTTCTTTTTTCCAGGCCTTTGGCTTCATAAAGCAATCCGGGGTAACTCTTATCGTCAACCAAACTTGCACTTTCAGAAACACGTTGTGCGGCTTCAATGGCGTCAGCAGACAAGAGTCCCTTGGATTGGGGTAACGACCCAACAAGCAGCAATCGTCCCAGCCACCGCAGCGTACGAGAAGGGCGAGAGAACAACTCGACCAACGGGTCGTAGACTGCCGAGGCACGAAGGCCAAACTGTGGAAGCAGGTTTGAGAACCTTCCGTTTGCACATGTGTGTCTTGATGGCCGCCGATGGACACGTTTCGTCTGCTAACGAGTTTGTGAGAGGCTGTTCTAAAGGCACTTATCTGAGCCCGGCTTGCAAGAAAGCTACCAAAAACACCTTACAAACGAACAGTCTAAGGAGGGTAGAGCGGCACCTCGAAAGCGACCAAACCCAAGACCGTCTGCACGGATATGGGCAGTCCTAGCTTGCTCATGTGATAATAACAGATGAGCAGACTACTACTTGTCTTTCACAAGGAGGCCCCAACGACCAACCTTTATAGGATTTCAGCCGAAAGCGAACCCGTTGGCAGGTATTCGTAACGTCAAGACACGACGAAGGCGGAACTAATATCCATCAGCGCGAAACCGAAAGGACGTTGATAGGAGTGGCAAGGTCAGCTGCATGGGTTTGGTATCCTCATGCTTACAAGAAGAGATCAACGTCTCAACCAAAACGGAAGTATTGAGGGGCCGGGGCAATTGATGCCTCCTTTGCGTTTCGACTGCCACCCTGGGCACAAATTACGAAACCTTGTGTCAACTATCAACAACGGAGCACATCCTCCTTACGATCGTTCCTGTGCGTGACAATAGAACATAGCGCCAAAGGATCACGTACTGCGACCTCAAAGATGGTTCAAACAGCATTACAGCTTGTCATCAAATTATTCGAACAACTCCGATCTACAAGTTATCGCTAGTTAAGAGGCCTTAGAAGAACTCAAATCAGGAAGGAGTTGAGTGTAGACAAGCTTTAGCATGGCAGACCCAACCAACATCCTTTCGGAGGCGTCCGAAGATAAATAGCTCGCTGGAGCAACGCTCCATGCCTAGAAGAAGAATCCTCCTAGCCATCCGCACCAAACTTTTGGCAGCTTGAGAAGAGTACGGGACAAATCACGATGCAATCGGGGCTGAAAAGGCTGACGAATACAACTCAAAGTTGAGAACAAGACATCAGAAGAGCCTCATATACTTCTCAAAGTCAGCTCAGAAATCGGCAACGAACTTCAGCGGCAAACTATGCAAGCAATCATGAGGAAGGTTTGCCAGCCCGGTCGGCCGAGGGGGATCCCTTCTTGTGAACAGCCCAGATGCAATGGTTGCGCGGCAGGTATCCAAGGGCTATTTCGCGCGGGTGCAGCGAAACTATGTGTATGCGAGGGCTCGAACAAGCACACAACCGTCTGGGTGATTCGGAACACCTCAAAGAATGACAATCCTTTGTCGATTCTTCTAGCCAACGCTCGGATGCCAAACCATGCAACCTTTTGTACAATACTTTGGCCTTCTCTTGCGACGATCACACATAAGCGCAAGGAAAACGTATGTTGAAGTCTATCTCGGTCACACGCCGAGCCTTTCTCTTGCGGTTCCGGCCAATAGATTAAGCTTACCAGAAACCAAAGCATCGACAGTGTCAGACTGAATGGGACAGATGATTGCCGATGATAAAGTAGCACTAGTCTGCACTATGCACGCGCTTTTAAAACAGTGAATGTAAACTAACAAGTTGGATCACCAAATTGCAATCAGTGGCAATCAATGATGGCAACCAATCGGTAATCAGCAGAGTTCAAATAAGTTCCGAAGCTTCTTTCGGCTTCGTAAAGATGGCTCCCGAGCACAGTGGTGACAGTCCGCTCCAGCGGTCCAGCAGTGGTTGGTGGCAAAGAGCGGTGCAGGATTATCGCAGGACTTTCATCAGAAGGTGACAAAAAGCTGCTGCGAAACATTATTAAACGCAAGCGGCGAATCGACCAATGTACATGTTCAAATTGGGTGTTGTACTGAGTGCCGCATGCACTCTTTAAGGGCCTGGAAGAATTGCTCTCCAATCCAGTATAGAACAGGTAGTCAAAACGTGCGAAGCCAATCTCCATCGCTCTATCCAAACAAACCCCTGCAGAGTACCACGTGTATATAGGTCAGATACTGTTCTTGCATGATTCCCACATGCTTCAGAACTTGCTCTCCGATTAGAACTGCTACTGCCGTTCCCACCGACAATCGGCGAGGTCAAGAAAAGGTTGTGACGTGCGTATCTTTCGAAAGGGCAGTTTTTGACAGGCCATGCAAATCTTCCGCGCTCTATCGATCGCGGACTGCATCGAAGAACACCGTCATTGCGATTCAGATCCAACGAAGAGACAGACAGCTCAACAACTCAGTAAAAGTCTGATAAATCTTGGAGGGGAACATAGCAAAATTCGGCAGAAAAAGTGGCCCCGTACCTGGTTTTCAGCTTCTTTTCCCCAACCTTTCGCCGCCCGTACAACACGTCCCCCAGGTCCTGCTTCATGGGCTCCTCGTCAAACTCGCCAAGCAAGTCGTACCGCTCCTCGCCGAAGCCCATATCCTTCCGCCGATAGACCTCGTACTTGCCAGGGTATACGTACCTGCGAAACGCCGAAGAGGTGTGAACAGTGCAATTTATGGACTCAAGTAGCAGCGAAATTCGAAAGTCAATTGCTCAATTATGGCGGCAGGTCGAGGGGCATCGACTCCAGAAGGACAGGCCGAACGCTAATCGGCAAAGTCCAATGGCTAACAAACACGTCGACAATCCCAATCGGCTATAAGCGAGCAAAGCTTTGCTTCCGGGCTGTTTGGAGTGTCATCGCAATCAGAGGACGGCCTAAACATTCCGTGCGGCGGGCCTGAGGACGTTTGGAAACTTGAATCCTGACGCTCGGACCTTCTTGCTCTACAACAAGGCGAGGAACCGAAACAACGACTTTCCGCCCAGGTCTTACAGAACGACGTTAGTAGCAGAATGACTTTGTGGGATCCGATGATCGGGCCGCTAGAATTGGACGATTTGCGTCCAATCGATAAATAGGAGGATTTCGATCAAAGACGTCTACCTCACCGCGCGCCCGTGATAGAAGAAACGTTTTTTTAGACTGAAGGGTGTATGTTAGAGTCGCTGAAGTAAACATTTGTTGACGCTGGTATGAGTGGTTAACTCTGATTCATGCTGGCTATGATTGAAAATTCCAGGTTCACACTGTGAGGATCGGAGCGTTGAGGTTCACGGCCGGCTACCTGAGTGCGCCCATGATGGGGTAGAAGTTGGTGGCGGCCTTGTAGAGCAGCCGGAAGTTGTAGCACTGGAAGAACGACGCGGTGAAGCGCTCGCGCTCCTCGCGCCCGCGGATCTGCATCACGCCCGCGGAGCTAGGCACGTCCTGCAGGACAAAATGCGCGAGCACTTCTGCGTCCGAATGATTCGAGCAGGGTCCCAAAAGATTGAGCTGCTGTGTCCGAACGTCCAAAAACTCTCAGGAGCGTCGGGCTCCTTACGAGGAGCCCTTGTCTCGTCCGTAACTCTACATCGTCCGAAGAGCAGGGCACGTCCTGCAAGAAACAGTGCGCGGGCGTTCATGAGTCAACAAAATCTTAGCAGCGTCTGACTGTGTCACTATTATTACACCCCATTGTTGTCGACAATAACATCAAGTAAGACTTGCCGTCGGCGTCGGCATGCACTGGGGCACACGAGTCTTCCTCCCAAGAGTAGCGGTACTCCAAAGTTCGTCAAACCTGCCCGCTTGACAGACTTTCATTGCAGAAACTTGAACCGTGATGTAAGAGGAGCGCTCCTCTCGCGCGCGGATCTACATTATGCCGCAAGATACAGTGTGCGAGCATTCAAGCGTCCGAACCAGCTGAGCAGCGTCCGAATCAGTACGAGGAGCGCTCCTTGCGCCCGCGAGTTTACACTATGCCCGCCGACCTAGGCACGTCCTGTGGGAAAAAGTGCGAGAGCATTTGTGCGTCCAAAAAATAAGCAGCGTCCGAATGAGTACGGCCCGGGGGGACCCGCTTTTTGCGCCCGCGGATCTGCATACGCCCGCCGAGTTTGGGACGTCCTGCAAGAGAAGCACGTGAGCATTATGCGTCCGAGAAATTTGAGCAGCGTCCGACTCTGTACAAGGAGCCCTCCTGGCGTCCGTGAACTTGCATCACGCCGGCTGAGCTAGGCACGACCTGCAAAAAAAAGCGTGCAAGCTTGTTCGCGGGCCATCAAATGGCTTTACTAGCGTCCGTGAACGTGAAAGAGGCGTTAAATTCTTGGTAATCTGGTCTTGAGACGATTTTACACTTCCGCCGAAGCGGGGCCGAAGCGTTTCAAAATCAATAAGAAGGGTACAAAATCCTACTAGGAGCGTCCCGAAGAACGTACGCATCATCCTGATGTCGTCCGATATGGGAGAATTTGGGACCTACTGCGTTTCAAGCCCAAGAATTGTGAAGCGAACCACTGACCTTCAGTCGCGGGTTCACTATAATCAGCGGCCGCGTTCCCGCAGCCTCCAGCATCGCTTCCAGATCCTGCAAAGAGCAGTAGCCATTACGCACTTTCTCAAGAGTCATTTGCGACAGTACCGTTCGTTTATTCCGCTTCCGTTAGCTCCTCGAGCACTGTCTGACTCCGCGCCGATCACAAGGAACGCTTGGGGCGCTTGGTGTGCTATATATGCTTCTATGACCTTCATTTCGAGCTTCAAGAGCAAAGTCACTACGAGAAGTTCTCAAGTGCCATTTATACAGTTCTTCTTTCTTTCTTATATATCTATCTAAAAGCAGAAGCTTTTTCTTGCTATCGGACCTCTAGCCCGCCATATGCCACGAGGGGAGCCTGTCTTGAGCCTTTCGGTGGATGTACGGAATTCGTCAGCAAACGACCCACAGTGTCACACGGATCCGGACAGTACTCCATTCGTAAGGCCTGAGAAACTGCCCAATAATGGTCGACCGAGACGGGATAACACTCCTCGGACAACGGATTGCAACGGAACGGCGGCCTCACCGGAATAATGCAGTTCGCAACCGCGTTTTGGGGCGCCATGACGATAAAGAGGTCGTCCTCATCGGTTACTTCCTTCGCTCCTGAGGATTGAGGCAGAGAGGGTGAGAACAGATTTCCATTGCACACAAGCTTGATTAGAAAAGCGTTGCCTTCTTGTTATTTTCCGTCGTTCGTCGAGCATGGTCCCAACACAGAAGCAGCCCATACTTGTCGCACGGCTTGGTTTGCGAGCGACGCTCCAAGATCAAGAAGCGAAAGAGAAGAAGCACGTAGCAAAGCTGAGCTGTCCCGCTTGTATCTATTTTCTTGCGTCTCGGCAGGAGGCGCTTCAGCCACGGGCCACCAATAAGCCGGATTGATTCGCCACGAAGACCGCAAACGTGGACCGAATCACAATTGAGACCTGAAGGAGGCGAAAGACTCGAGATACAAGTCGCCTGTGCCGGCAGCTCCTTAGCATATAAATTTGGCCGCTCGTTCCCGTCCTTCAACACGCAAGGATCATCTAAGTAAACAAGCTTCTCAAAGAAGGGTATCACACTATTAGGGAAAACACCTCCTCGAAGATGAGTAACATGAAACCCTCAAAGAATAATTTCGAGGAACGGAACTTCTAGCGTTAAAGAGCGGTCTTACCAACGGCTCCGAAGCGGATGAAGTTGGCCTTGTCCTCCTCGTCCCCCCAGTCCATGCTCTCAATGATGCGCCGCGTGCCGGCCAGCGCGAGCGGCATGCCGGAGAAGATGCCGTCCCCCATGCTGCCCTGCACGCACACCTGCAGCACCGACACGAGAAAGAGTCGGCGGTCAGCGGCGGCGACCTTCTCGACCTTCTTTCGGCGGCGAAAAATTCTGTGCTTTAGGCTTCTGAGTTGTCGACCTTAGGCTTTGCGAGCGGCAAGACGGAGACGATGCCGTCCCCATGCAGCTTTCAAATGTAAACCTGCAGTAAGGAAACGGAGGCAGAACCGGCAGTTAGCAGCAGCGACCAGCTTTGAGCGAGTTCTAAGTTTAGAAACGTGGTTATCATAAGATTGTAACGCTGCAAGCCGCACGCCGGAAAGATACAGTTTCCATGCTCCCCGGCACGCACACCTACAGAGGAGGTCGACGGAAGAAGCGGCACTTAACAGCAGCAATGAATAAGGATTTCGTCGCTTTTAAGGTTTGGGAACGCTTATACCCTTTCCAAGCAACCCCTACCAACAACTGAACGGCCGGCAGAAAACATCGCACTCGACGGCCACGAAAGAAGTGGAAGCTTTGGATAGCAAGACGACGTGCTGACGTGAGCGTGGCTCACCTTGACGCGCTTGCCGTCGTCAGCAAAGGTGAAGGCGAGCTCGCGCATGAGCTCCAGGAGGGTGCCGATCCGGTACACGTCCATCTCAGGGTTCAGCTCGGGGATGATGCACCGGATCTGCAGGTGATGTCAGCAAAGTGAGTGCGTATGACGTCAACAGTTGAGCGCAGCCGTCTTCTTATCACAGAACTCGGGCCGTACGACGCGCTTCCTTGCCTTGTCACGAGTCCTTCTGCGTGCTTGAGCAGGTCAAACTCCTAGCAGGAAAAGCGCCGAAAGGCTGAAATTGCGGGTACATATGGAGGCTCAAACCGGCACGTAACTTCAAGCCAACGGACGGATGACGTCACACACTCGATTAAACAAAGGACGTCATGCATGTCTATTCTCCGCTCACAATCCGGTCCTTGCCTTTCACAACTCGGATGAGCCAGTTGCTAGGCTGCTCATTCCGTCGTTTGCCGACCCTCGGGCCGGGCTTTCCGCAACCCGAGCGTTGCACCGTCTCCCACCCTTCGAAGTAGTGATGCTTTGCAAACATCGTCTATCAAACGAGAGCTTCTCAGTGGAAATCAAAACAAAAGATGCCCCCTACTTATATTCAATCTAGGGCACCCACCTCTAGTTGGTGCAACCCGTCGTTGACCGCGTTCTTGGCCGCTAAGCACGCCTCCCGGTAAAAGTGCTCCCGAATCTCGCGGGGGTAGGGGGTCGTGTTCAGTCGCAGCGGGATGGGCTCTAAGGAGTCGTGTAGGCTCTCTGAAGGCCGCCGCACGGGTTCCGGCCGGGGCGCTGTCGCCTACAAGAAAGAGGATGACTTCCGTTGGATATTTTAGAGACAAACATGTGTAATATTCACAATCCTTCTTAAAGGCGTCGTGTCCACGAAGAGGAATGTGCTCCAGAGATGTTAAAGCTTCTTTGAAGGCCGCCACACTGGGTCAGGCCGGGACGCTGTCGCCTAACAAACTAATAATGAGTGTTCGTCAGAAGCTTTGCAAAAGCTAAACATGCTTGAAACTTGCATGTTCTGCTAGGCCGTATCGGGTTCGCCTTTACATAAATACGCATGTTGTCCGAAGGGCGCCGCACTGGCACAGGCCGGGCTGATTAAGGGAGGAGAAAAATGACGCTGTTGTCATGTCACTTCGAATACGGATTTTGGTGGCTGCCAAGCGCCAAAGAGCATCGCTTGCAATCAAGACCGCATGCTCTCCTCTTAATATGTAGTCTTGTTTTGTCAAAAACAGGAATACAAAGTTTCCTCAGTGAAAAGTTGTCTCGAAGACTTTTTGGTAGTGCAACGAGCGGCTCTACTTCAAGAGTTGAAAAACGCAGTACCTGCAGGTGGCAACCGCTTGCAGACCCTGAACTCCGACGTAGTAAGCGGTGATACAAAAGCAATCTCCGTAATATTCCATCGGGGGGCTGTCTAGTAGAGTCCAGTGGGAGGTTAAGAATCTTATTTGGTTGGATTCGTGTAGGTTTCGACTTGATCTTGGTTCCACACTGACTTTATACCAGCGTAATGACTTAAACCCTCCAAAGCGAGTGCATCTTACTGTCTCTCCCGGTGGAGGGATTGCTGTCTTGTCCAAGAGCGACTCCCGTGCTACCTGCACCGCATCACGTCATCAATCAAACCCCTCTTCAATTTCAAAAGCTCGGACTGAATGCTAATACGCAACAGCATTGGCGAAACAAGTAACAAGCTGGCGGCTCTTATTTTCAGACCGGACTGGTCCGGAGGAGCTTCTTATGCAACGGGTGAAATCTAAAAAGGATGCAGAGAATTCTGGAGATTTGTAGATCTCATCGAGCCCAGGTTTTCCTCTACATGTTTTGAGGAGTTTGTCTGCTCCAATCGTCTCGGACACCCTTTCCACAATTTTCATCAGGGACGCTCTCCGTAACCTCGACTTCCACTTGGCAAAGGGAACCGAAAGACATGAATTCCACGGGAAGGAGCCAACAGCAAATGCCCATGTCTTCCCAGCACCGTAAGCGTTCTACATGAGTCCTTCAACTCTTCGGTGCATATCAGCTCATCCTGATGCGAATTGATCCTGGTGCGAAATAATTGTAGATTCTATAAGCCCGTGCACGAGCCGGTCCAATGAGGGAGCTGGCAGCATCAGTTTACCATCCAGACATTAGCAATGGGCTACGATCACCCAGAGTCCAACCTCGTCCCAGCCACCACCAAAATACCGGAAACAAACGGGTAGAACGAAGGGGCAGAGGATGAATATAAGCCTCCAGCACAGGAGAACCAGAGGCAAGAATCCAATAGAAGCACCTCAGCAAGTTCAACGGTGCCACGGCCATACAACTTCGAATCGCAAGTGGGCAGTGCATATGAGCGGCAACCTCTACAGAGATCGAATATCCATCGAAGTAGCAGTACGGCAGCCATCTAAAATGCAACTACTTTGGCAGTCAGAGCCGGCTGGACAGGAAGAAAACCCACCGCAGGCTCTAACCTTTCTGTGCTTTGGATCAATCCTCAGCGCGCACTACGATTCTCAAGCTTCAACGTTGTTTGGGCGAAGAAGAAGAAGAAGAAGAAGAAGAAGAAGAAAAGAGTGAGGCCAAGGGTAGCAGTAGGAGCCCCAAGGAGTAAAAATCAGGTGACCCTCTGAAGAACACATACATGTTGGAAAAAGTAAGGATGCGGTGTTGAGTGAATTGAACTATAGCAAATCAACAGCCGTACAATGCTGCCACCTTGCGTAGGCAAAATCGTCAATGTCCTCGTCCGGCACCTGCCTAAGCAGCCCAAAATTGAAGATTGCCGCACGAATTGGTCGTGTGAGAAGTATATCAAGGCTTTGGCTGTCGGTCGCCTGCCCCCAACGACTGTGCAAATAGTCCCCCTTTTTGACGAACGAACCAAAAGAAGGCGTATGAAGCACACCGACAATATAAATGCCGTCCGAACATTAGCCACGTGGATTGTCAAGTGCCCCACTATGCAATGACCATCTCAGAGCAGGTCGAGTGAAAGCGCGCCACCCGCGAGGCAAGGGAGCCGACTAAATAGACTAAATAGCCAAAGCACTCCGAGAACTGCTTCCATCGTTTATACCGGCAACGCATCAAGCCAGAACGAACGAACGTGAGGCCTGAAATCACGACAAGCATAGCTTCGGTGGCTCCAGGAAGCAAACTCCACCTTGCCTATTTGAGCAACTTCACGCAGCGGGGCATCTCTTCGCAGCCATGCTTGATTAGTCACTAACAGAAGTCTGAAACCAGCTAGTCTCAAGTGCACGGAACCAAAGATTTTGAAGAAGTCAATGGGGGCTGCCGAAGCGGCTATAGTTTGCTTCCAGCCAGTCCGTTGCGGAAAGGAATGTCCGCCGCATCGCTTTTCCGCTCTTTCGCGACCGGGAAAAAGGACGATTTTGAGGAAAGCAGCGCTCCGAACCAATGGCATCAGATAATCGCCGCTTCGCATCGTGAGGAATACTAGACCCAACAAGGGATTCGCATCTAGCCAGCGCTCGCGGACAAAACTACTCCGGAATGGCTTAAGAATTGAAGTGGAAGGAATTATGGCAAAGCGTTTTGCGCCGTGAGATGTGTACACACGTCCTTTTCGAAAAGCCGGATCTTTTCACCCGTCGTCCTCGGACAAACGAGGGGCAGATAAAAGTCGTACTCGAACCGTTAGGAGGCAGCAATAAAGGGGCGACGATTGATGCTCGCCATGTGGATCTCTTCAACCACCCGGACATTCGCCGACCGGGCAATATCGCAAGTCAGTAAGAACGTGTCTTCAGGAACGTACGGTGTTGACCGACTCATAAAAACCGGAAGCATTGCAAGAATATTAAATTGCAAGTTTGCAGTACCCCAGACCGGCGCGGCCAGCAAATCAAGCACCGACAGATGTTGATCGCGTAGTCAGTTGGAACAAAGCATCTCGTAACCAGTGGCGTCAGATGCGTGTATCCGCCATTTGAGTTGCGTTAGCTCAGGAGAGCGATCTCGTCGCAGCCATCAGCTTGAGAGCTACGACTACTACAGCATGCGAGAGCGAAGACCTTTCATGAGGACAGACATGCTGACCAAGACGACGAGAGAATGGATGAGCCGGGCAAAACCTTCTTAGAACTTCAAAGGACCAGATGTTCTGCATGTCAACGAGCTGTTACTCGTCCAGATAAGCGGAGGGCGTCAAGAGCTTGTGTCCAAGTACTCATCGCAACGTCTAGCGAGCACCTTCCATCCAAGCCACTGCTCAGAAGATGGAACAAGGAGGCGGCCGCGCAGATTAGCAAGACTTGTAAGCCAAACGCGAGCAAGCCCGAATGACAGCGGAAGCTTATCAATGTTCCGGAGATTCCCCGACGGTCAGCTTACTCAGAGAGCAATTCCGACCCACGGAGGACCGCTAACACTAGTCCCAAGAGGAAACTTTACCTTCTAAAAGGGTAGAAACGGAATGAAGATAAGAGTACTTGCTCGGGCCTTCGAACACGCTGTCAGAAGCCTCAAACAAAAGGGCGGCGGACATTTCGTGTAAGTTTTGAGTTCAGTAGCGTCAAGATGGTTGTAGCAAGCCATCGATCCGTTAGCGGGCAGCTTTGCATCTTAGCCACTGCCTCATAGAGGCAGTCGTACAAAAGTGCAGTCTCTGCAAAGTAGTCACAAAGCTGATCTGATTAGCAACAGAAGCTTCCAGAGGTTCTCGCTTTCTACGAAGACGCCAAACTTCGCACACCTGCAGCCAGATCTGCTCAAATTAATATTCTCAACAAATCAGCAACAAAAGCAGTATGGACGCTCGGGACCAGTCACAAGAGGAGGGGCAACCCAGCACTCAAAACAGAAAACGGCGGCTGCCGGAGCTGCCGCTATTTGCATACGGTCTGGCAGCTCTTGCTGCGACTCAATGCTTTGCTGCTGCTCTGGAGCCACGAAAAGAGCCCAACATGTGCCAGTTTTCATCCAATGTGATGGACGTTATACTAAAGAAGTGGCATCATAGCCTGACGCCCACTCTGGGAAAACCACCCAGACGGGACTCTCGTCACGGCCACCCTATTTGGGATTGCGACACAGATTGCTCCTCGGAAGTCAAATAGCAGGGCAGCTGTGTTGATTGCTCGAATGGAGACGGCCCCAGTTCGGGGGGGGAAATGTGCTGACAATGGCTCCAGCGGACCTTAACTACGTTGCAGAGTTTGAGGAGCTTAAGATGCATAGCAACTCTAGTGTCACAGCTTGCTAACACTTGCAAACTCTGTTCTGCGCTACGGTAATACACAAGCTCGCAATAGCTAAATCTGGCCTCTAACAGAGTGGCTTCGTCCAGGCCGCTTCTGCGTGTGAGCAAAGACTCGGCGCGCAAAATTCGTCTTAGCCACTCCCTTAAAGAAGCCAGAAAGAGAGTAGTAACAACGAAACAGCCCAGACCAATTTGCGCAGCCAATCATTGTGACTTATGGCGTCAGGTTTCAATCTATGACCAAATGAGCAAAATAGCCCGTAGGTCGATGAATCATAGCCGGCAGTGTTGCTGGACTGCATTAGCAGCCAGTACTCCAGTACTTTACTTTGGCACCTGCTGCCAAGCAATCTCCAGAATGAAAGTGGATCAGAGAAAATCCGTAAATAACGGGTCAATTTAAATACGAGTCGACCGTTTGTGCACAGAATACAGTGGCTTCAGGCCAACGACACACGATTGGGCTCAGCACCCAGCAGGCACATTCCATCGACATCCCCGCCATCAGTTTTGATATGTCAAATGAGACAAGCCCAGCGCCCCAGGAAGTGTGCTCTCGTCTTTCTTTATCAAGTACTGCAGCAAAGGTATACTTACAATCTCTGCACTTGGAATACCACCGGGAACCTCCTTCTTATGTCCAGGCCTTTTGCTTCGAGACGCACTTCGGCTCGAGTATTATCGTCAACCAGGCTCGCACCTTCGGATAACAACTCATCCGCAGAACAATTGCAGCGTGCCGGTGGCGTCCACAAAGGCTGCAAACTTTAACTGGGGGGCGGACTCAAGAGGCCGCGACAGTCATCACCGCCACCGCACCCGCATTGGATATCACACAGAAGAGCGACACAAAAAACAAAGACTGCCTAGGCACGGAGGCGTGACCACAGGAGTAGAGGGGTATTGCTGGCCTCTGTTTTGCAATTTTCTGAGCAGCAGCCTGCGGGACAAAAATCCGTCGCAGGTCATCGCCATCGGGAGGTCTGATAACGATTTGGGGGCATCTTTAGATGATAAGTGGAGGAACCTCTATCGGTACATCTGCACGGGGTACGAGCACAAACTCTGCGCAGAGGGGAACGGTTGAGCAACCACTAAAAACGAAAACGAAGGCCGAGCGACCAGCATTGACTGGCTTTCAGCGAATAGCAAACCCTTTGGCAGATACTTACAGAATCAAGGCAGAGCGGATGCTAGTCGGAAACATTGAGTTGACCAGCGTTTCAGAGGAGTGGCGTCAGGGACCCGTCTCAATCCCGCTGTGGAGGTAACCCCAGGCAGCCGGTGTCGCCTTCCTTGCCATTCTAATTGACGATCTTACACCAAAATAACGGCCTCAAAAAGGTACGGTTATACTTTCCCCAGAACTTTTAACCCTAGCTTACAAGTGCTACGAGTAACACAAAAGGATTGATCAAGTATCCCGGTGAGGGGACGATTTGTGCAGGCCTTCGAGTTATTTTCAGCGGCCAGACAATATGCACGATCGCATAAACGCAAGCAGTTGTGTCATATCCACCGACGAAGTGCGGCTCTGCTTGAGAGTCGGGCAACAGTGCGGTTACTTCACATCCGGATGCGGCTTCCGATGTCCAGAAGTTGTGACCTGAAAAGCAATTGGACAAGTCTGACGTCTCCAACTGAGTCTTAGCTTGGAGCCATGGGTGGTGTCAGTAAGCAACGTGCAAGCATGGCGTCGATCGAGCGACACCAACGGCGCACCTCCTCCTGACCATCGTGCCCGTGCGTGAAAACGCGACAGAAGCAAAAAGGAAATCACTGTGACCTTGCAAGGTCAGAGTGTTCGCAAAACCAGTCATCAAGGACCACAAGACTTATATGAAGTTTTGCGCTCGAACATAACCGTCTTCAAACGGCAGCTACTAGTGCGCCCAGGCTCATTAAGTAAAGTTTATAAACCGTTGATCGATTGGAGCTGCCTACATGGACCCGAAGGGAAGCATCGTATGTCATCGGATCCACTGACACGCCTTCAATATACGGGTTATAACCGACAGGCAAGCCCTTGCGAGGACTCTGATCATCAAACTGTGAGAGTGAAAGAGAAACTCTAGCATGGCAGATTTGAACACGTTTCCACTAGATGGCGTCAAACGGTGTCGTGTTTGGGGCAACGCCCCAAGCTTTGAACAACAGCTTTCCTAGCCTTCCTCATCTAGCCATCGCTGGTTGACAGGTCTTGAAAGCATATTACGGCGACCCGCGCAAAATGGGATTAGATAGGGTGAAGTCCTTCCGCAGAGATCAGCCTTGAAAGCCAACGGAAAGGGAATGGCGGCTCGTCCGCACCGACATTTCCGACGATTAGCAATGATTTCTGAGCTGCAGACTTTGCAAGCAATGATACAGAAGCTTTGCATAACTCCCGGGTGAACTGGATCTTTCCTACGAACAGCACAGATGTACTGCTTGCAAGGCGGGAGCACGTGGTGTTCGGTGGCGGTTCGGACGTGCAGTCAGACCTAAAGTGCGGGCGAGGGAACAAAAAACCTCGCAGCCAACGGTTGAGAAACAATAACCGAACCAGAGCTTTTGTTCAAGCCGTTGACTTCATGTAGACGAACTGACGGCAACAGAGCAATCCACCGTACAAGGTAGCGTACCCTACAAGGTATCTGAACAATAGCGGTTCCGTCGTGAGAGCCTCCACCAGACAAACCAATTGTACTTCAAGAGAAACGGCAAATTCGGTTTCTACCAGACGACCACTTGACCGGAGCCAGGCGCATGAACACTGTTTGCCCCACGTGTCAGAGGCTGCCATGCGTACGCATACAGACTGGCAAACGTCGCTGTTCGATGGCGTCAGAACCGCTGCACCTTGATGGGAGACAATCCCCACATGTAGCTCTTTTCCCAGCCACCTTGAATCAGTCAGTGAAGTGAACAACATGAGCAGAATGAACAGATGCACAAACGAGAGACGCAGGCAACAAGGCACAGCCAGCGGTTTAACTGCACAAACAGGACCAGTTTGATACGTTGCTTAAAATTTCTCGAAGAGCGGGACCTTGTTGGACAGCTTGTCCACATCGACGACATAAAGCGGGGGACTTTTGCTGATTTTCCAGGATGAACGCAGTGCGTTCAAAGCTCAGACGCCGATTCAGCAGCAGTGGAACGACGGATCGCGGAACGCCAGATGGTCGTGAAGACAAGGTCGGAGCAGGGGCTCTTCTGCGGAGTAACTTCGTTGGAAAGGTTCAAAGGGCTGTTTGGTTGACGACAGAATGTGTTCGCTATTAAAGTCGGCCTTCGAGGCCGCAGGCCCTAGCACACTACAGACTGTCTCAGTAAATGCATCCCTTGGCAACCGGTCGCGAAGCCAATTCGAAACCAGAACGTCCGGCAGCTTGGCGCATGCAATTGGCCCGATACTTTAGCCTGCAGAACTCTTCAACTTCCTCACAGTCAAACAGCGGTCTAGACCAGGGGAGCGCTGTAGCAATTGCGTGCTTGTCTGTCTCCGGGTGCAATGTCAAATGAGGCGCTCGATGCGCAACAACAACCCTCCCTTGCATCTCGTGCCCGGGCTGTTGATTTTGCGACGCGGGCAGAACGCGTAAAATGTTATCGAAATTTGGCAGGAGCACCCTTTTGAGGTGGTACGTGGCAAGCGGTGTTGGTGGCATCAACGGATGGAAGATGCATGACCTGGGGGAAATCCCACCGGCGATCATAATCCCAGCCACGGCAGCCACGAGAAAAAACAAAAGGAAGACGGATGTGATGAATCACAGTTAGTATAGGCACGGAGGCGTGATTATGCAAAATCATTCTCGAGATGTGATCTTTGCGCTTCTTCCAATAGCTACTGAACACAGTTTTTCTTTCGTGAAGGTCTTGAGAGGCGGTTCTGAAAGCCGATCTGTCGTGACTGATTGGATAGCAGGGTTAAGGACAATAACCTAACATCAGCGTTTGCCAACGGTAAATATAAGGAGGACCTGGCTGCGTCCTATCGACTCCCTTCAACGCCGTCCGCGCGAGTATGTGCAGCAATTTCGCCCGCAACAGATGAGCAGACCACTGGTGTCCTCAAAAGGAGGCCCTAGCAAACCAACTTACGGCGGGCATGGATTTGGAGATTTTGATCAACTGGCACTTCAGAGGAGTGGCGTCAGGAAGGAGTGGCGTCAGATTTCTTGCAATTGCATTGGAACATTACAGCCCCAGACAGCTGATGTCGCCTTCCTTGCCATTCCTTTTTGTTGCAGATCTACACCAAGACATTGGCCTCGAGAAGGTGCGCTTGGTCTTCCGCTGAACTCCAAGAGCTCAGCGTTCGGGCACACTATCGCTAATCCTCGAAAAGGTTGATCAAGCAACTCAGTAAAAGTGGATTCTAGTGCAAGCTATCGACTCCTCCTTAGAAACAAGACAAAGAACGATAGCCGAACGCGAGCAGACGTATTGAATCCACCAGTGAACATACGGTTCTGCTTGACATCATCCAATTATTAGTCAGATTCGGATGCGGCTTTCAGAAACGGATGCTCAACTCTCCAATTTTGGCTTGAAGACAAGGATGGTGTCGGTAGGAAGAACAAAAAAGGAGAAGTCGATTTACAATGACGGCGCACCTCCTCCTGACCATCGTTCCCAATCGTCACCAAAACACAGAAACCACGAGACACTTCGCTTGATATACAGGAGAATCATCTCCACGATCAATTCAAAGGGCAAATACGATGACGCCCTTCGTGCACGAGAATGCGAACCCGAGCCGTGTACATGAACCTTGAAGAAGCGAACGCTTTGAACAAGATTATGGAAACAGCCCAGCTTATCGAATAGCCCTTGCAATGACTCTGATACCGAGCATTAGAGTCAGGACACGCTTTGACATTAAAAACGCCCAAGTTTATCCGAGTCGTCGGAATCGTCACCGACAGTTGGAGCAACGCCCCATCCCTCAGGCAACAATCCCCTAGCCATCCTCACCTAGCCACCGGCAGGTCGATGATTATCTGCCGCACACTACGCCGTCCCGCGCAAACATGGGCCTAAAGAACTTGGTCGTTCTGCCGCAGGGTTAAAAACAAAGCCATAAATACAAGATTTTCTCGCCTTGAGTTCACGATTGGGCGATGCGATTCAGCAGCAGACGGTGCAAGCAACAAATGAAGAAGGTTTGTGAGGTTGCTTGGCCGAGGTGCACCCCTCTCTGCATCTCGCAAAGACGTTCTGCTCGCAAGGCGGGAGCATGCGGTGAAGTCCTCGGTTATTTTGAGGGCGTGCGAATTCAAAGTGTGTCTGACGGCTCGAGAGATAGCACTGACCCTGGTTGGGTGAAGACAACCAACTCAGGTCTTCTTTCTCCTGGCCATGCTCCGTTCTATGGATCCAGACGGCAGCAAAACACACCACCGACAAGACCGTATGCGTTTTACCATAGAAGCTTTCCTTTGGAAAGCCAGGATTCAACGACAAGGCATCTGAAGAAACCATTACAAGTCCTGGTTTCTGTCGAGACAAGCGCTTGACCACAGCCCAGGAAAAGTGTTCCACTAGTTTGTAACAGGCTGCTACGCATGCACACGTACGTTGGCAAACGTCGAAGTCTTAGGACATCAGCTCAACTTTTTAGTTCTGGGAGACAATCCAACAGTCCAGCTTTCTTCCCGGTCAGAAAACAAAACAGGTAGCCAAGGGGCGCGGGCAACAAGGAGAAACCAGCGCTTTCCGTCAAAGAGCATGATCAGCTTGCATTGTTGCTGAAGACTGCTCAGGGGTTCGGATCGATTACACGTCCTTATGGACAACTTGAAGTGGGGTTCTGGAAAACGTTCACCGACATGCAGCGCCAAAGAAACGTCAGAGGCATACTGAGCAGCAGTCAGCGAGGGGACGCAATGCCAAATGATCGCAGAGAAAGACTGGAGGAAACTGCTGTTGAGTTCTTGAGGGACCGCAAGAACGGCCAATCTCTTTCATTCCAATCTCTTTTTCCGTTACAACCAAACAACCCGTTGATCTTTTCCAGATGAGATGGAGTGGGAATTTCAAATTACGAACATCTCCTCCGCTGGTCCACGCCACGCAGCGGTTGTCATTCAAACGGGGCTACAAAGACCACCACACAAACATTGCTAAGGACACTCGACCTCCGGGGCCCAGGACCAAGCAGGGTACAGAAACTCGGACAAAGAAAACGGCACGTTTTCAAACATGAAGCCAAGAGAAGGTTTGTCGGCTGGAGTACCCCCCTGAATTTGGATAAAAGCAATGCCCGCAGTGCCCGGCTCACCTCCTCCGCCTCTGCCCTGACGTCCGCCTCCTCTCGGGGGGGTACCGCTTTCTCCTGAAAGCACCCAAGAGAAGGCGGCGTCAGCAGCGGCGGGTGGAGGGGCCCTGTAAGGGGGCCGGGCGGCAAAACAAGACGGAGCGGGATACGATTTTGAGAACGTCAGGAGAAAGAACGGGGCCTCTTAGACCCTTGAGCATACGTTTGAAACCCGTAAGGAGACACCCGTAACAAATCACCACCTATTCAAAGAGTGCATCAAGAAGTGCGTTGTGGACCGACTAAGATGGAAGCATTGGAAAGCGAGCAAGCGCTACAGTGTTGTTCAATTGAGGACAAAACACTTTTGTCCAAACATTTTTGAAGATGTCAAGGAGCTGTTTGCACGAGTCTCCGATCCTTTTTCAAGCTAAAAAGCTGAACAAGAGATTGGCAACCTTAGAAAACCAGACATTGACAGTTCGAATATCACAGGAAGTAAGCAGGGCAGAAAGATGGAGGTGCATGGCGCATCTTGAACGCTAGTCGCAACAAAGTACGTTGCTCAACTTTTTCCCCATTTTGGACTTTTTTTAAAACTCCGAATTGTCCTCTTTGCACATTTCCAACAGGTCTACATTTCTGTCCAAGTCTTCTGCTAAAGTTTGACGCGACCACCCCACAAGCAAACGGTGGCTTCCGCGTTTGAGGACTACAAATGTTGAAAACCTCTCTCGCTAAAACCTGGCTAACCTCTGAACCTGGGCTCAATACTCGTCTCTTGCCAGCCTCTAATTCAATTGAGCTACCTTTCCAGCTAAGTGGACTCCTGACTCGAGTTCGTTATCATGCATACTATTGCGTAAAGCTACACGCTGCACGGATGCCAGCACTTGAAACCTCTTGACAAAGGTAGTGCAGCGAACGCTTGCCCTTTTTATGCCTTCAACTGCTTCACTCAACAGCTCAACTTCCGAATTCTATGCCTACTTGGTTCTCAAGTAACTTCGCAAGAGAAATGCCAAAACGGACACTATGTCAGACTTGGACCAATTGCTCTACCTTCTCTCCGCTCTGCAACTTTTGGACGACCGCGTCAATGTCCTGGAACACGTCCTGCGGCGGCCGGTTTCCGTCCACCTGCGCAAGACAAACAGCAAAGTGATTGGTATCAGCGGCAGCGCTGCTCCTCCCAATTGCACTAGAGACCTCACTGATGGGCAACTCGAGCAGAGACTTCTAGTAGTTGCATTCTGGGCCTTGATAATGTGTTGAATCTAAATATATAAATTAGTCTGTGGCAGTGCCGCTAGCCGGGCACCAGCAATCACACTGGTTGGCCGACCTAAGAGGTACATCCGGCCTTCATGGAAATGCATCCGAAAGACTACGACGCGGGTGGCAAAGCAACGGACGACGAAGGTCGGTACTCGTTGTCTGCCCGGCTTGATCTACTCTCGTGTCTGGGGAGCTTAGCGAATAGTGTTTGCATTTTAGAAAGGTTAGGTGGACTTCAAGATCCTACACCCCGAGCGAATTTTGCGTTGCTTATGTTGGGGCGGACCATCGGCAAAGACATACGTCTTTCCAACACTTGAGAGAGATGCGTCGCTTTGGCTAAGTCAGTGATTCGATTCCTCTGTATTCTTGGGGCCAGTTGTGATTACGACGTTTCCAAGCAGCTTGGAAGAGGTGACTGCATGGAAGGGCGAATCGACAATGACGCTCTCCGTTGGTTAGGCGGGCAGAAGAAGGTGACAAAGATGTACCACATCAAGCCGTCTGCGAACGGTGAGGCCAAGGACAACTAGAAGTGGGAGACTTACGAACACAATCTCGTCCAGGTACAAGCTCGCCACGTCGTTCAGGTGCTTGCTGTACACCTCCAGCCGCGTCTTGACCTGCAAAGCGTCACCAGCATTAGCATTTGCACGACTTTGAAGACTGGAAGCCGACTTTTATGCCGTCATTCTAGAGATGGGGCCCTTATGACCTCAAGTCTTCAGGAGCACCAAATATCCTGGGACTTGATGTCCTACGCAGCAACGACGGAGGGCTGCGCTCAAGATTGACGGATCGGTCGCAACATCGTCGAGGTTCTCCTGGGAGGCACCATGAAGTAGCAGCTTCAAACAGTTCAAGATTCTCCGAACACGCAGCAACTGAAAGATTGTCGCGGACAGACGAACTTAGCTATGGGCACACATCTGCATTACTTCCTGAGATGCTGTTGAGCAACAAAGAATCCCATGCAGCGAGTGCATTCCCCACCACCGAGCTCCATGACTCGCTAAAGTAGCATCTCTTAACAGTGACGACTGCGTGCGGCAGGCTCACAATGACGGAGGAGTCAAAATTGCACCTTGTCAACTGTGTCGTCGCTCCGCGTCACGAGCCGCTTGGCAATCTCGTCGCTCTCAGGCTTCTTATACTTCATGTGGTAGATCTTTCCAGTCTCCGGATCAAGGCGTCGCCCCGTGATGCGGTCAACAATGGACGAGTCGGGGACCTGGCAGCCGAAAGAAAGAAGGTTGAGAAAGAATCCTCTTCAGATCGCGATTTCAGGTACAGCCTTTGTAACATGTTCGAAACTTGGGTATCCCACAGTTTCGAGAAGGTGAATATTCTTCAAGGACTAGTTAGTAAGACTCGACAAGTCAGGGACCTGGCGGCCGAACATAAACAGGGTCAGCCACAACAACCTTTCGTACTCCGCTTGGACTTACAATAGATCCTGACAAATTCATCGGGGACGCTGGCCTCTCGCAATCACAAGAAGCAGAGATTGAAAACTTCCAACAACTTGCAGGCACTGTCCCGAATCTGGGGCTATAGGAATATGAAGCTCATGAATTACGCTGTGTCAAGCGACTTAGATTCGGGCCCTCGAACGATGTCAATCGTGCGATTTAAGTGCTCGCAGTCTTCGCATCTCAATCACGGATTCTTTTGCCATCCTTCATCGCATTCACAATGAAGGTGGGACACTCGAAACGATCAGTGAAGAGGTGCGCCTCTGCATACGAGATGGACTGTGGAGGATTTGCAGAGACTGCTCTTGCCCTTACCCTAAGGATAACAAACGCGTCGGGGTGAATGCCCTCCTTCTCCAGTGCTGCTGCTTGAGACTCGCTCCGTGGATACCCGTCCAACAGCCACCCATGCTGTTGGACGTCCGGCTCCGCCAGCCGCTCCTTAACAAGCTGATTATCGAAAAGGTGAGGAAAGGAAAGCTTAGGATCACGTTCTAAGAAGATGTACGGCGTTTTGCCAACCTAGACGCTCCTTACCAGCTGCCATCTGTAAAAGAATTAGCAGGTGTTGGTCCTATTTTAGTACTCTGCCTGGCGTCCTGCCAGGCGAGCCACTCCTTCCCAACTGCGGAACCACTTGAGAGGATTGGATCTCAATAGAGTGTTCCTCGAAGGATGCCCCAGAATCTACCTTGAGAAGCAGAACGGGTCTGACCACCGCTAGCAGATATGTCCCGAAGTCACTGGAAAAAGTGACTGAACAGCCGCCAGCTTACAGCTCCAATCGAGATCACGGAAGTAAGCATGTGATCCTCTTTATTTGTAGACTCACAGGGCTCCTCGGATTAGTCAAAGCATAGTGTAAGCCCTGGAGAACGAACCGCAATGCAACGTTTGAGCCAGGTTGAGGGCGCTGTGCTTCTCTCTCAACTGCAGATGTCTTTCGTAAGGGTTTGCGTCTGACTCTGAATCGTCCACAAAACTTTTTCTGTCAACGATGCACCTTTAGAGCAGCCTGGGGATTGGCCTCGGAGCCTAATCTCGAACGGGGCCTTCTTGTGCATTGTCATACCGAATGTTTTCAGATATACAGCAATCTTGGCTGCCAACCTCTGTGTCAAAGGCTTCTGACACCTCACGTTGAGAAAGTCGTTACTGGCTAAAGGCAAATGTATAGCCTGAAGCTGGCGCCGAGAGTCCACTCTGCAGAAGATTCCACAGAATAAGAATCTGCGACCAGGAGTCAGGATGGGGCAAAACAAATAGCAACAGAAGGAACTGACCGTAACAACGATCTCGTCTGGAACCAGATTCCCCCCGTCCATAAGCGCCTTCGCCCGCTTGCCGTTCTCTGACCCTGCCGCAACCTCCGCGCGCAACAAGTCCCCCGCCGCAATGTGAACTACCTTGTACTGCAACATCAAGCAGATTCAAACCTGATATTCATTCAGCGCCTGGTAGTCCATTCCTCAAGTATCCAGATTTATCTCTAAAACGTAAGTTGAAACCGCGCTTCGTGGTGTTAGACTTTTCTATGAAAGCAGCTGGCTTAAAAAGTTGGTGAAAAGTTGGTGAAAGTATGACAGTCGGCCATGCCCTCTCAGTGTTTGGAAATCATGTCCAATGTGACCAATCAAGTCAAGATATCTTCCAAATGCCGCCAATGACGAGCGGAAGTCTCGTCAATGTCCAATTTAGCTAACCCCCAGTCTACACCCCTCAGTGGACCGTGGGTGTGTATGATAGCCCTGTGCCACTGCCGCCCTTACGTGCCTGAAGGCATGAAACTGCCGTAACCTTCTGTTCTAGTTGCAAGAATAGAAGCACGCGCCAGGAGGCTTATTGTCTGGCTTTTCTACAACCGGACTTTTAGGGTTTCGACAGTTCTGCTATCTCACCTTCTTCACCAGTTCCTCCGCCTGCGTGCCTTTCCCTGAGGCAGGTGGCCCAGACAAGATAATCTTGATGGGAGCCTCCTTCGTCTTTGGTGCGCCATTGTCTGCGGAGCACTGCACAGGTGGCGCTCATTATGAAACGTCCGTCTCGGCAGGATAATCTCCTCATAATTCCATCTGAATGTGTCCAATGAATGAAGGAAGTTGCAGAGGGAGTGCACTAGAAAACTCAAGAGCTAACCGAGCAATCTACGTTGGAGATTGCATACCAAAGAACCTTCAAACTTTCGCAACAGAGTAGCAACAACCAGAATCTGTAGAACTAACCCCGGAGCAGAATGCCGTAATGGGTCTCTGCCACGGCCCTCTCCATTGATAACACCCGAGCATTCATAGACGTATCCGGAGATCAACCGCCAAAACAAACGCACCAATGGAGTATTTGGCAATTTCCGATTTCAAAAGTCCAATGAAGCGCTCGAGAAACCCCGTTGGAATGGCCAACTCCTATTTGCGATGCTGCATTCTGAGGCCTGGTAAAGGTGAACCAACATTGCTGTCATTTGCCCTGCTGCATGCAACTTTTTAGAACGCTGGTGCTCATCAAAGGCATACCCACTCTACGTGGCAACACGCGATCCACTTTCCCTGAGCCCCGTTTGAACGGGCAGGCAACACAAGTTGCGACCCAGCAACCTCGACCTCTAAACTGATTCCTTCTTATTGCACGACCAAAATGCATGCAGAGCGCAGGGAAACCCAAACCCTTACACCACTCTCCCTTGGATGCTTCTAGTTCCGCCAATTCAGTTGTGCAGACTTTCAGGCCAATTGCATGTCCTTGAGCAAGACATAAGTGTCAGCGCCCTAAATGAGTAATGCTGCCAACGCCGCAAATTCAATGATGAGGCAAACCACATTGAAGAACTTAGTAAAGCCCTCACTCTGATGCCAGCTGCTCTTCTATTTGTTCCATCTCTTGTGAGAGCCCCCTTTACAGCCCGCAGCTCAGACCCTGCCCAGTTGTTCACCAATGGCCTGTCCTTCTGTCCGATGCTCCGCGGGGGTAAAATGCAAGCCCTGCTCCTCCCCCGGTGGATAACCCCGCTGTGCAAATCATCGTGCCTCTGGGGACCGCATTGAGCCGGAGCAATGCTGCCGAAGGCCGCCCTGGCGCTTGCCGCCAATGTGGAAGCCATGGCAAATGCGGCGCGGGGCTGAGTTCAGGACTCCTAAAACTTTCAAGGGTTTCGGAGGCGCGAGAGCAACTAGGGGTGTGCACCCATGTGGAGAATCGAGCTAGAGGAACTCCTTTAGATGCGGAGGCTGTCTAGGCCGTACGATTGCATTTAGAAAGAGCCCGTTGATTTCGAGCGACAATCACGGTAATGACGCCCGTGCCCCGTCAATGCGTCACAACTGAATTTCATGCAATCGTAGCCGTCGGTCACCGTACAGTTTTGCTTGCGTCAGGACATGATGGTGACGGCAACCGTACTTGGCTGGGGCAGTTGGGCCCCTGACACAAGAGGTCTGTGTTCGGTTGAGGAACAGACCCAATCTCCGCTACCTAGTGTTCAAGGGGACTGTGATCGAAAACTACGGTCCTACCGGTCAGGGTACTGTCCTCCTAGAGTCTGTACATTTTTGGCGTTCTCGGAAGCCCGGATACCGGTAACGCCGTCTGCGTAATTCGCGTACGGTTTGCTCCTGAAACTGGGTCCATGGCGATGTGTGCCAGGCCCCCGGTGCAGTTTGAAGCGAACCATGCAGCCTGCAGGTACTGATTTCCTAGCTGCCACCAAGCTTCGCAACCCGGCTACCGGAATGCCGGGTACCTTTCAAGCCAGTAGCAGCATGGTTACCATAACTGATTTTACCAGTTTTCATTCTTCAGCTACCGGTACAGGGCGGGTGTTCACAGTGATCGTGGCGAAAATAAATCTTGGAATACACTAAATAGGAGCTCCCAGACACTAATTGGCGAAAATGACACTAATGGCGAAAATCCCAGCGGCAGTTGTGGCCGGTAAAGTGTCCCGGCACTAAAAGTTCTTGTACCGACCAAGTTTTTTGGTTTTCTCTGGAGAGTCGATTGAAAATGTAAAGGCAAAGGTAAAATGCGGGGTTCTGAGCAGGGTTAAGATTCGTGAAAGCGGGTGGGAGTATCCGAGCATGGAAAATCTGGCTGACGGCCCGACCATTTTCGCCAGTCCGGCGAAATTCACTTGCCAGACACTAAATGGCGAAAATCAAATTGGCGATTGCTATGAACATTGGGTGTTCATAGCAAGAACCGTGGGTTTGCGGTAGTATTATAAACGCAACAGTACCTACGGTATCATGTACAAGTACCGACCATGAAACATACTGTAATCTGTCAGAGTGGCTGTATCAAACCCGGTACCCTCGGTAACACATATTTTGGCAGTCACAAACTTGAGGCCGTTCAAGCTTTGATAGAAAATTATCCAACGGTTCACATTTCGCAATGGACATCTGTCAAGAGGGCAGGTTTGGCAAACCTCGTCATGATGCAGACTGACACGGCGGGTCGCTTCAAGTTCATCATTCGGATGAAGTTCATGTCAACAGCATTCGGATTCTTCCAAGATTCAGGGCGACATGGCCGCAAAGCAGACGAGGGAAATGGGAGAGACGGCAGCAGAGAGGCTCATGTCTGATTATCCTCGCTCTCACGCCTTTTTTGCTGTAGGAAAAGCCCCCATTGGCGCACATCCAAAGGGCTATGTTTCGTGAGCTTCTGCTTCGGTGCATTTTTATGTTGCTCGCAGCTGGTGCACTGCAAGTGACAGCTTTTTGCAGGAGCTGTGCTATGCTTCCTTGGTGCACTGCAGGGGCACAGGATTTGTAGGTGCAAATGTGACACAGTAAGCTGTACAAGGGGTGGCGCCGGCTGTTTGAAAATGAATGATTAAGCCCGACACAGTGCAGATTGAAGCGCACATGTATTCAGCTCCATTGTGGTTGGTACGTCATTTTACTTTTTCTCTTGTGTAGAAAAGTCCAGTGTTTGGATTTATGAGGTAGAGGCTGCAGTTCAATCTGGTCAAAAATTTCAAAAGGAACGCAAGATACCAAGCAAAATCGTGCTCAATGTTCTGAGCAGCTTTTTGATCGGCCTCTGTCTTCTTTGGGCCAACTCGTGTGAGTTTAACATGAGAAGTCATTCTAAGTTCTAGGCTTTGTAGAAGTGCACTTTCACTTTAACAAGCAATTTGTGAAAAGCGAACTTGAATCGAGAAACTTGATCGGGGTCAGTATATTTTCTCGATCAGGTAGTGTGCACTCATATGGTTGTGAGATTCGAAATGCATCAAAAATTTGTCTTGCCCCCAATCAGCGAGCAGGAAACCAACTGAATGGCTGGGAATACATGGATACTTTCTTCTTGCTGTCAATTTCCACAACGGTGGCAAGTTGGCCTGCGGTCAAAGTCTCTTTCTGGCTGTGGTCAGTTTCAGAGAACGGAAGGTTCCGAAAGATTGCAGACTCTTGGGATTGTTCTGATTGATGGGACAAGCAAGAAGATATCAGAAGCCGCAACGTTTTGGTCAGCTTCAACTCGTATGGGGAGTCAGCTTAGAATATGTGCCACAGCATTGTGATCAGGGTCAGGGCATAAGTAGTTATTCAATTGAATGCCTTCGCCTACGCATCAAGCAAAGGTCAGGGCAGGATCAGGCCACGGTAACTACAAGTAGATGTCATACCATGTGCCTTTTCAGACACGAATGCTATTGAGCTTCTTTCTGGCTTTCAACATCGACCCTTCCCTCCCTTATGTGTACTCATTTCCATCTTACCAGCCCTTACTGCACAATGTCAAGCAGCCAGCAAAATCCTCTACTTTATCTGTTCATGTTTCTGCGCCCTTCGTCTGGCAGTTTACCACTTTACCAATGAAGCCTTCCTCTCTGTCTTCACAAGTCCCCTCTCCAGCCAGACTCAGCGCTTTTCCCCCAAGCATACGATCCTGACAGCCTCGCACTGTGAACCCTTCGGTTATGATAAACGCACGTTGTTCTCAGACATTTAGTACTGTATTTCAGGTACTTGAGGCGCGTGGCGCATCGAAATGACCATACATGGTGCAGGAATGAAAGGAGCGGGGGCGGTGGAACCAGAAAGGGAAAGTCCCAGGCCCCTACCTGTGCTGGTAAGGAAACCGTGAAAATCTCCGGAGGGTTATAGTTCTGGTTGCAAGCAGATAAGATGGAACGTGCGGACAAGACTAGCTTTCTTAAGTGGAGGTGCCGGTCCCCTAATGCACTTTCTGCTCTTCACTTCTTGTTATCCCCTCCGAGCAAAACTCTTTTGCCCTACTTTCAGGAAACAGGGTCTCCTTCTACAAGCGCTTTATCCTTTTTGCCTGCAGCAAGATGAGTCTCGACTACGATCTCTCCAAAGGCCCAAAAGCTGCCCTTGAAAGAGAAGGCGGTTATAACTGAACACATGGCGCCGTACGAGTGCTTTCCTGCGAAACTTGTGCCTCTCAATGTTCTTGCATTACTCCGTCACCGATCAGACTCTTGAACTTTCATTCCCTTGCCAGAGCCGAAAGAGCTTCATCAGCCGCACCCTTGTGATCACCGAAGCAGAGCGAAAGCTCATCAGCAAAGCCAGCACAACGAAGAGAGGCCAGAACCCGCAGTCCCCTTCCATCCCTAAGTCAGAATCTCACCCCTCCCTCCCCTCCCTTGGGTCGGACTCGGACGCCGAAAGCTGTCGGTCGTCCACCTCTGGCAGCGTCCGAAGCACCCCATCCCAAAGCCCCCTGTCACCATACGCCCTCGGCTGGAAAGACAGCCTCCGGGGTGTAACGCCCGGCAGTGGTCCGCAGCCGAACATTACGTCCAAGAGCCCACGGTTTGCCTCCATGACGCCTGTTAAACCCCCCAGCCCCAGGGTAAGGAAAGCGGGGCCCCAGTCTCCGTCTGGTGGGGCGATAGTAACTTCCGGGTCAGCTAAGAGGTACTACGAGAGTCCAAAGAGCGTGAGTGTGACTCTCAACAGCCCGGGCAAAGGTTCGAGGACCCCTAGGGGGCGACAAACGCCTCCCCGGAAAGAAAGGAGTGCTCCCCAGCTCCAGGGCTCCCCCAGAAGAAAGAAAGGCAGCCAACCTGCATCACCGGGAAGTGGAAACCCGGGGCTTCCAAGCACGGAGATCTCGTTCACGGATCTGAGAAGTGATAACGAGGAAGCGGGGGGGCCTGCTATTGAGGGGGAGGGTTCTTTCAGCAGTGCTGACGGAGAGCCTATGACGCATGTACGGGGCCTGTGGAGCGCAATGGCGAGTTCAGGGGAGTTTGGAGGTGGTGTTCTGGGGTACGGCCTCAGGACAAAAAGCGGAGCGAGCGCACTCGGAGAAAGCAAACAGGGCAATCCCAAACATGGTGCAAAAAGCGGGACGACCGTGCGAGGCCGAAGAACAGAGCAAGAGGACCCAACTTCGTCAAACAGCAGTCTAAATTTGAGACCAGCATTTAGGCAAGGACAAGAAGCCGTTCTTCGCAACCACCCCCCTGCTGACATCACCTTCGGCGTGGGGGGATCCCCCTCGTCGCGGCTGCGGCTGCTGCAAGTAACGGGGGATGACGTCACGGTGGTGGACCAGGACTCGGGGCAACTTTCCCCTGACAAGGTCCAAAGAACGGCGAAAGATCTGGTCGGGGCCAGCTTCGGACGGGGGGGTTTGGGCCCAGGGTTCAAGGGCTGGAGCGGACCCCCCCGGAGCGAGGGCGATGCCCCCGTGGGGTCGATTGCACCTGGCAACCATACCCCCCAGAAAGAGACGCTGCGCAAGACAAAGTCCGCGCCCCGGTTCGACCCCTTACGGCAGGCGCAGTCCTCGAGCGCTGACTATCGTCCTGATGTCAGCTTGGACGCTGCCGACGTCTGCGCAGCGTCCGTGGGTGGTCCGGTGGATTCGGACGATTCTGGAGTGATGTATGAACGACGTCCAAGAAAGGCGTGGGGAGCGTTCCACAGCAGTCTGAGCCCCAGAAGGTTTGGACAACTGATGGGGAGTGTGCCCGCCCATCGGACGCCCAGAAATGGAGAGTCCGAAAACGAAGCGTCCGAAAACGGCACCGAGGCCCAGGTGAATCGAACAACGGGAGCGGAAGCGTTTCCGCACGGAAGGCTTGAGGTCAACCAGGACGTCAGCATAAGCTCGGCAGACGACAACCTGGCGGCAGTTCTTGAGCGAATCAGAGATGTGCACACGGCGCAGAGTAGTGACTCTGAACGGGACAGCTTGGGCCGGGTTTACCCGGGGCAGGATGTGGAAGCTGGGAGGGGGGCCGAAACTGGGGCGAACGGGAGGGGGGCAGAAAGAGATGTGGGCCGGTGGGAAGGAAAAGTGGGGATAGATAAGAAGCAGCAGGATGCGTGGGAGGGCGCGTGCAAGCGGGAGGAGCTGCAGGGGCTGCGCTTGAAAGGTGTGGTTACGCACACCTTGCTTCTCGTCATGCTGGTCTCCTTTCAAGTTTCGTTGCTTTCGTTTGTTTATTCAATATCAATGTCCCGTTCCCTTCATTACCCGCTGCTTTCCGCTCTGAATTGCGGACGAAAGGGATTCTCTACGACTCTGTGAAGCCTTTCGGTGGATTGGGGGTGCGCACAGCCCACTTCGTTTGCAGGAGTCGGAAGCTTTGGTTTCGCTGGGTGGGAACTCCCCGCATCGTGGCAGCTCAGGGTGTGAGCTGCGTTCACGCTCTTGATGCAGTCAGTAGCACGATTATCACGTACCTTAGCCGAACTCAGAGTTCGCCCTTCATCCGTTCCTCAACCGGCTAGAGCTGACTTTTAGTCTTTAGAAAGACAGAAAGTCGGCTCTGTCTTTTAACCTCTTCTGCAACTCTGGATTCCGAGAAGGGATGTTCACGTGTTTAACCACTAAGACGGTCACAGACATTCTAAGGTGCTGATCGCAGCCCCCCTCCGTGCAGAGATTCTGGATTACAAGGCCCAAATGAAGGAGAAGTTCGTGAGGCTCCTCCTCGGCGACGACCTTTCGGGGGGGTCCCGGGGCGCCAGCCCTGCGCTGGCCATCTCGCACGCGGTGACCAACCTAGCCGGTGCCGTTTTCGGTGACGTGTACACCTTGGAGCCATTGGATATCGACAAGAAGCTTCGGTGGACGCGTGAGATCGACTGGCTGATCAGTCCCGCTTACCAGATTGTGGAGATGCGCCCCGGCTGGGTCGTGACACCGGCGGGAACGAAGACAGAGGTGGGTAGCGATGATCGTGTCCTGGTGTTAAGCTGCCTTTCTCTTTGTTCAATCTTCTTTCCTTGTTTACATGAAGTGGAAGCAATTGAAAACTGACACCTGCGAAGAACGAATCTGAATCAGACGGCTGGGGCCCATGTTCATGGTGTCAAAGCGTTACCTCTTTTTCTTTTGTTGCCTCTTACGAGATGGGTCCGTGACTTCCAGCGGGCAACAAGTAGTGGCACAGCCATTCTGTTGTTCTGGTATGAAGAACGGTCAGACTGCTTCCTGGGGCGTAACATTATATACAAAAGCTCCGCAAGCATGCCTTGATCCGTATTTGGTCAAAACTTCCACTCCTCGATGTTTGTGCAGTCTACGTGCCGTTGATCAAGGTTGGGAGTAACATCCGTCATGCGCGTACGGATGGTCAGGCCAGTCCAAATATGGAGGGCACTTTCGGAAGAAACGCCGCTAGTGAGATGGGGGGTAAGAATGTTCACAAAAATACAAGAAGGATTCGGAAAAGAGCAAGAGAGGGTTTGTAAGTGATACGTCTTCCCTCTTCCGCAGATCATGCAACGGCAGCCACGTGGCGACCTCCAAGCCTCCCTTCCGGTGCTCAAAAAGCTAGACGCCCTCCTGATGGACACGATGGACACTTTGATCAACCAAGAGTTTTCGTACAAGAGCGCGCCGCGGACGGTGACGTCATCCGACGTCCTGGACGCGTACTGGCGTCCGAAAGCGGTGGTCCCCGCGGGGGGGCTGAGCCCGGAAGCGCTGCGGAAGTTGCGCGGGCAGAAGGAGGTGGTTACGAATATTTACGCGGTGGCGATGGCGATCAACGCGCAGACGCTCGCGGAGATGGCGATCCCGGACGAGTACTGGGAGTCGCTGCCGAGGGTAAGTGCCTAACAATCTGGGTTGTATACTCAAACCCTTCCAAATTCCCGAGGCAGAAAGATCAAGGTGGATCCAAATCGAGAGTCGATTGAGAGAGGCACGACATAATTTTCCGCCCAGCCGCCTTGCTCGACTGTACGGAAAGTGCTTTCACAGAGGGTTCGTTGTTCTGTTTACCCCTCCTACTCCCGTTTCAATTTCCTAAAGGCTGTACAATTCTTACCGTCCCTCCGTTTGTATTTCTCTCTTTCTTCGTCAAAAGCTTGATCATAGCGAGCGCAGCAACGAAACGGCTCCACTGAAAGTCTCAGGAAAATCAGTGCGCGAAACACCCAGGAGGAGACCACGTAGAGATCATAAAGCTCAAGAGCTGCCGTTATGATCTAAACGCGTTTCTTCAATGAAATCTTCCGGGGGTAGTCCCGAATCGGTTTGTCCTCGAAGCTAGTCAGCTCGTCTTTCCCGGCTGAGGGAAGCCCCAGGGGCACGTTAAAAGGTGCTGTCGCTGTGAAGATGCTGGTAGCCTTGAACGCCTTCAATGCTCCAAGAACTTATTGGATCACCTCCTCTTGCATCTGACAGAATCCTGACTCAGTCGTTTGCCTGTGCAGTCGAGCAAAGCCGCTCTGGGCGAAGAGCTTTACCGCGCTCTCACAGAGGACGGCTTCGAGAACGGCGGCATACTGTCGGCGCTGGGCGTTGCGGATGAGACTTCTGCGGCCAGAGTCGCCAGCGCCCTAGAGGCGGCGATCCACCTGTGGCAGCGCAAGATCGTCAAACGGGGCCAGGTAAGTGCAGATAAGAGAGAACGAGGGGCTATGCTTTTGATCTGCATAAATTGGTTTTAGAATGAGCAGTCCCAGTCAAGTGCTCCTGGTTTAGGATGTCGGGTAAGGTCGAAGATTGCGGGTTCAAAAATTGGAAGTATGCTGCCATGCCGTTATGACGTCAACTATTCGTTGCTGACATCAACTCCACGCCGTTGAGTAGGTTTACCATGTTTTGAACAGACTTCCAATCACGCCTCTTCATACCCCTTCCGAGACGAATTGGACACTTCAAAAACCGCCGTCGTCAAAGTCGTAAACTTGCAACGCACGAAGCCACTGGAAGACGATGATTTGGGAACCCGACGTAACCGCCTGCTAGCACGCCTCGGTTGCTCAGCGTTAAACGTTCAGCAATAAGCCTTTATTCATGAAACGTAGACTCCCAACTCTGACGCTGTGCTTCTGAAACCCGGCAGGAGGACCACGTGAACGAGCCGGTCCAGAGTTGGCGGCAGCGCGTCGAGACGATGACGGGCCACGGCGCGGAAGCGCGCGAGCGATGGGTGGCGCGCGCGTCGGAGCTGCTGCATACGCTGTTCGCCACGTTCCCCGGGCTGCCGCACACGCGGCTCGCACAATCGAAGATCCATCACAACAAGGTGAGCCCTGGAAAGTCAAAATCAATGAACCTATAATAGCCTGGAAATCACTTTGCCTCATTTTCAGGGCTGGCGCACATGCGGCGCGCGCAGTCGAAGGTTCAGCACAACACGGTGAGCCCGGAAAGAGAGAACCTCTGGAGCCTCCTCTCCTCAAGGACTTCAAGGTGGCACAGGCGTTATGACAAACTATCTGAGCGCGCACACGCATGCCGCTCGCGCGGTCCATCGGGCAGCACAAAAAGGCCAGCAGCGATGATCATCTTTGGCTCTGTATTATGACTTTGACAAGTACGAAACTTTAAGAGGGATGTCGGTACTGCATATGCTTACCACCATGATTCCGAAGCGCCCCACCCGCCTTGCCTAGTCAGCATAGCATTCAGCATACCATGGGAAGCCCTGAAATGATGGACCCGAAAGCAAGAACGCACATTTCAGAGCTTGACTTTGGAAAGACCAGAACGTCTTTGATGCTGCTGGCATTCTCCGCCGAGTTCCGTGGGTTGCCCATTGCGCAGCTCCCACAATCCAAGATCAGCGTGAACCCTGAAAGTTTGGACCCGCTATATTCAAGATCTGCAGTGCCTTCGACTCCTGTATTGTCCACCCTGACTGACTGTTCCCCCCGTACTTCTTCGCGCCTTTCTCAGTCCGATCGTCTTGTAGTGTCTCTCTTCATCCTGTGATTCAACGCTTTGTAGTTCTTGTGAGCCGTGAGCAACTCTTGCCGTGAGCAATTCAAAATTCGTGAGCAACTCTGCAGACGCCTTACTTCACCACCGGGGCAAGGCCAGCTACTTGCGCATAATCGCCCCATTTCGTCTTGCATTCCGGACCAAGCTAACCTCACCCCTCCTCCTTCTAACCCGGTGCAGGACGTGGGCCAAGCTATCCTAGAGAGCTACTCGCGGGTCCTCGAGACCGTCGCCTCTAACCTGCTCGCGGGCATTAGCCACGTGTTAGACTCGCACGAGGAGGCATACAGCCTCGGGAAGGCCCTGCGCGCCTCCGCCGACTACAGCCTTAACCAAAATTCGCCCACGAGCCTGCTAACTAACCCCGCCCCAACCCCGCCCAAAACCCCGGGCGATTCGGACCGTAGCTCCGGCCTTGCGGCGAACGAACTAGAAGGGGAAGATACGCCCGGGGGACAAAACGTTCCCGCCGGGAACCCCCTGCAGAAGTGGGTCGTGCTTGAGGGCCGGTCCGCGCAAAGCGCACAGAATCCGGGCAAGGGCTTGGATGTTCTACGGACGGCGGTCGGGCGGTTCGCTTGACTGAGTTGCGATTACGAGTGACAGGGCTGGGGTGTTGATCTTGCGACAAGGGCCCTCGCGTGGGGTGCTTGGTGCAGACTAAATCGGTGGTTGGTTGAGTGTTGGTAGATAGATAACAGGAAGAAGTTTGCAGAGGATGGCTGGTGTGCAGGGTGTGCGGGTGGACGGGTGTTTGCGGCAGCGAAGTGGCGGGCCGCGTGTGGTTGAGTTGCGTTTATCTAATGTAAAAAGAAGCGTACATACAAAGTCTGACTCGACTGTACTGTACTGCGCAAGAGCAAGCTAGGAGGTTGATTGGTGTGCAATTGAGTTGACGCCAGGCCACCAATAGGCTACTAACCAAGGTCGGACATGTACTATTTTCTACGAGAAAGGTACTAGCTACACGAGCTTTAACAATAACAATCAAAGACGTGATAGCGTCACATATAGGTGCCAGCTCCCGCCTTTTGGAAGCGCTAGCGACAATGCTCCGAGTTAAATTGATGCTCAGCAGCTGATGCTCCCGAGTACTTCCGATTGAACCGGCGGACGGGCTCATATTACACGGGTGCTCGTGCAATTGGAATCAAGGACGTGGCCCTGCCGCCACTTACATATGGAAATGTTGTACACAATTGGGAAGGATCGACGGCGGCACATCTGATCTACTGATTGCATGAGCAATCACGTGCACTGAATGATGTTATACATTCTCAGAAACGTAAATTTCGCTGGGGCACGTGCGTTTACGATGAATGATCCATTTCAACTCACGTCTCATTGCCCATGCATGAGCTACATGATCGAGTCCGCTATTATATCTGGCGCGGCCCCATCCGATCATGAACCCAAGTTGTAGGTCATGCAGCGCATTGCATGAGATGGAAGGAGTCCGACATGTCTGTCCACACCTTCGACGGTATATACGGAGGGCTGGCGCACACGTGATGCAGCTATTGGCAGGCTGCCAGCAAGATCACCGAGTCAGCTTGCTTGTTGATATGCATGCATGGTGCAGATGCAACTTCTACTCAGTTGATCAACTTGCACGTGCCAAGCCGTGCACGTGGCTCATCAGTGACCTGGCAGTGGCATTGCCAGACAAAACGTCCATGTGATACTCTATCAGTTAGTAAAGAACCACTGTGGAACCACTCAATTATTGGGAGAGTTCGCGAGGCGAACGCACATGATATACCGATCCACCGACAGCTGCATTAAAAGATGCCATGCAGGTATATGCAGTCGGAAATATCTTTCGAGCAAACGGTGGCCGAACATGATCCAGGCACATCACGGTCCATGGAATGAAAAACCGCACTCAGGAACGAGCCGCCCCGCTGAGCTAGCGGGCTGCGGCTGCATTTGAGCACCCAACCTGATTGAGAATTTGTCATGCTACTTCGGCCATGACGGTGCTCAAGCTGCAAACGTGAGCTAAAGAAACCTGTAATCCGTGGAGGATCTGCTGAAGCTCGCGCCCCCCGCGGCCTGGCCCGCCAGAAAAGCATGCGCAGTGACAATCTGATCTTACGTTGAATGATAGGTACTGATGTATGTGCCATGCCAATTGTGGCTTTTAGATTCAAAAGAAACAACTGTTACCGTCCAGGATTCAACATTATTTGAGGACCCTAATACACATACATAAAGCTAGTCTGATGGAATGTGTCTACTTTAACGCCGAAGTACATATCTGACAGTACCATTCGCTGCATGTCCCTATCAATGGCTAAATGCTAATTCGAGTATCCGGGCAACCCAGGTCTCGAGATCAAGCAAGGTGTTCCAGATACTTCCAGCAGATACTTCATTCACCGGTCCTTGTTGGAGACCCGAATCCTCCACTAGCTCTTTTGAGATAGGACAGCGACAATTTGCTCCCAGAGGATGTTCTTGGATCATAAGGCAGGACGCCACAGGGAAGCTGAACCTGTGATTCATCTCTCTCAGAAGAAGAAAGCAGTCGTATCTTCTTCCCACTCTTCTCGAAGTTCGCCCTGGCTTTTCCCTCTGGCCTAAGATTTCAAAAACCTCCAACGACAAGGTTTGCTCTTGAAAACGACGGTTGTTCTTGGCCCAACCTTGGCTCAGTTCCTCGTACGAAACACCAGGATAGACCGACTCAAGACGAGAAACTTGTACGTAAACTTCAAGACGCCACTTGTACTCAGCATAGACATCTTTCCGAAAGGCGACTTCATCGCGCTGGTCTCCTGGACGGGTCCAGTAAGATGAACGAGGGAAGACGCCCCAAAAGAGAGGCCTCCCCAGAACGTTGAGTACGATGAGATACTTAGACAAATCGGAGTCATCATAGTCGGATTTCCAGGGTTTCCTCGGGAGCCTCAATTCCGCATTCTCCGGGGTTTGTTCAAAGGCAAAGCACTCGGGCCTTCCCCACCGGACTTGCACCAGCTGCTTATATCCCCCTAGTAGGCCAATTGCAGCTTCGAACTCAGTGGTCCTCTTTTGAAAGCGGTAATCAAGCTTGCTATCCCCCTCTCCTTGCTTGGGTCTGAAGAGCGCTTCAAACCAGATGTCCCAATCTTTCTCCGCCTCATTCTGTAGAAGCTTGCAGGCGCAGGTTGCTCGCACAAAGGAAAGCGGGTCCTGCACCGCCAGCTTGCGAAGAATGGCCAGGATCACGTCGCTTGGAAGATGCTTCATGTGCGGATGTCAGAATTACCAGTGCTTATATACACAGCGGCAGCATCAAATGAACGGAGTCAGAGGCAAGTGGAAGAAGTGAAACTCCGGCGGTTCGACAGTAAGCAGCCTAAGCCTACAGAGCTGAATGCCGACGTACGAATCAGACTCTGCTCGGTCGTGCTTGCGGGTTCGCGGCCGCGCTGGTGGTTTATGCTTCCGTCAACGAAAGTCAGCTTTGTGTATAATGATTGTGCGTGAACTTAAAACGGAAGTGGCAAATATTGATGGCCGTCATCATGTTCGTGCAATACACGTGCTCTCTGAGGGATGCTTTGTTCCAAGTTAGAATTCTTCCGTTTGAATTCTTCAAACCTTCAATACCAGTTTTCGACTTCGCCACTGTATTCAATCTTCTGTAAGACAAAGACGGAAAATTTTCCGGGCCTTCACCAGCTGTTTCCTCGTTCCACATTTGTGGCTCAGCTCAGATTTCGCGCTGCACTGTTTGCACTAGCGGCCGGTCAGCTTTGAGCCCTAAAGCGACACCGTCAATGCTCTGCCGTCCTTCCGATCGAGAAGACGTACTGCATCACCTTGCAGACAACTTTCAAGCTTGCTCATGAGGACAGAAGATTGACCGCCGGCCTCCCTGCCGGCGGCTCGATACAACACTATTCCTTGAATTGATCCAATGATTGATCAGTCAAATTGACCGGTCATAAGCTAATCATCACATGAGCCAGGGCTCACTGCTGCCCGCAACCAATGCGCGCAACGCACTCACATGTGAAACGCCAATTCCGTTCAAGATGATCAGGCAAAAAAATCTGCAACGGATGCTAGTAGTACTTCTACACCCATTCGATCGCATGCGCGTTGCCAGAATTGGCGACTACAGGCTATTCTGCAAAGCCAGCCAGGATGGCCAGCGTGTCTGTCATACTGAGACAAACTACTGTTACATAAAGGCACATACACATCCATGCAACTATCGGCACCTGATGAGCAGGAAAATGATTCTGTGCCCGTGAGTCGTTCTAAGGCACCTAGCTTGCTGCAGCTTGAGCCGGTCACAATTGACCAGAGTGACCCGAAAGAGTTGCAGCTTCGATCAGGACCCTGCATCCCTGGTCAAATGGCCTCAATTACGTCTCTTGGCTACATGATCAAGGGTGCAGCTGTGTATTTATACACAGTTGCTCAATCGTTTTGAAGCAATGTCTATTAGATACGTGGACATACATACTAGGGCTTTGAAGCCAAGCCCTCAAAAGTCCACTGTACAGCTGACAGGCCGACATCTAAGATTAAGCGTATCTTAGTTCTGACCGTTAACCATCATGAGATGGCACCAGATCTTCCTACTCCCTTGACCCTGACAAAGTGCAGTTTCGATACTAAGCTGATTCAAAAACATACCACAATCTCCGATCACCAAAAGCTGTACATATAGCCGGCAAATATCCTCTCAAGGTCGCTATCAGTGGCTCAATAGAAGAGGTTGATACAGGCCCTCCAATCCTCTCTGCAAGCAGCAAAAAGTCACGAAGTATACTTTACGGGGTTACCACTGACTTGACTGAGTCTGCCAAAACAAGGTGTCCCTGGCCCTCCCTGACCGGCATGACTACTATATAGAAGCCTCGCAAAATCTCTTGCAAACGTCTAATATTCAATCAGAGTGTCCCATCAAGAAAAGCCGGGACAAGTGTAACCTTACTGTTTGAAAGGTAACACCAAGAATGAAGCACAACCAAACGTACTACAGGTGCAGAAGAAAAACCTGCCCAGAAATGAAGTACGAAAACAGGAGGGAGGCGGAGCGCACCTGCAAGTGACGCCTCCTCGCCGGGCGTGCCTTTGCCTCGTCATCTCCTTGCAAGAATGTCGCACTCTCTGCAGACAGTAAATTGTCAGTCGGGGCACTTTTGTGGGCCACCCTCGTGAGATACAGTAGTCTGCCTAACACCAGCATCATCTGGGACACAAACTTCACTGGGCCGCAAAAAGGGACCCTATTGGAGGCATCATCTCCCTTCAGAAGAATGCTTTCTCTGGCACAACCACACCAATACTTGTCCGTTGCAGAACGGTGTCTGCGACGAAGAAGACCATCGCGTAGGCACAGCTCCAAAGAGGCTGCAACCAACTCGTGCGTTCAATTGCTGCCGACATGTCCGTAGGAGATTTGATGAAGACATGCGGGACAATCCAAATGATTACAAGCGACCCTGCGCCAGTCGAGCGGAGGGTCTTGCGAGTCAGCGCCTCACTTGAGACCTTGTCCGAAACAGCCTTGATGCGCAACATGTCCGCAGGCAAGGCTTGTTTGGTTTTCTCGGACAACTCCTCCCACTTAGGACACAGGCAATCGTACTGGCCCTGCCGAAGGAGCTCGAATCTGCGGCCGGGCAGCTTCTTCCGGAGTGCTTCCAGAGTCAGCTTGGGAGCTTGGCTGCGGGGAAGCACGATGATCTGGTTCGGCACGTGCTCGCGGAGGTCGACCTCCTCACCCGGCCCCGTTTCATACACGAGGGCCATCTTTGCGAAGTTCGCTGCAGAAAGTTGGGGTCGAAGGTCAGGAGAAATGAGGACGATTGCATGAGAGGATTGCGTGACACTCGGATCAACTATAGATCTTACGTCATAAGGCACACAAAGTGTCCCGAGGCCCAGCCAGACCCTGAGGCAAACCGATTGAGCAGGCGCATATTGTCACTACCGCAAACGAGAAACGAGCTTCTCTTGCCAGCTGAACCAACCGATGCGGCGAACTCTGAAAACAGTATCTTAGGGTAAGCATCCTCAACGCTAGTAGCGGCGTATGTAGGGTGAGCCACGACACGACTCCTCTTAAAAGCAGTGGATTGCAGAACAAGGAGGCCTCACCAATGTCGCCTGACCGCACCCCGATTGCCGGCGACAAACCCCGTGGCAGTGGCTCTCCTTCCAGGCTCCTCAGGTCGATCCAAATTGGAAGATCCTCGCCGATGCTCGTCAGCAGGTCCAAGGAAAGCTTTTTCATGGGCAAGCTGCTGGCAACCTTGTCCTCTACTGGCTTCCAGTACTCTAGGTTGTCCGTTTCAGGGAGCCGTACCCTCATCCAGGGAGCGAGGCTGGTTGCGCAGGCTTCATCGGCTAAGCCTTCTTGTATCACATAAATGTCCCAGGTCCGCTCAGATTCTGAACCTGCACATGCAAACGTGAGCTCCACAGCCTGCGACTTAGTCTGTAGGAGCCTGTGGCAATTTCGACCAGGAAATGATGACATTGCTCCTCAATTGCATTAATGCATAGTTCTATGGGTCCTCAAATGACAGAAAACCTTTCCCTGTGTCTCTCTCAGAGGCACATGCACCAGAAGCATACACCCGATACAAAATTTGCTGGATAAAAAAAAATACACGCCAGATGGAAACAACACCCAATAAAGCATCTGCTGGATCAAAGTAAAGATACGCACTGATACGTGACTGATACCAGATTGAAAAAACGAGATGTCAGCTAATATACATTCAAACCCTCTTTATCATCCAGCTGAGGTGCATGTTTTTGTTCCTGGAAGAAACTAATCGCGGCCATTTTCAATTTCGCAAAGCAACAAACTCAACAAGCCAAATCTCCGTCTCCTTGAAATATCCGGCCACAATATACCTGTGCTTTCGGAAGTATTCCCCATGCTGCTTCTACTTCTTGTGTTCTTCTGAGAGCGCGATTTTGACGTGTAGCTAGACCTACTTCCTGCAAACAGTAAAGAAGCAGCCTTGAACGTTTTCTTCAACATGCCCTGCCCTTACTTGGGAGCCGCACGTAGGATTGATGAAAGGCGGGCGGCCGGGCTGTCCGCGGCCGCGGTCGGATGAGCGGCCAAGGTTTGAGGGTTTCCAGGTTTCCGGTCTTCTCTGTGTACCGGCACTGGCAGTCGGTGCGGATCAAGATGCACCGCCAGCCTGATCGTCGTTCGAATCTTGGATACATTACACATCGACGATTGTCGCTGGTACAAGTAGATCTGCGCGCGTGTAATTGATGTTTCGATGGTTGCTTTGGGTGAGGCAGGCTTGTGATCGAAAGTACCGTCTCTAGCTGGTACCCCACGAATATCAGTAGGTACGAGCCCTCACCACTAGGTATACCGGTCGTTCGGTAGCTTATGTCAGTAGGTACGCTCAGTACCTACGGTGAACTTCAATTCTGCGGCTCCATGGTGGATGCTACTTCTGTAGGTGGTAGGTATCTCTCGGTATTGGAATTCTTGTACTGGGCAAGTACCCTTGTGTTCATAGATTGCCCTAGGCCGACGACATGCTGACATCAGCGCTGAGCGCCGCTGAAAGAACTTCGGATCGGCAGACACATGCTTTGACGGTGTGGATGCTTTATGTATGTTATGCTGACTGCAGTGTACGTCTGGCCGCAACTTCAGAGTCCCCACGCGTGTCAGAATCTGTCTTTACCCTGGGATTTGATGCGGCTATCTGGATATTATCCTCTATTTGTACCCAGCGGCCTGAGCATTAAATGAGGCATTTGGTCCTTGGATTGCGTCAACAATGACGGCAGCGCTGCCCTGCCATCACTTGAGTTGGAATTGGATGGAAAGCTCTTTGCAGGCTTGCTAACTGAATCCTTAGGCCAAGTTCTGACATTTTACAAGTACTTTCAAGTGTCAGGGTCAGGAAGAAGGGAACCAGAGGATGGAGGCATGTCAGTGTGGCTATGGTTAGAATCTGCATTGGGTGCTGCTTCATGGAGATTGTGGGGAAGCCTTGCTCTGTCAGGGCATGCCACACGTCTTACAAATGCAGATAGAACAAACTGCTTACTTTTATCGTGTCAGGGCACCCTTCAGGAACTGAGCGAGGGCTGCCAAGCAGAAGGAAAGGCGAAACATTGCATAACCAATGCAGGACGTCTCTGCATTCGCTGTGCTTTGGGTGTGGAAGAGGGGCTTGGCAAGCAATCTCTGACAAAGGCACCGTAGACTCCCCTGCAATGAGGCTGTTGAAATGCATAAATGCATGGAGAAGATGCATAATCTGCATGCAAATATGGACGATCCATAGAGAAGCAGAGAAAGGGGGAGAGACAGAGCAATGCAGAGACTATCAGGATTATAGAACAACAATCAAACAGCAATCAGCAGGATAGAAATCTGTCACAGTCGTTATGTGCACTGCAAATGTGCAGATTACGCCTCTTGAGCAAAGCAGGTTGGCAAAGAAAAGCAGGCTTAACCGCAGGCCATGTTAAAAGCTGGTTGCAAACGAATGCAGTTTGTTCTTAGGTGACACCAAGCGGGGTTAGCAGACGCTACCTATGAATACAAGGGACGTGGGGAAGGCTCCATTCAGGAGCCCCCAGTTCCATGGCTTCTCCACAGCGGGGAAACAAGCTCCTTTGGAAGAGCGCAGAGCAGAAGCGCTCTTCAATTGAGACTTGGAGGGGGGACTCAACTAATCTGAGCACTTCCTATGCAACAGAGAGAGGGAGGAGGATCTCTAGGCCCAGCAAGGGGGGGGCAGAGGCTGGGAAGATCAGCCCCCTGAGGCGGAAGTCGCAAGTTGAGGGAGAGTCAGCGGACGCTGTCCGGGGAAAGCATGGCACCAGCAATGCTGCTCAAAGGCAAATCAAGCGGAAGGATTCAGAGGACATCTCAAGCCTGCTCAACAGGGGGGCCAAGGCTGGTCTGTTTCCAGCCCCCCAGAGCGCGCAAACCATTCCGAGGGTGCCTCTAAGTGCCAGAGGGGCGGGCGCAGCTGGGAAGAAGGAGGAGGCTGGGAGCCTGACTTCCCGGACGCACAGCAAGTTTGTGGACAACATTCTGAGCGTCCGGAAGCAACGCCAAGCGCAGGGGCCGTCCGAAGGAGTTGCTGACGTCAGCAGGTCGCTCGTGAAGGACCTCCCCCGGCTGAACCTGTCGTCTCTGAATCCGCTCCAGGGGGGAGCGAGCAGCTACCGAGGCAGTGCCAGCAAGGCGGGGGTGAATGGAAGGTACGGCACTGCTGAGGGTTCCAAGGAGTCTGCGAGGGCAGCAAAGCTGATCAGCGCTTATGGGGAGAGCAAAGGGGGTGCGAGAAAGAGCAGGATAGTGGTGGAAGAAGAGGAGAGCGATTCGGACAGCGACTGCGCAAGCAGCGAGACGTCCGACTCTGAAAGTGCGTCCGAACGAAAGAAGGGGGTCAGACGAAGCAGGCAGGCGCGGCCCAGCACAGGAAAGGGCCCTGCAAAGGCAAAGGACGATCCTGCAGGGCTTGGCAAGAAGGCGGTGGCAGCGACGGGGACACAAAACAGGGCCTTGGAGTCGGCCCGAGGCAAGAAGAAGGACGAGTCTAGTGACGTCAGCGAAGCGAAAGCCCCTGTCGTGAGGTGGCCGCCGCCGGAGGTGACGTCACCACCGGTGGCTGGGTTGAGAGATGGAGAGGGAAAATCAAGGACGGAAGGGGTGTTGAAGGAAGAGAAAAGCGGGGCGAGTTTACGGTCGAGCAGGGACCGGTTGAAAGGGCAGGAGGGTGGTGATCCAGGATCGCCTGCAGGGTCTGCGTCGGAGCGGAACGGGAGCGATGGGGGAACGCCAAGACGGAAAACGACCGGATTAGGGGGCGGAAGTGAGAGCGGCACGCCAAAGAAGAGCCTGGCTTTGGGGTTGAGGGAAAGGACTGGAGAGAACCCCGAGAAGACTACAATGGGAAAGGAGGCAAAAAGTCCAAGAGAGGGTGGAGCAACCGAAACGTCCAATGCGAGGTGTGTCCAGTCGATGCGTCTGTATCATCCCTTTTTGCTACTATAGCAGCTCTAAAAGTGCTCAGTGCCGGTGTAGCACTCAGAGGTTTCAGTAGCTTTAAAACGGACGCAACTTCCAGAACGCACAGTATCAGCAGAAACCTATAAATGTCGGACATAGATTGGATCTGTTGATCAAAACCGACCACATAGAAACGGTCTCTTCGTTCCCGAACAAATCCAGCTGTTTCGCTATCTTGCGCTTTCATGACTCTCCAACGCGAGCAACTCTAAACCCAATCGATTCTTCAACGAGAATTCAGCTCGATACACTTCGAATCTCACTAAAGGCTCAATGTGGATATGCAGGAGCAAAGTCGAAGGAGACAACACGGCGACAGATGTGAAAATGCGCGCGATTGCGGCGAACCTGGCGCTTAACCTGGGTTTCGGGAGCAATCCAACGGACATAGCGCAGACGTCGAGGGTTCATCAGGTAGGCAGTGAAGACCTTCGCTTTGAGCCGTTCCCAAGAGTGCCTGGCTTGTTGGTCAACAAGTCAGAATCCTCGTCATTGCACTTGATTTACGTGCAGCACCGGCCATCGTCAGAATTTAAGTTGAATTTTGGGGTCAATTTGAAAACCAAAGCCGTATCGCAACTGCGAAGAAAGGGCTGTTCTAGGATTTCCTTTGGACAATGACTTTCAAGCTTCGCTGATAAAATGTTCTTTCTAAGTGCGGGTAAAAACTAGAATGGTCACGAGACGAGGGGACCTTTACCTTCGACTCTGTAAAAGCATTTGCTTTTCTATACGCAGGCTGCTCGTAAGGAGAACGAACAGTTGTCCCTAACGGCCCGCCCTATGAGCTCAAAACCGGTCGGAGACTGGAGTGCAGACAAAAAGGTACGCTCTCAAAGCCGTCTTTCAGATCGCAAGAAGGGAGTGGTGTTGACTACGTTTCTTTCTGCGCGAAACACTGAGCGATGCCAAAAACTTTCTTGCTACCCCATGGTACCTTGAAGCTCTTTCCGGTGGATTGATCTGCCGTGCACAATTTGGAGAGCGATATGGCGCATTTTGAGAATTGCGAAGACGATCATCCTGCTGGAAGAAAGACACTTTGCTCGAGCTTCAACCACAATATAGGAACGCCTGGCTCCGCTCTATCAGTCTTTTGATTCGCAGTCAGCCTCGCAGCTGCAGGCAGAGGTAAATTTCAGAAATTTTTCGCAAGGGTCGTAAGGAAGGGACGCCTTGCAGCCCTGTCTAGCGTCAGCTCTGGCTTTCTCAATTAAAGGCTTTGGAACAACGCTCGTAAAACCCGGAAAACTTGTTCGAAAGGCGTCCGCTCAATTATCTCCGCGTTTCCATCTTATGCAGAAGAGTGCCAAGACGCCGCCTCCCAAGCCCCCGTCAGGGACTGCGTTGACTCCCGCAAGTAAGCCAAGCACCCCTCTGCCGTCGATTACTCCCAAATATTGTCGTTGAATCTGTCAATGAACAGAACGTGTGGCGAACACGCGGGCTAGCAAACAAATGTATTGACAGACGATGAAGAATCCAATCAAAGCTTTTCAGTAAAATCCTGACCTTCCGCTGAGTGGGCTAGGACCGATCCCTTCTGACTGGCCTGGAGCAGCACGTTCTGACTCAGTAAAACCTGTTTATTCACTCCCCGTAGTCTTCGACAGTATTCTCTCTCTTTGTGCCCGGAAAACTTACAAGCCTCCAAGTGCTGACTGGTAGCTCCAGACGCTTGAACTTCCTTACAGCCCACCCCCAGAGACTTCTGCCTCGAGGAGATCTGCGCAAGAGTCGAGGCCCCAAAAGAGCGTGCCAATCGTACTTGGAGTAACACAAAAGCAGACCCGTAATTTTCGACGCATACCGCATCCCGCCTGCAGGCGTGTTGAAGAACTACCCCGACAGCCTCGTCGACTACGAGCAGTCCGAGATCCTCCAGTACTCGTCCGTCTACTTTTTCGGACCGGACGCGGACAAGGTGCAGGCATCCGCGACGCCCGGGGCGTGCAACTACGGCTACGATGATGACCGGGGGGACTACCATGTGCGCGAGCGGGACCACCTGGCGTACCGGTTCGAAGTGATGTCAGTGCTTGGGAAGGGCAGCTTTGGGCAGGTAAGCCGGGTTTTCAGGCCCCCGAAACCCGGTTAAGAATCTAGATAAATGGTGGGAACGATAAGTTGTTCGAAGTGATGTCGTAGCTCGAGAAAGGCAGCTGTTTCGGGGAGTTGAGCGGCTGTAAGGATGATAATTTTTTCGGGGTGCGCCCAATGGTCGCCGAACCCATGCTCAATGTACAATAACCTTCCTTGAGGAAGTGCCAACGTTGCATACAGAGTTCGAAGTACATATCTGATCTGTTGTGCCGCGCACAGCGCAAGGACGTCCCTACGGAAACTGCAAAGGGCTGTTTCTTGCGCAAAGATCGCGTAATCGAAAAATTCACTGACGCGTTTGCAGGTGTTGAAGTGCGTGGACCACAAGGGCGGCGGGTGCATTCGAGCGGTAAAGATCATCCGGAACAAGAAGCGCTTCCACCATCAAGCGCTGGTCGAGGTCAAGATCCTCAACTTCCTCAAACAGAAGGTACGATACCGCAAAGTGTCAAAGATTGGCAGGGAGATGAAACTGTGAACAGTGGTCGATCCAAGTTGCATATCGACGGTGAAGTCAAAGGCATCGATTCGATGGAAAGGGATCGCCCCTATGTTAGAGTTTTGGATCCTCGAACTATGCAAGAAGGAACCTCTTCTTGACTTCCTGGTTTAAAATGCAGGCGTTTGATGATGAAGAGGTTTGTTGGAGGGCTGTGCGGCTAGAAGAACTACTCAAAGTGTTCCCTGAAAATATACAACTCTATTTATGATCGCAATCCTCATGTCGTAGGCCTACTCAGGCCCTATCTTTATTCGACGGTTTCTATCAACCCGCTTTGATTTCCGCCCCCACCCAGTGCGTCGGAGGAGGAGGACAATGTTTCCATGATACTTTTACACGACAACCTTTACCACCAGAATTCTAGGTTTGCTCTATTGCGAAGCTCACCGGGTCTATTTAAGATTACCTATTGCCTTCTCGTGTGCCGAAGCAAGAGCAGGAAGGGGATGAGCTTGATTTGCTCTGAATGAAAGAAGCTTCCAATCTTTGCCTGCCGTTTTGTATTACCTTCTGCACTACGACCGTCTGAACACCGATCCCTCCCTGCCCCACGACAAAAGGATCATCGGAATCCTTCTCGTTACCTTTTGCGTTACGTTTCTCTCATTGAAATTCTCTGTTCCTGCCCCACAGCAAGAGGAGGAGGGCGAGGAGTGTAACGTGGTGGTGATGCACGACAGCTTCTACTTCCGCGGCCACCTGTGCATCAGCTTCGAGCTGCACAGCCTGAGCCTCTACGACTTCCTCAAGAACAACAACTTCCAGGGCCTCTCGCTAGGGCTGATCCGCCGGTTCGCCACGCAGATACTGGTGAGCGGAACGGAAAGCCCTCTCGACACAGATGCCGAAAGTAACAGACTAGGTTGACTCTGAAATGGTCAGGCAACCCGAGAAGAAAGACATTCAGGGACTCTCGGCCGGTCTGATCCGCCGGCGCGCCACGCAGATCCTGGTGAGCGGAACGGAATGATGCTGGCCGAACTTGCTTGTTGAGGCCGAGCTCCGACTGTAGCATGAACCGCAACAGGTTTTGCGCAGAGAATTTAACGGCGCCTTCCTGTCTTCGTTCTTCGGTATACTTCTGCGCAGAACGCTACAGCCGAGCTCTGCGCACTGCAGCCTGGATACAGCCCGAAAAGAAGAAGCTGAGCGTCCAGATTGACTACCGTCGAAATCCATTCAGGGTCGTGAACCCGCAGCTCCGCCCATGGCACACCATTTTCGGCGGTCCTGTTCGAAGCTGCCGCACCGTGAGGAGAAACTCAGAATTCGGAATCCGACATTCCGCTCCCTAGCTAAGCGTACTCTACTGAAGCCTCTCCCAAAGTTTCACCGGGTCAGCATCGCCGGGTCAGCATCGTACCCTGCGATCTGAAGCCCGATGTACGTCATTTCCTGGACCGCAAGGAAGAGCCCGATCAAGGAAAATGCGTCTCCTATTGGTGCGACCATTTTTCGGGTCTCAAACTCACACCGGAACTCCGGCAATATACCCCTTTATCTTTCGTCGATGTTCTGCAGTCCTGTCTGAAGCTGCTCCGGCCAGTCCAAATCGTGCACTGCGACCTGGAGCCCAAGAAACTTTCCCGAAGCGCCAACAAGAGCGCGAACAAGCAGAAGCGTTTCTGATACCTAAAAGGAGACCCGCCAACATGTCTTCTGTTTCCTCCTATGTTCTGCAGTCATGTCTGAAGCTGCTGCGGCGAGTGAAGATTGTGCACTGCGACCTGAAGCCCGAGAACATCCTGCTGCGGAGCGCCAACAAGAGCGCGATCAAGGTCATCGACTTCGGCAGCAGCTGCTTCGAGCACGAGCGCATCTACACCTACATCCAGAGCCGCTTCTACCGGTCGCCCGAGGTGATCCTGGGCGTCCCGTACGATATGGCCATCGACATGTGGAGCTTTGGATGCATCCTCGCGGAGCTGTACACCGGTGAGCGGCACTGGCTTTGAATTCTGAAAGAAGCCCACATAAGACCGTAATACGGAACACCATTCAGAACCTACGAAATGTAGAATGGGTTCGGCCCCAGTTCAGCCAGAGTCATGGCCATCGGCATGTAGAACTTTGGATGCATCTTAGCGGAGCTGTATACCGGTGAGCGCACTGTGACTAGATTTTAGAAGCGATTGACTTTAGATTTTCGAGTGAAATTCTTCGAAGCCTGATTATTCAGATTGGGTTGCCTCATGTCCCACAAAAGGACCAGTCGTTGTTCGCCATGAAGTATGGAATCAGTTACTACCTTCCTTGGCGCCGGAACTGTTACGCACGCGTCTGAAAATAGCTCATCAAAGACCCAGCAGGCTAACATCCGCTGTTCCTTCGTAAGAAGGAACCAACGCCAACTCGCTCAATCGAGCTGGCTTCCGTCGACATGCCTCCCCCCACTTAAGTGCAGATCTCACGAGACATGCAACGTATTTTGGAAGCATAGCAGATGGTACTCCTGGCAGGCTATCCGCTGTACCCTGGCGAGAACGAAGCCAAGCAGCTTGCGTGCCTCAGGTTCTCCTGTCAGCATGAGATTTGCATTACAAACCTCAAGAGAATGTGCCTTATACGCACTCGTCTTGACGATCGCTTATGGTCTATCTGGCAGGCTATCCGTTGTTCCCGGGCGAGAACGAGGCGGAGCAGCTCGCGTGCATAATGGAGGTCCTCGGCGTGCCCCCCAAGTCGGTGCTCGACATCTCGGCGCGCAAGAAGATGTTCTTCGGTAAGGCCGCAAGACGTGTTCAACCTGACGTCATCGTTTGACAAGAGAAGGTTTGCGTGCGTTTCCGTTGTCCAGCAATCACCGATTGTTTTATCGGTGGCTCGAGCTTTCGGCTCGCTTATAATGCTTGCGTCGATCAAGCGTGGCTACCGTGTATCGATCATCAAAAACCCGCAAGGGGGTTTGGAGACAAGGGTTTGGAGACAAGGGGGTTTTAGTGTGGCAACAAGACTGTTTACACTCATATACGTGCGTTCAAAGCTGTTTGATTGCGTATTAGATACGGTCCTAAAGTTGAATCTTCCAATCTGATTGCATCCCTCAGTCTCTCGCCTTACCCACATACCTGCAAGGAGCCCCGCACAGTGAAGTCGTGGCCCGAGAACATTCCCCTACAAGAACCTCCGTCCCTTTAAAAAGAGCGTGCTTTTCTAATGCCCTCTTATCCCGGGCCGTTCTTCTCCAGATCTATCGTACAAATCTCACATCAAGCCCAACTCGTGGGGGCAAGGAAGCGCGCCTAGGACCCCCGTAAAAGCAGTCCCTACCAACGAGTATCTGTCGCTGACGAACTTGATCCTCACTCGTTGCCCTCTCCCCTGGTTTCCAGACCCTTCCAACAACCCCCGCATTTTGGCCAACTCGTGGGGCAGAATCTCTCCCCTTGAAGTCGGCATCTCAACGTTCGTTTTTACGTTCTTAGGATATCGAGGGTTTGATCTGATTTCGCTTTTCAACTCTGACATCGGTCTTTTTTTCCCCATTTCCAGACCCGTCCAACATTCCTCGCATCGTGGCCAACTCGTGGGGAAAGAAGCGGCGGCCGGGGACCAAGGACCTCGCGGCCGCGGTGCGGTGCGCCGACGGCGCGTTCGTCGCCTTCCTGCAGGAGTGCTTCCGCTGGGACGCGCGCGAGCGCTGGTCGCCGGAAGAAGCGCTGCAGCACCCCTGGATCCAGGAGGTGGGCTCACGCATGCTCGGAATCAGAATCTGCTTTTGTCGAATTGCTTTGTGCCATTCTACGCTTCTAAGATTGTCTTCTTATGTCTATTTCGCACATTCGAGAGCGGGATAAACCCCGCCTCACAGCATAGGAAGTGGCGGAGAGCCGTCTTCGTTTCCTTTCTTATCGTCCTTTCTTTCTTTGTCGTTCGTAACTGATCATGCACATGCTGAAGAAAGGTGACAGCGCGCATGATTAGAAGATCTTGTCGACCGCAGCTTGCAGCTTAAGCTGAGAACAACATGTATCTATGGCCCTTCCTCGGCCCCAGCCTGGCCACCAATGTCGCCTGACGCGCTTCTCAAAGTTGCTGCCTATAACACGCATTCAGCAGAAACGTTCCTGTTCAATCCTGCGCTTCGAGCTTACTGTTTCCAACTCGCGCTGGCAGCGTAGACTGGAAAGACAGCAGAAACCTGGAACAGACAAAGTTATCCGAGAGTAAAATTCCGACAACTCAAACATCATTCTTTTCGTCACAGGAAAAGCCGCCCCCCCCTCCGCAGTCCGCAAGGACACGTGCCTCCTCGGCGCATTCACACCGGCAGCCGTCGCCACGTGGCGTTCCGACCCCGGTCGTGAAGCGGTTGGACATGAGTTTAGTTAACCAGGCCAAGATCCTAGACCTGACCGCCCCGGAGAGGAAGCTGTCTGCCCGGGGCGCGAGAAAACTGCAAGGGGGGACGGATGCCAAGGCGATGCTACCCCCGATCGCGGCAGACGGAGGGGACCTGACGGCCCGAAGTAGCTGGCGGAAACGGGTGGTGTAAATACGCCACAAACACTGTCTACCAAACTTGACGGAAGCTGTAGTCTTGACAGGTAGACGATTTCGTTCACGAGCTGAGCCTCAGAAAGAGGACTGTCATTAGGACACCGGGTTTTGCTTGACGTGCCATGGCCGCAAAGGTGACTAGAGGCGCACATGATTGAAGGCAACGGGTAAGATGCTACTGTAGAAGAAAGTAACGCTTATAGCTAAGATCCGGCCGGATACGAGTTGAGTCATGCAAGCTGCAGATACGAAACCTGGGCTCAGGATTTGCCGGCTTCTTAGCCGATTCTACGTGACTTCAAGTGGAGGATCTGAAACTCGAGGAGGAACGCTAGAAGGCGTGACCAGATAATGAGTGTTACAAAGATGCCCGCGCACGCGATAGAAAACATTCTTTCTTCTAGGGTCCAATAAATCCTGCCGGAGAGCCCACATCTAGGAGCTTTCGACTGAACGCCGAAGTGTTTGTAGGGGTAGTAAGCAGGCGGATGTGCAGGAGCCAGCTTGCAAAAATTGTGCAAGATTTGGATACTTTTTGGTCAAATCATTCTTCTAACGTCACAGAGACCTCTGCACTCCATAGAGGCAATGGCATCCTCGTGAAATCTGGTACTAAGTAAAAGGTTTGACGGGCCTCGTCGCATAATAATCGTACTAGACTTATTGCTGCACGTTATGTCGGACGGCCGCAAGCGCCCCTGTTTCATGGCTTTCCTAACATTTGTTGAACTAAATAACCGCCTATCAAAGACTGCTCTTAAAAGCACGCAAATCTGCAGCGAATGGCATCACCTTCTTATTGATGATACGACAATTCTTTCCATTGTAAGTGCTTCCCGGATCGAGCGTCAGCACATAGAATACCGCACAAACACACGTTGAAAACTGGAGTTTTCATCTTGGCATCCAATCACTCATGTGATATCGTCGAGCTGTCAAGCGAACGTTCAAATACAATCCCTTCAACACTCTGAGGCCCTTATTTGCTGACGTCATCAGACCCTGGTATATCCGCTGAGCCCCCCCCTGAATATATTGTTGTCAGGGCTCCTGCCACCCTACTTTGACAGATTGACCTTTTATATGATATACTTGAACGCTTTGAGATGGATCGCCTCCAGCTGGATCCGTCCAGCCCCTACTTCTCGGGGTGCCGAGTTAAAATTTCCTGACATTGTCCTAATGAGCTGCCTACTACCTAATTACAAAGCTTTCCCCCCGGTTGAGTGACGCCTGAAGTTGTAAACTGCGCCGAGCCAAACAGTACTTGCGTCGACGTATCTGTTAGTTTGTCTTTTCATTGTCAATAAGGTACCACCTTGTATTTCAAGCATATTTAACGCCCACAAGGCCTGTGCCAATTGGGCGTCATTTAGTCGCCGAAGACATGAATGGTGCCCTTCTAACGCCAAAAAGGGGCCAAAAAGTGCGTTGATTGGCGCTAATTTGGTGGGCACCTGTCTGGCGCATTGAAAGGCACCATTTCGTCGGGAAGTTAAAGTTTCGGATTAGTGCCGCCATGTCGTTCTTCGTACATGTCATATGAAGGCTGATTCCGGCATGCTTCAAGCTACGCGATTATAAGCCTTCGGGGCGGCCGCGGGCCCTGGAGGGTTCAGCCTCACGTGGCTCCGGGTTCAGCCTCACGTGGCTCATCAGCACGTGGATACTTCACTGAGTCAGCTAGGCCTGAGCCCTGTTATTACTACTGGCGGTATTTGCCTGGCGGCCAGTCCCCTTAAGAGTAAATGGAGGCGGCCGGCCTTCTTGCCGCCTGTACGGTACGTATTGACTTTGGGAGTCGGGACTAAGTACCGGCAGTAATACCGAGGTAGCCGGTTGTATCTCGCCAGCTTTGAGCAGGTTTGACACACCGGGCACTGGGCAGGCAAACGTCAGCCGACGAACTGTGCTGATTCATGGAGCCGCGATGTCCCGGGTCGAACAACCGAGGGGAATCGGCCGGAGGAGGTTGCCGGACTGTTCACGGAGTTTTTTTAACATCTGAGCAGTGAGGTGGTCGTGTAAGACAAGCCGATCAGCAGAACAACCGACCGGGGAACCCTAATCCTAGATAGCTCGGACGCCAATTATTGAATACAGTCGGACTACCGCGAGCTGGCAGTAGTAAGTTCGACTCCAAGTGGTGGAAAGTTGGAACCTTCGCGTTCTGTAGGTCCTAGGCGTTCTGAAACCAGTTGACCGGCACTGACGGTACCCAGCTGAGCTGGAGAACGGAGAGAATGCACCATCTGGTATTAAGGGGACAAGGGAAGCTTCTGAGAAGTTCACATGAGTTTAGTTACACCCTGTCTCGGCGCTCGCACCTCATCTTTGCCGCATGTGTTTGTCGCAAGACAACTTCAGCATATCCATTCACAATTTGCCCAGCTCAGCTTTGATTTCTGAGTGGTTCGGTGGCTGACGAATCTTACCAGCTCGCAGCATTTGCAGAAAATGGCGGTCCATCAACGGACCTTCAGCTCAATGAGGGCCTCGTCGCGCCTGCTTCTTCGGGCGGCATTGCTCTTGGTGGGCGCTTTGATGTTGACTGGTGAGTCGGTTCGGACCATCCAGCTGGGAATCCATCGACAGACTTTCTTTTCCTTGCCAATCACTTGGCATTTATATTTACAGTGTGTTTCTTGCTGATGAGTCTTGAAGGATAAGGCCATTGCTGCTTTCCATCTTAAAGCTTCTCTTGCATCCCATCTATATATAGCATTCGCTTGAATTGTCTCTTATACGGCTCCATGAATTACAGCCGGAGAATCCTAGAATCTTGCACCATTAGTTCTGCAGTTGTAAGACCGTGTTGACGCTGACTCCATTTCATGAAACTGGTCTTTCCACCTTCTGTACTACCCTTGGTTGGTATACAAATCATAAAAGGCAGGTTCTTATCTGCCCCTATAACACTTTGGAATCCCTCCCTGGCAATGCCTTACAGCCCAAACAGATTCCTCAAGCCTTAAATGAGTACTATTATCTTGTATCTTGTGAGGGTAGGCAGCAGGTGCTGGCTCCTGTTGAGCAGTCACTTCATTTAAGGACTGTGGAAGCAGCCTGGAAACTATTGTTGGTCGTCACGCTGGACAAATTTGCCCCTTATTCTTTGCCATTGTAAAAGGAATGCCACGCAGGCACACTGTGCCTGAAGAAATCACCAGCTCTTTGCCCTTTGTTTGTGGTATCCTTGTCCTCTTGTCTTAACATTCTTGTAAAGGGAATCTTGCAAACTCATACAAGCCATGAAAGAACAGAGTCCAAGACACAGGCCTTCAAAGGCTGCTTGCACTGCCTGGTTCTGGGTAGGAGAGACCATATTTGTATTTCTCCGTTCAACTGCAATGCCATTAAGAAAAGTCCATAGACTGTCACCCTCTCAACAGGTGGCATTCCATAAGTTTGGGGACCCTTTGGCACGCCTCCTTTCAACTTACTAGCTGGTGAAAGTGACCCGTCAAAGTCACTTTCAGTGTTGTATCATGTTCCTTCTTTTTGATATAGCTTCCAACCCCAGAATACTTGTCAACCAGCACACGTTTGGAAAATGCCGCTGCAATTTATTTGTCCCACCTACAACGGCTCCACTTAAACTAGTCCTGCAACCCTTCAAGAAGAGCATTGTTGTGACCCCCTCCCTCACCCACCCTTCTTGCGGGTGCAGCACCTATTTGACTATTACCTCCTCTTACCCTTGCGAATTTTAGGACCCCAGATATGAAAGCATCCTGGCCTCCATTATATTCAACCACCATTAAATAGGTTGAATGTACGTTCTCACAGGAAAGTGCCCTCTCAAACCTTCTGTTGAATTTTTGAAGTCATTTCTGCGAGGGCACATGCCCCTCCTCTGTTCTTTCAGATGCCGCCGTTGCCAGCTGGCAAGTCCTCATCTACTGTAATTACAACCCATATAATGCACTGCCCCCTATTTGCTTTCATCTGTAACTTTGCCTTTGCTTCATGCAGACGCGGCCGCACCAGACATCTACCCAACCTACATTGGGTTTACGTTTCTGCTCAGCCCTGCCGGCACCCCCCAGGACTTCGGATCCACTGCCTGCGTCGCCCCCTGTTCAGCAACCTTCTTGTTGGTCGATGGGCAGCCCCATGCCGTCAACTGTGAGCTGCCAACAATCCCTAAGCCTCATTCAGAATGATTCTGCAAGCATTCAAACTCCATGTGTTAAAGGAGCTGGCGAAAAAGTTGGGGATTCGAGATGCTTAAGCTAGGAGACTGCCAGAGTTGCTAGATGTAGGAGATCAAGCCATGCAATGGATTAGGAGCCCAATCTTTGGCTGCCGGCCTCTCGCCTGTGCTTCACAGAAAGTCGTGTATCCTCATTATTGGGCCTGTGATTTTTTGAAGCTGCCATCTTCTTGTCATCTCCTCTCCCACCTCACATCATTCATCAGAAAGTAATGAGTGGAACAGGAACGAAACAAGAAATCAGCACAGATTAACAGAGATCGATGATGGAGATGAATCGCTCCTGGAATCGCTCCTGGAATCGAAAACTAGAGAAGAGTACCCTAGCTCTATTTTCGCTGTATGTACTCTGCTCATTGCAGGAGTCTGGTCCGCATGGGAGAAACCCTAAATCTTACTCTCTGAGTTGTTGATAACAATCGCTCGTTTTGATGCAGTTCCCGCATCTGACCTCCCAAAGATCGTCCCTGTGGAAGCCGAAACCGGATACCTGAATGACGTCACTGATGGTTCCTTTGCGGCTGTGGTGCTGGTCTTTCCAGTCCCGGGGACGTACACTTTTGCTGACACCGCCAACCCGACCAAGATCTTCGGAACTATTGTGGTGCTCCGTGAGTGTCACACTCACGCGTCAATTGACAATGGGTTCCATCTCGTTTTGAAAGAATGAGCCATTCTTGAAGAGGCCTTTGCAATAGAAACTTTGTCTACGTTTGTGAAGGTCCAAGAAGATTCTAAAAAGTGCATCCTACGTTACCGGGGTTGAACTACAGATTGTCAAAGTGATTGAGAGATAGTATGCCTCAGAGTAGATTCAAAGATCAACTTGCTGTTGCCGAGACACCCGTTCGTCCTCTCTTTGATTCCTGTTTCGGCGACTCAGTCTCAACACAATTCAGAGAAGATATCAACTGTAGAACCGTCAAAAGTTTGTTCGAGGCACATTTTGGATATTCTGAACTCATAAAGTCACGATGCTCCAGTTTCCTCTTAGCAGTTGCCAAGGGGGTTCTATTGCAGATTCTCGAAACAAAGCATTGGGTCGCAATCGCCGATTTATTGCACCACACGAAGAGGCGACCGGCAAGGTGCAATCCCTGCTTTTGCGTCGCCGAGCGTGGAACGTTCTTCTCAAACCTGCCTGCTTGAACCACACTTCAATGTGCCGCCGTTTCTTTCGTCCTTCTCACCCCCTCTTTTTTCTTATGCATACAGCCCCCGGTGTGCCCGCCCCGGCCGGTGTGAATAACCCCAACCAGTGCTACAACAACGTGGGAACCGAGTACATCTTTTGCCCCGGCGGCTGCGGCCCTCCTACCGGCCTCGCCTCGTGCGCCGGAGTTCCGGAAGGCCAGACGTTTAACCCGGTGATTAACGCCCCGGGTAACGTAACCTTCCCCCAGTGGCAGATCAACGCGTTCAACAACCCGGTCAACTGCAAGGCGCCCTGTACCGCCACGTGGATCTGGTCGGACCCCACGCCCCACACCGTGCAAGGTTAGGACGCGCGGTTATCTTAACCTGGAGGTTCCTGAACGTGGAAGCTTCGCTGGATTTGAACGTTACCCGCTCTGCCTGACGTTGGTTCAAACTCCAATGGGTGCTCTTTCTTACAGAGTGCTGGTGCTCTGACTCCAGTTCCGAAACTGAAGGACTCAAATAACAAACCACCGTCCGCAGCTGACGCAGTAGATCTAAGCCGTTCGTAAGATAGTCGGAGTTCTTTGTGAGCCACTCCGAGCTGCAAGGTACCCTTTTTCCAGATTGTTGGACGTTTTCAAGGACCTCAGAATTCCTCTTCAGATCCGAGGCCAATTTTTGCGACCACAAAAGGGCTTTTTTAGGGTTTTAGGTTTTTAGGGTTTCAGGGTTTTTAGAGTTTTAGGGTAAAACCTAAAACCCTAAAAATTTGTTCTCAGCTGGGCTAAAGGTTGGCTCGGACACGATCTCATGGTTTACCACGGGTTATTCTGCCCGGGTCCGCATAGTCTGGACTTTTTTGTCGACTGACGTTGTGCTGCTGTCTGTTGTCCTGCTGTCTGGTCAGCCTCAACTTTGATTGCGAACCAACGAACGCAGATGGAAGTTTGTCTGATGGAACTCGTCTAGCTTTCCTGGGGACGGCGAGCTTCGTTGGCAGATCAAGAGTCGCCTCGCCTTCTTGTTTCAAAGGCGGAATCAAAGTCTTCGACTTCGCCGTCTCAATTTGACTGACTCCCGTCCTACATTTACGAAGACAGCCTCAATCCGCGCGTGCGGAGTGAGCTCGTGCGTCTTCAATCTCGAAGATGACGTCTCACTCCCTTGATGGCTTTCTTCCAGTCGTTTGAGATATAAAAGGTCGAAAAGAGGGCGTCCAATGCCTTGGCTTCGCAAGGAAGGTTCGGGTCAGAGCATCAAATACTCCATCGTCGCCTGGTGCCATTTCGCCGATGAGCAGATGACCAATCGGGGCGACGTAACGGGTAGGCTCTCGGGACGTTCAGTCGCCGAGGATGACGTCATCCAAATATCCCATTGATTTGAACCCCGAATCTGATAGTTTCTTGTTCCTTCAAAATCAACCCAGGTTTCGGCCCCAATGCGGACGCCCCAGTGTGGACGGACAACGACAAGCGCCTCGGGATCGAGCCCAATGACGTGGCGCAGCTGGGCTTCACCGTCAGCCTGACGTTTGCACAGCCCGGGCTGTACGGATTCATCTGCGGCGTGCACGGCGTGTCCATGTACGGCCTTATCAACGTCTATGGTGAGTCACTTCGATACATCAACGTCTATGAAGAACGCGAAGGACACTTTTCAAATTGAACTGTGCCTACGATGAGTCGTTTCTAACAATAACTTCTATGGAGGATGCGAAAGAGGATGCGAAAGATACTTCTTCGAGCCGTATGCTGCAGTCAAAGGAGGATAACGACACCCAGTCTCGAGCTTCAGATGGGCTGTAAAACGTTCAGCTTGTGCGCTTGATTAGCAAGAATTGAGCGTGACGATGTTGCACAGTTAGCGCCCCTTCTCTATTTGTTGTTCGACATTTGGGGCAAATGGACCATTCGAATAAGGCGCGCTTGCAAAGTCTGTGGAGACCCTGTCGTGGTTCTGCCAAGATTACTATCGCCCACTCCCCGCGAACTGGAATTGATAAATCGAATTCTGTCTGAGCTTTGAGTCTCAATTTAGCAGACGCTTATCGGCCTCTTACAAAGCCACATGACACATGCCGGCGGTTCAACATCGATCGGGATGAAATATTTCCTTGATACTCTTACACCTCCCCATTTGTAGTCTTACATTCAATTGCCGCTGTGTTTCGAAAGGGACTGAAACAAGTTACGACCGCCCCTTTCTCTGTGCAGATGGCAGCACGGTTCCCTGCCTGAACGCCGCGATCAACCCGAATCCAACTTACAACGCGGCCGGCACGTCGCTCACCTGCGTCTGAAAAGCGCCTGCGCGCGTGGGGGCAGGTCGGCTGACGTCGCTCTGACGTCAAGCAGAGGCCCTCCGGGGATCCGAACAAGGAGTCGACGGCTTGAGGTGTTAACCGACAGGATACTGAACAGTTTGGTACAGTTTTAAGAACCGTCATTATAAGATAGGCACGAACGTAGATCGCAAATCTTGCTGAGGCTCCTCTGAGAACGCATTAGGATGAGTGAGAGCGGCGCATAGGAGAGGAGGGAAATGGGGTTGAGAATAGAAGGAGGCGTCATCGTCATCGCTTGAATCCGAAGTCAAATGAGCGGGTCTTTGACTCGGTATGTCATGTGCTGCGGGCAATTTTGGGGCTTTTAAGAAAAATAAAAAGAAAAGAGACCAGCCAGCGCGAGCGGGGGCGACATCTTTTGGAGGTCGCCTAAGGATGTCTTTTGAAGAGCGACAGACTATCTATTGGCTTCTCGGACAAAACGTGGATCGACAGTCTCAAGGCGGAGTGTCCTTTCAGTCTTCGGTATGGTACTATGTAAAGTGGGCCCGCTGTTGTATGTGGCGTCTTAAATAAAGATGGATTAAGTATTTGATTGAACGTCAGACGAGTTATGAGTAGAAACTTAAGTTACGTATTTGTATCACTTCTGGGCCGTTAAATTGGGCCTGCCTGCTTTGATTCAAATGACCGTTTTGCGACAGTACGTTGGCAGCTTGCCAGTTGTACACACACCGGCCCGCCTCTTTCGGTGGGGATCCCGTCCAGCCTTCTCACATGTCGAGAATTATTGATCTGACTGGAATTACTTGCTCGAGCCCGGGCATCAGACGGCGAAACAAGTATGTCGTAGTTGACTCGTTGCAGTGCTCTCATCGTATGCGCCGCATGATCGAAACTCTCGCACTGCGTTCTGACCGCGCGAAGGTCCTACCAGCGCTGAAAGCTGGGCTCGCGTATAGAGAGTTGAAACGCATTTGGCCGCCGAAAGTACGTCGTCAATGTATAACAAACCATGGATGCACCCGGCTTCTTGGTTGCGCGGATTCATTGGCCGGCGCGGCCAGGCTCGGCCCACACGACTGAAGTGACACTATCGACTTGAAGCAGTCTGCTGCCAACTGCAATTTTAATCAACTCTAGCCAGGCTAGTAGCTTTTCCATGGGGTACTATACGGTAAAGGACGTGACTTGAAATGGGGATCTTGGGGTCGATCTGTTCTAGCTAGCAGCCCTGGCACTGCACCTAACGGTCACCAAGTACATGCAATAGAGTTACTAGAGCCCAGTGGGTGTAAGTTGACGCGTGCACCGTCTGCGCAGCAATATGAGTTATGCATGATCATTCATTGCAAAATTGCGCGTATGAAATATGATCGATAATATACTAGCTAGGTAAATATGCATCAACGATCCGCCAGAGCCTGATGGCCGTCCGAAAGTCACAATCTAGCTGGCAACCTGGCAGGCTTGACGGTGCCGGCCAATCGTTTGCCCACTGAGGCTGCGCACTTAAGTAACCAGCTGAGCTCATCATGCAATCGAACCTTGCCAGTTGGTACGTCGAATCATGCATCTATAATCAAGGACGGTAGCTTCACTAATCGATGCACAACTCGGCAAGTTTGCGCCTGGCCCCACTGATGGACAAATCTTAGCCTAGACAGTGGCGGCACGTTGACGGAACTTCGGAAGCGACCCTGAGCATTGGGTGAACTTAGAATCCGAGTCACAAGTTGGAAGCGTCCGAGTCTTGCACGTGGCAAAAAGTCCCACTTGCGCGGGCACTGTGTTCCGCGAGTTCCACAAAAACGACCAACTTGTTGACACCTATGACAACGGAATGTTCAGTGCTACGACGTGCCTTCTAATACTGTCCTTGAGCCAGCTTATACTCGGTAGCCTGCCTGACCAGGACCGTCCATGTTATTGTTCGATCCAAAACTGTACAACTAGAATAGACGGGTTAAGTTAGTGATTGTGGTTACCAATTGACAATTTAGACTCGCAGTTCCCTCGGTTGGAAACTCGTATGCCCGGCGTTTACTCAAGCCCGTGCACTGAAATTCCCATCACCTAGTGCCGCGTAGTGCCGACCCTAGAGAAAATCCGAGAGACTCTTTTCATCCAATGTTCGACACCAGAACGCTTTTCAATACCGGCAGAAGCCCACGACCAAACCCAGAAAAAGTCCGTGTCACTACACCTTCATTTTCACTGTGCTTTCTAGTACTCCAAATCGACAAGGATGACGAAGTGCTGTGACCCTTCCGACCAAACTGCCCGTATACATTTACCAGTGGTTGAGTTGCTACTCCCTCCGATGGAGTGACCGTTACGCTGATTCTTTAGATAGAGATTTTCTTCGTGAGAAAAACCTCCAGCCCCGACCTTGTTGCGACCCGGACCCCCCCTCCGCTTTTGGCGTCACCTCTACCGACCGCCGCATCGGATTCTCGGGCGGCGACTCCGCCGCTCGCGAAAGGGCTGAAATGTCTATCGAGCGCCGTGAAGCGCTTCCCCCGGAGGGTCTGCTCGTCAGAGACTTGCTGACGCTTTCCGACGGCGACGGTTGGCGGTCGGGCGTTTGGCGGGACCGGGAGCGCCTAGCGGATTTCTCGGGCGGGTCCATGGTCAGGAGGTAGTCGAGGCAGGTTATAGTCTTCCCGCACAGGCTGATGAGCGCCCGCGAGTAACTCTCCAGAATAGCTCGTCCAATGTCCTGCAACAGAGCAGCACGGTAATAATGAGCAAGCCGCTTCTGAGACCATTTGAGGCCAGCGGAGTCCGAGATTTTGGAAGCTGCCAGGATCTAGTCCAGGTTCGAACGGAACGAATGGTAACAGGAACGGAAATCTTACAGCAATCTGAACTCCGCGAGCTCTGTCCCCTCCAAGCACGGCCACGTAATCTTGAGCTTGCGCACATACTTTCACAGAACGCACAAATTCCCACAGACACAGAACGAAAGGATCGAAACGGAACGGAAGAGACGGAACCAAAACAGACCGGAACCGGAATCTTACCGTGTTGCGCGTGATCTTGAACTCGGCGAGCTCCGTCGCCTCCAGGCCCGGCCACGTCATCTTGAGGTCATGCACGAGCGCCGACGCGCGGCTCGCGTATACCGCGCGCTTCTTTGCGAGCGGCTCCGCCATTTCGACCATCATGGAGTGCCACATGTGGACCGCGGCCTCCAGATTATTGATAACCCGGAACGCGTTGCGCGGGGTTTTGGGGTTAACCGCGAGGAGGAGCTGCGTGGGGTTGGCGGACTTGCTGGTGAGCGCTTGGAAGATGTCGCCGCCCACCACTTGCTTGATGGTCTGCAAAAAAGGTTTTAGGAGTTTAGGGTTTGGGGGTTTAGGGTTTTGACTGTAGAGCAGACTTGCGTGATGGTCTGTGAAGAGGATTTTGAGGTTTCAGGCTTCAAATTTGCAACTTTCGAGCGACCTTGCTTGACGGTCTGCAGGGAAGATTGCGGAGCATCTAAGGATTTCGAGATACCTAGAAATCGAGCGAACCACCGAGGAGAAAGTCGGAAGGAACCTCAGTAGTGCTTGGTTGAGCATTGAGAAGCTGTTTTCTTCCACATACGACTGCTTCGAGCTGCATCATCTGCTCGCGCTTGCTCCAACTTGAAGTTGTGAAAAGACTTGAACCCTACCCCTAAAACTGTTCCTCAGCTGTTGCAGCAACGACCAGCCACGGCTGACACCGCCATCAAGAAAACGAGCTCCTCATTCACGGCGAAGTTAAAAGCGCAGTTCTGAGCATTGACACCGACTGCTAGCCGTTGCCGGTGCAATTCCTGCTAAAAGCTTGAATCCCTTACCTTCGATAATCAAGCTCAGTAAACAGCGGGCACCAGCATGGCTTGCAGGACTTACTCGTTGACCGTCAGCGCCGCTTCAAACTCGTTAACCGTCTGCCGGCCGTTGCAGTAATGTGAACTGACAAAAACCGAGTAGATCAAAAGTTGCAAACTCTTAACAAGCCTCAGATTTTGGAACGTCCAAGCCCTCACCTTTGGAAGTGACGCCCAGTAAACAGCGGGCACCGCCATTTCTTGCAAGACCTCCTCGTTGATCATGAGGGCCGCTTTCAGCACTTGCACCGTCTGCTCGCGCGTGCCCATCAGCTCGCGCTTGCTCGCGGCGCCGCCCGAGTTGAGCCGCAGCACGATGCGCTGGAGCAGGTCGTCGAGCGAGCGCAGCGCGGGGAGGGAGGTTTGGACGTCCGGACGCAGCCGTTGGACGATGATCTGAAGAGAAGAAGCGTCCGCGGAAGTAAGATATGCGTCCCAACAAAGTGAAAGCAAAGAAGATTCGTTTGCTGCAGCAACTCGTTGAGCAAGCGCCGTGACCGGACGTCTGGACGGAGCGTTGGACGATGATCTGGAGAGGAGAAAGCGTCCGAAAGTCAAGGATACGCGTTCGAGAAAAGGCTGGAAACGAAGAAGTTTGATGCGCTGGAGCAGGTTGTCGAGCGAGCGCAGTGCGGGGAGGGAGATTTGGACGTCCGGATGGAGCCATTGGACGACATCTGGAGAGGCCAAGCGTCCGAAAGATAAGATACGCGTTCAAATCAGAGTAGAAATGAAGAAGTTCGATGCGCAGGAGCGGGTCGTCGATCGAGCACAGTGCAGGTAGGGCGTTTGGACGTCCGGACGGAGCCGTTGGACGATGATCTGAAGAGGGAAAGCGTCCGGGATAGTGACACGTGTGTCCGAAGCAAGGGAGGTGTTTTCTACGAGGAGGGCGGCGGGTGGAGCGAAGCTCCGACGTCCGAGCAATGGGCGAGAAGCATGCGCCAGACACAAATCGAAGACCAGAAAACATACGAGCTTTCAAAGATGGCCGGCTCGTTCCGACTATCCATGACAGAAGCAGCCACTAGCTAGAACCTAAACCCACCGCGAGTCCCCAACTTGCTACCGAAATCAATACTAGAAGGGAAATCAAGCCATACTAAAAGGATAGTCACGTTTTAGTCCACACTCCGCGCTCAAATCTTCAAGCGCCAAAATGGGCAACAACCCCCGGGTTAAGGGAGAACCAAACCCGATGCTCACGTCTTTCATGCTGCCCGTCCGCGTCTCCACCGTGCTCGCCACCATCTCCATGACCTGGTCTCCGGGTGACGTCAGCCACGCAATCTCGTCCCGCCACGCCGCCACTTGGCTCGTCGAGATGCGCCCGTCGGTGATGAGGTCAGCAAACGTCGACGCGGCCAAGTCGGTGATCGCCTGGCTGATACTCAGTGCTGAGAGGGGGTCCGCCGAAGTGGACTCCTCCTGGTAGGCGGGGGGCAGGAAGTCTGCGGAATAAACAAGGGTAGGTTAGCGGCTGGGTTAATGAAAAATGTAAGGGGAGTGTCATTCATTGCAGGAGGCGGCAGAGGGAACTTAAACGAATCGAGGTGACGATGGACAAGGAGAATAATCAAGAAGAACACGTTTGCGAGCTGAAACCTTCAGCACTCAAAGATCTACAAAGCTGAACCGACGACAGATTTTCGCACAATGGGAGCCGTGGTAATGAGGACAGGGACTGGCTTTCAAGGAAACGATATGGGAGATTTTGTCCGGAGAACGATTCGGCAGCAGTATTGACTGGCAGCTGCCTTTGCAGAGGAATCTTCAAGGATTGGTTTACGTGCAAACTCAAACCGTAGTCATTACCACCAGACACCAAAGCGAATCTGCACCATATTCCTCCTTTTAAAGAATCACAACAGATCCGCTCCACTCAGATCGCTTCAAGCTCTCACCTTCCTGCTCCTCTTCCTCAAACAGCTCCGTCTCGCTGGGATGCCGCCTCAACTGCGCGGAACTCTCTTTCTTCACCGGAATCGCCCACTGCGGATCGTAAGCATTGCTCCTCTTTTCTTTCTGTCGTTTCGGAAGCGCGATATCCGGACTCTTCGACGGCAGGGGGGCGATTCCTTGGCCGGGGGGGGTGGACGGGCGCGGGTCAGGGTTCAGAGCGATCCCCCCGAAACGGGGAGCGCTCGACTGGGCGGACACGTCGTCGGGGGCTGACGTGGTGGCCTCCGCGGTCCAGTAACTAGAGAAGGGGCTCCGGAGCTCCCTGTCGCGCCTGCAGGGAACGTCCGAATGTGGTTTCAAGGGCGTCCGAAAGGGCCGGTCGCGGCCGGGTTTAGCGATTTTGATAGACCATGCACTATTTACTTGTGAACAAGCCTGTGAGCAGAGTCATGCCAATGGTGCTGATGTAATTGAAGCATGAAAAGACAACGTCGGCGTTCAGAGTAACTCGAAGCGTCCAAACCAGCCAGCGAAAAGAAAGTAAGCAGAACCAGGAGATCAGTGTAACCAGGTTCTGAAATGGACAGTCTTTGAAACCCAGAAAGGGTAAGATATCTTCCACGCCCTAGCATGCCTGCAGTCGGAATTGAAAGTGCATCCATCAATCTACAAACGACTCTCTCAAACAATTTTTAAATTCAATCAAAAGTACCAGAAAAAGCTGCCCGAGATTTTATTCGACGAATTGGGAGCTTACTTCCACTCTCGGAAAGGCTCAGAACGTGGTCAAACTTCCCTGCAAAGACTTCGAGGTGTTCCAACAACATGCAGAACTCCGGCAGCAGAGAAAAACTCTTCCCGCAGCGCAATCGCTGAAAAGCAATCCCGCATTTGAAAGCCCCGGACCGGGCACTCACACTTCGATCAAAAGCTCTGCCGAAACAAGTCACTGCAGAAAGAACTTTCATTCAGGGTGCCTAAGTTCGCTGACCTTGCATCGTTCTTCGCTTCTGCTCCTGCGCTCGTTTTCCGGCCCCCCTGCGTCTTCGCATTTCGTTCTTCCGCCAGATCCGACACCCGCCCCTGCACCTCCGGAACCGCCTGCCGCGCGCCGGACGCTTTCTCCTCCTCCCCCTTGTTCTCGTACTGCCTCACAGCCTGCTTGACCCATTCCTTCCTTGGCTCCGCAACCGGCTGCGACGGAACGGACCGGAACGGAACGGAACTCTCCTGTCTCTCCCCTCCACCCCCGAGCCGGCTCGAGCCGTACCCCCAGTCGTCCGCCACGTGTCCCCCCTGGACAGCTGCCACGTCAGCGGGTTCGGGGTCCCAGGAGAGGCTGACGGGGGTCCCCGTGTCGAGGGATCCCCCAACGGAGTCGTACGCTTCGCTGCTGATGCTGCTGCGGTCGTCTTCGAGGAAACGCGACACGCACTGGCCAATCCCGAGCCACGATTCCAGCGTGTATTTGGACAGCTCCGCTTTGTACGCGTCCGAAGCGTCCGGTGGGGGGCCTTCAGGTGCGCCTTCGGGCCTGAGAAAGGAGAAAAGAAAGCTTGGAAGCAAATCCCAATGTGATGTGAGCGCCGTTCCCTACAAGGTGTATGCGTGAGGCATGACCGAAACCCTCCCGTGTTAATCCTTTTCGAGCTCTTGCCCTTAGCTTATGAAGGAGCCCTGACCAGAAACACAGTGGAAAATCAACGACGCCTCAATCGCTTGGATGGTAACAGAGGAATGCGGCTGAGGCAAATCTTGTCTTGGAGCACGAAACCGTAAAATCAAGCGTGTCTCCGATGCCAGATTATATGCGATCCGAATTACCGAACTGATGCCCCTGGCTTTTGTTACTATGAGCCTTCCAGGCGTGAGGAGCAAAAGGCTTGGCCAGTCCTTACCTTGCAGAAGATCCTGTTACGCCTTGGGCAGACTAATGAACACTACATCATTCAAGTCACAAGAAACCTGCTGAACCGTTCCTTTTCTAAACGTTGCCTCTCATTTTTTGAGAAGTGGCATCCTCACCTGGGCATCCCTTCCTCTGGGTCCTCTCGCGGCATATCGGGTACCATGCCCTCCAACAAAGCCCGGGAGACGCGTCTCGACACCCCAGTCTGTGCGAGCGCTTCCCCCGGTGGACCCCCCCGGGCCTCTGCGTTGAGCATTTGCACGCTGACACGACCGGTCGGCACACTTTCCCGCACCTCTGTGTTCAGCATCCGCACGCTGACGCGCTCGGTCGGGGGATCCCCCCGGGCTTCTGTCTTCACATTCACAGGTCCGCTCTGAGGAGCCCCCCGGGCTTCCCGGTTGAGCATCTGCACCTTCACCTTGACTCTCCCCGCCGGCGGAAGCCCCTCCGGGATCGGGGCCCTCAAAACGGGACCTGCCGGGGCCTCAACAGCCGCGGCTTTCCGTTCGGGGGCTTTGGCTTTCGGGGCTGCGACGATGGGTTTTCCGGACACGCTCTCGTCTTCTTCCATCATGCGCTTCATGTTGTCATCCCCTCCGCGGTCCATTTCGTCGCACACGGACCCGGAATCCTCCGTACCCTCCTCCGTCGGCAGCAGCCGGGGCTTCGCCACGTCATCCTTCCGGGAAGCCACGTCACCACGGCCCTGAGTGCTCTTCTCGTTGGCATCTGCCTTGCTGACGTCTTTCGCCCTGCTGACGTCACCCCGGCGCGTCTTCTCCGCCTCCTCCGCGATGATGATGTCAGCGATGCGGCTCAGGAGCCCCGGCTCGTCGGGCCCGCCGTCGGTGACCGTCACGGACTGCGGAGAGTCGTCCCAGAACTCCTCCACGGCACGGTCGACCTCGCTGACCGAAATCGTGACGTCATCCTCTGCGGCAGCTGGCGCCTCGGGTGCCGCCCCCGCCACCGCGTCCGCCTTGGCCGCCTTGGCGCCCTTCTCCTTCTTCCCCCTCCCCCTGAACAGCCTGCTGAAACGGCCCCCCTTTTTGGTCTTCTCGGGCGGGGACCGCGCGGGCGCCTCTCGCCCCGTCAACTCCTGCACATCTTCCTCCGTCACGCTGCGGACGCTTCCGTTTTCGTTCCGCCCACCACCGTCGGATTCCGTTCGGACGGTTTCGGACGTGCTGCGCCCGCTTTCGGACGCCGTTTGGAGGCGCAACTGCTCCGCCTGCTTCGCGACGAGCCACCGGTCGAGGACCTCCAACACCTCCAGCCCGCGCGCATATGCCGGGGTTTCCGGGCGCTTATACTGGATGAACCCGTTGACTTCGCCCGCTTTCTCGACGCCCTCGACTTTGGCGACGGCCATGATGTTCAGGATGTCGTTGTCGAGCGAGCTGTGCGACTTGAAATCGCCGAAGCTGTCCTCGTGCGCGCGGATCGACGCCTCCGAGTCGAGGTTGTCGACGTGGAGTTGCAGGTGGAGCTGGAAAGACAGAGGCAGCTTTTTGAAAAAAGGATCAGGATTTTAGCTTTAGGATCCTGGACGGATCATGGGCTTCACTGCTTTCAAGCTTCCTGGGGTTTGGCGAAAAAACCGAAGATATTTTTCACTCATGAAAGTGCCCCAGATGTTACGCATAGGACGGACCACTTCTATTCGACACAAGGTTGGGACCTCATGCGGGCAGAGTTTCAGTTTATTGAAACACCCAAGCAGTGCAGATCAACCAATCAATTGCGCCAAGACTGGCAGTCCATTGCCTTGGCGAGAAAATGTTACGCAATTGGTTCCTTCACAAAAAATGGGCCCTTCCCGCTCGGCCGAGTAATCAAACCATGGATTGGAGACTCACGAAGGTTTCACCTTGATCCCAGAATGAGCGGCCACGGTATTCCCTGAGAAACACGAAGCAGCCCGATTGATCATTTTCAAGCACTGTTGGTCGACCAGGATTCATGTCTCAAGTCAAGGCCCACCTTGTTTTCTCCAATGTGTGCATCGCCCAGCGACAGACTGTTCGGATCAACCTCCTTGTCCGCCACCGCTGATTTGTCGCCCTCTGACTTGTCGCCCTCTTCAGCTGCCACATAATCACCCGCCTTCGCTGCACTCTCGTCCCCCTGCCCGGTGATTGGAGCTGCTGCCACGTGTTCCCCTTTAGCTTCGGCCACGTGGCCCCCTTTGGCTTCGGCCTCTCCTGCAGCCGATGCAGCATTCGACTCGACTGTTTCTTCCTTCGTTTCTGAAGCGGAATCGGCGTTAGAACCGTCGTCTGGCTTTTTAGAATCGTGCTCTGGCTCGGCAGCGACCACGTCCTCACTGGCGACCGGTTTCTCAATGACGGGTTCTTCCGCTATGAATACGTTGGGATCGTTTTCCGATTCCAGCTTTGCCAACGCGAGTGTCAGCTCCTCCGCTCTCGCCTTAAAGATCATCCGCGCCATGTAATCCGAGCTCGTCTCCTCGTCCCCGGGGGTGATCTCCCTGCCATTCTGACCCCCCTCAGAAATCACGGAACCCCACGGGATCGTCTGCTGCTGCCTGACGCCCATCCCCGTGACGTCACCAACCGGCTCGGGTTCCTCCGGCGCTGCGTCAGCGGCGCTCCGCCACCTGGCGCGATCTGATTCGCTGAGGACGGGCTTGTCGCTGGCGGGCCTTGTCGGGGCTGTCCTTGACATCTGGGGGGCGGTGAAAACGTCCGCCGTTCCAGAAGCAAGGCCTGTTGGGAAGTTTGTCCCTGAGGGAGACGGCAGGAGAGCCGGCTTGGCGGGCGCTGATTGGACCACGTGGCCTTTGCGAATGATCGTCACCGCGCACCGGGCGTGCTTCAGGCAGTAGTCAGCTAGGCTTGTGCTCTTCAACCTGTACAAAGGAAGACGCGCAATTTGTAATAAGCGGTGCCTATTCGGTTGATCTCAATAGGGAAAATAAGCGCTCTTTTGTTCGTCCGGGTTCAGACTCCACAATCGCAGCAGTGGTAAAGATTCTAAAACTACTTGACTGCGTTTGACAGTCGGACTCATTACACGCACCTTTGCGCGTATACAAGAGTGACTGACGCCCATTCGTAATGACAGAGCATGTGAAATTGGAATAATCGCCAACAAGGTCCAGAAAGCTCACGACTAGACAGTGTCGTATCCAAGACGAGATGCAGCAAGCGAAAGGCGTGCTTGCAGAAAGCGCTCTTGCCAAGCTCGGAGCATCTACATCGTTCAAATGGATCACCGTGCTCATCTAAGAGGTGTTTGGCCGGGTTGCAAAGACAAGTCTTCAACGCGTGTATCCAGCCGCGCCAAACCTCAAAGCCCTCTGAATGTCGTCTGTTGACTAACAACTGAGGACTTCCGAAGCATGCTACGAGTCTCCCAAAAGATCTCCGCCGCCATATGCAACTGTCTGGAGATATCGAATCCGATCAGATCAACTCCAGCCACTTGGCTAAGTCCCAGACAGTCCTGACTCAACGTGCTTACTTTGGCATGATGCGCCGCGCCTTGCCCCCCATGACCAGGTCCGTCGCACCCATGCGTTGCACCTCTTCCAGAATCATCTTGCGACGGTCCCCCTCCACCAGCTTTGTCAGCGCCTCCACCTGGCAGGAGGAGACTTTTACTGTCTACCAACCACTTTGCAAGTTGGCTAACGAGTTTTGGATCCACAACGAGACGATACAAAACGTGCAGTAAATCGTATCTCTTTGTGCCCTATGGTTGCAACCAAAGTTACCACTTCACTGTCTACTGATATCTCAGCCCCAACGAAAGTCATCAAACAGAGGCAGCCAAAGCAATGGTCCAGAGAGCACCAAGTTCAGCTGCCCTAGATACAATGCTTGGTAAAAGCACGTTCCAAGCTGCCGGGTGATGTAATATAGAAATCGTTCATAGAGGAGGAATTGGATTCACCTTGTTCCAAGCTAGCAAGAGTCACTTGAGCGCTTGAAAGAAAAACAGGGGGTACTCTCAAAAGGTAAACTCACCCGTTTTGGGGCGCACAGCGCCTCAAAAGACTCCAGCAGCTCGCCCCCCACCTCGCGCGCCTGCAGACCGATCCTCTGCACCTCGGCGGGGTCCATTTGCGACGCGTCCACGTAGCCATCTGTGGACAACGAACGAGTTATAAATAATTGTGGTGAGGGGTCGCGAGGTGTTTCTAAAATCCTACTCGATTTGCATCGATTCAGGGCTACATTCAGATAGGTCACTGCCCCAGGGGACTGGTGGCGTTGGGTTGGAGAGCGGAGAGCGGAGCCTGTTTACTGGTGTACTTTAAAGTAAGCACCAATGCGTCTCAGCGCAGGCTTGTAAAAGCGAGTTCTGTGTTCCTCGAGAACAGCTCTTTTGAAAGGAATCTTCTGGGTGAGATTTGCAGACCAATGAACAGCTCCGAGAATAACTTTACCCCCTGAGAAGGGGCACCGCTGGAACTTCTACAGGGGCCATGTCTGCATCCCATGCTATGAATCAAAAGCACAGATCTCTGGGGGTGCATTTCAAAGGTTTGACTGAATTTTACCCACCCCATGACGCCACTATGGCCCGCAGTGCAGAGAAGGCAGATCAACCGAAGGACAGGTATAATGCTGCCAAATAAAGAGTACTAGAGAAGAGCTATCAAAACGTCCAGATCATGTTCTCTGGGCAAAACCACCTCTGGGGAGGCTGAGTAGAGCGCCTAAAAGTTAGGAGTCACTAGTTCCCAGCAATAACTTCAGAGCCATGTATATGCACTACTTCACCATAAACATGTCAAGAAAGATGCTCAGTGAAGCACACATGTGACCCTACTGTAACCACAGAAGCCATGGCACCAGTCCATATATCCAACTCTTGACTGTAAAGGGGCCTCGACTCCGCGCTTGCTCAGTTTTAGCGAGAACCCCCAGCATTGCAACAACGGGCCTCTGCCAAACGCGCCACAGGTAGCCCTAGCCAAGATTTCTGCCTGTCCACAGCAGCGACCTTGAACCCAAGTTTACCCACGGTATTTGGGGGCAGTAACCATAAGCAACCTAAGGGGCATGTTTAAAATGCCCCACTGATGAGCAACGTCAAGGTCGCTGCCCCGCAAACAAAACGAGCTCAGATACACAGTTCTTTACGTTTCCAAGATGACAAAAGGTAAACAAGGGGACTGACTTTCTACCGTCATCTCCCTACTCATCAGCCAGTCCCTGAACATAGCTGTTGTTCCTTCATTCCTTGCAATTCTTTTGTAAGCTTGTCACAAGGGCTTGGCTCGAACTCTTCCTCACCTCGGGTGGCGATGTACTCGATAGGCTTCAGCACATGCAGCAGCATCAGGATGTCATCGGGCGTCCGAACGAGCTTGTCCAATGTCCAGAGCAGAGCATCTTTGGAGCTGCGCGACGAGCTGACGGCCACGAGCACCCGCCGAGGGGCCTCGCTCTTTACGGCCATTCTGTCCCCCACCCTAGTTACCTAACTCCAACGGCTTCCAAGCGTCTGCACGCTCAAAGCGCACATTTGCAGGCACTACACATGTTTCTTGGACGGGCAGAATGTGTTGAACTTTGGGAACCCCTGGTTGACCGGCTTTGTAAATGTTATTCGTTCAATGTATTGACTGTGCTCTCCAAGTTGAGGGGATACTCAAAGTACCGCAGTTCGACCCCTCGGATCTTCCACAGTGCTACAGATCAAACGGTGTGTGAGTCTTGTTTGCATGTGCTGAGTAAATGCGCCCCTTCAAGATAAAGAACCCCTTCTGCTGGCCCCTACTCTATGATTTACATTTAAGGTGGCGCCTGCAACAGATTCAACGTCTGCTTTTGACAAGCAAGTGCCTGAAAGTCATGGCGCCCCCTTCTTGTATGACTTCTTCCAAACCTCAACAATCAAACTCTTCAATGACTCGTCCCCCTGAAGAGCAGATAAGGGCGCGACGGTGTAGATTGATGACTTTCTGCAAGCCGCACTCTTAGAAGTCAAAGAGACCGCATCCCTGACAGATACCTATTTGCACTTCAATCTTCAGGTTTGAGAAACCAAGGGATGTCTTGCACAGCCTCTTTTCCTGCGTGCCCCCTCCAGCCTCATGCATTTTCCTTTCTCTTCGACCATTTTCTTGGAGCTTTAGCCAACCAGACCTTCTCAGTCTGAATCTCATGAACTCATGATGAAGCTCTGGTCGTCTTCTTCCAACGTGAAGTTGTGGCGCGAGGGCCCCTTCCGAGACTCCCTGGGGAGGATCTCACCCCGCCTCTGACGTGACTCCCTCGGAGAGGATTTTGATAATACCGGGGATCTAATATTGGATGAAAACCATTAAAATGTGTCAAAGGGTACCGTAGTCCAACGTGATGATTCCGAACGATTTTGTTTCGAATTATTTCTCAACAATCCGACCAGGAAAGTGGAATTATATATGCTGATTCCGACAAGAATCCGAATGCCCTATGGTCTCACTTCGAAGGGGAGTTTTTGGCTGTTTTTGGCAGTTTTACGGCTCCCAAGGACCATTTCAAGGTTATTTTACCTTTCCGAAATTTCACTTTCCGAATAGGAAATCCGAATTTCTGACTTTCCGAACGCAAATAATTATTTATTTATTCGGAATCATCACGTTGGACTACGGTATTGTTCATAGCTGCACTCAGATACGGCCGGAATAATGACACTGCCTCTGCCTCCGAGGAATTTATCGAGCGGCGGTGGGCCCGTGCGTTTCGATGATTTCCTCGACCGGCCTTTTTCGCACATACCGGGATCCCCTAATTTAGGAGCCTCATTCTGACCTCGTCAGATGCTGGCGTCCAGCGCCGTACACGAGATCGGACGGTGCACCGACTATGTGGGAGCTGACTATTTGACGTCACTTCCGAAATGTACGGGTAGTGATCATGCTGATTCCGTGATATGGAAGTCATCCGGAATTTGGAGTCCGGATTGTGCGCCGGCGTGTCAGGCATCCTTATGCAGCGGCCGCGCCGGCCGGCCAGCGGCCACGCGGTCGCGCTCGGACCGGCGCCTGGCAGGGCAAACTACATGGCAAAACGACGAGCATAGATAGGCGTGCTGTAAATAGCATGCATGGATGTTCTCTTTTCAAACGCCGTAGCCACATGGGCCATACGGTAGTCCTAGGCTTCCATCATCCATGGCATACTGGTACATGGAAATCAGCAGTGAGATCTGAACGCCTAGCTACCCTACTAACTGAATCTTTATGTGCTACATTAGTCCAAACCTAGATCGAAGCCCTAGCTTCACTGGATTCGTACTGTTACTATTGGTACCGTCTCGTATGCAGTTTGGCTGCTTGGAGATTTGATCGAAGTCATGAGCAGAGTTGCAATATATAACTCCATAATTGCATGGTCGACCTCTTGGAAATCGTGGCATGCATGATCTCCACGATGTTCGACCTCTGAGAGGCGATAGAGTCCCTTCGCTATGTTCACTGGAAACCGCGTTGTATCGATCAGACGGCCCGGGGCGCTGGGCCTGGGCTAACTTCAGGCTGCTTAAAACATGATACAATGCATGCTGATCGGACAATGCCGTCTATCATCAGTAATTACTCTAAGTTACTCTAAGTATTCAACTTGGCAACCCACGGTAATGTATGTACGTATGCACTTATGATGGGCCGCGCGGGCCGCAAGTGCTGAGGGAACATGAACGGCTTAACATGGGGCCACCAAGATTCAAAAACGGACTTTCTGATCTTGAACTATAGGTGGGCAATATTGAGAGCATGAGTCCGGCCGGCCAAAGTTCGGGCTAAGCCCATATAGTGGACTGAGCATGGCTTCTTGCGACCTTGGAGCCTCATTGTACAAAGCACGGCGATTGAACCGGCTAAACTTTGCTGTATCGGACTCATGGTTTAGACTCATCGACTAGTGACCATCTGCACCTCGCTTAGGACCATATCGGATCCTTTGAGCACGAGCCTCACAATGATGGTATATTGCAAGCAGCGTCAATTGTTCTCTCGTCGGTCGGCACATACGTAGAGCGGTCTGCAATGCACATACCTATCGTGTAGATTTGCGACCCGATAATTAAAGTAAACCTCCTCCGCAATGGAATTTGCATGGACCTCGTAAGTTTGCCCTGCACTCGTGCACATCGCCTATTGATTCTAAATGACATGTAGCATGATTTCTGCAGTTGCCTTGATGGCGCCTGACCGCTTCGGTTTACGACCGCTCCAGTTTGCCACATCAACGTTTCCGGGCTACAAGCGTCCGTTCGTGCACCGTGTTTGCGAGCAGCCATATGCAGTCCATGTCTACAAAATGCTTATCCAGACTCGGGCTTAGCAACTTGAGCGCCTCGGTCTTATCGCGCGCCTTTCCAAAGAATTTAAGGGTCATGATGAAGAGCCCCCCCGGCCGCAGGAATGGAAACAGCGGTTCCGACCACTTGAGGACCTCCTTGGGGTGTTTGTTGATGTCGCACACTAAGAGATCGCTCAGCTGATCGCGCTGCCACGTGGCCAGATCATCTTTCGCGTCCAGAGCCTGTAACATGTGGAGCGTGGCCTTGTTAGCGTCAAATTTGTTTTGCTTTCAGATCTGTGCGCCTCAGCTGAGCTTGATTGGTGTGCCGGCAGTTCTTGAGCGGTACAATCATCTAGATGTCGTTATTGAGGGGTTCCACTCTCTTGAAGTTGGAATCGACCGCTTCAATCATCTAGATGTCGTTATCGAGTGGCCCGGGTTTTGTGAACTTGTAGGATCAGCTTGAACCGAGGTGCCAGTTATGCTCATGCAGCAAATCTGATAAAGTTGAACGGAAACGAGGGGCACCGACAGATCGCCCGCAAAACCCGGCAGACTCGGGAAGGACACGTGTGAAGACGCAAACCTGTTTTGGAAAGTGCACTTTTTGACAGGCAACGAGGGCGAAGCTGCTCCAATGAGTCCTCGGGCGAAACGAACAGAAACTCACAACAGAAAGAGTCTGAGGGGGACACAATTGCTTCGGACCCAAACAAAGAACCAAGGGCGAAAAGAAGTAGGAAAGAGCGGCGAAATCAAAAGAAAGGGAATTGGAACAGGCGGCCAGCCTCACCGCCTTCCGAATGTGCGTCACGTTCTCAAGCATCGCGTCCGCCCCCATCTCGGCCGGATCGACGGCCGCAACACGTGCCACGTGTCCCGCCAGGTAGGCCGTCCAGGCGCCTGGGGCAGCTCCCAGGTCGATCACTGCAACCGGACAGGAAAGAGTCTCCTATCTAGTTGTGAATAGGATCCTTGAGTTGCAGAGAGCTGGCCCAATAGAAACACTGGGGGGAGGAGACCGCTATTAACAATGATAAGACAATGGTCAATGCACTGAAAGTGTTGACACATGGTGATCCTGCGCGGAGTCGTTGATCAGGGTTAGCAGAAGGGTCGAAGAGTGAAAGCAAACCGTTCGTGGGTCCGGTAGACGTAATGAGATGCAGAACCATCTCACGGTTGCCACATGAAGAGGTGTCCAGTGCGGGTGTGGGTAGCAGAACCCCGCGCAGCTCCTGCTTGCGGGAGAAAAGAACAAGAGACTCGACGAACCATATTAACCGAAACCAAACCATGCTTTTGACCCAACAGGGTCACATGTTACAGAACCCAGCAACTTCGACCATGCGGGACATTGCGCAACGCCGTGCAACGTTGCTGCAACGAGAAGAACGGGGTGTCAAAGATGTGAACGTTGTTCACAAAACACTTAGCCAAGGAAGAGCGGAAAGGCACGAATGAAATTGAAACCAAAGCGCCAGCAATCTGTCAGGCTTGTCCTTTCCGAATCGAAGAGTAAGAATCGAATCGAATCGAATCAAAGACAAAAGAGTAAGAGTGAGTAAGTAAACGTAAAGGGCGTGAGGAAAAGCGCGAGACAAAGGCGGAAACGCACCCGTGGTGTCTCTGCCGAGCGGCCAGCCAACCGCCTCCAGAATCTCCTCCATCTTACACACGGCCTTCGAGACGCTCCCCTCGTGCAAGCACTGCAAATCCCCCGTCCCGCGGCCCTCGGAACCCTCCCCCCCTCGGAGATCACGCTGGAAGTAGACGTCTTCCGCGGGGCTGATTCCGTAGTAGTACATCCAGCGCTTGGTCGCGCTGTTGCCGAAAGAGGGGGCGTGGACTTCGGCGACGCCCAGGACGTGCGTGAATCGAGCCTGCCGGGGGGGTAAAAAGCACGAGGGAGTTAGGGGGGGTGGGAATGAAACTGTGAAGAGAAGCTGTTCACGAAAGAGGGGGCGACGCCCAGGAAGTGCGTGAACCGGGCCGGCCGGGGGGGGAAAGAAAACACAGGCAATTACGAGGAATGGCCCATCAAGAAGAAGCTCTCGGGAAACTATATTATTGATGAAGGTGGGTACGTGGAAACGGGCGATGACTAGGACGTAGGTGAATGTGGGCTGCCGCCAGGAAACACTAGAGGCGGTTTGGGGGGCTGCAATCCAAAATTCAAGAGAGAGGGATCCCCAGGTTTTTTGACGAGAGGGGTGATGTGCGGCGCCTAGGACGTGGGTGAACCGGCCTGCGTGGGTGATTGAAAAAAACACAGGCGTTTTCAGAATGGTCTGTAAGAAAGCGAGGAGTTTGCAGGCTATCTACGAGAGTGGGGGCATCAAGGTTGGCGACACCGGAAGACGCGGAAGAATTCAGCCTGCTGGGGGGTAAAGAAAGAGCAGACAACTTGGGGGGAGTGCCACTGAACACGTTCAGAACAGGGCCACAGGTTTTACGTGGTTATGCACGAGAGTGGGGTGCATGCGCTCCAGCGACACCAGAACGTGAATCAATTTTGGCTGCCGTCGTTACTTTGGGGAGGAACTAAACATAAGGACTCGGCCTGGGGCAGGTAGGGGGGATCTGCATCATTGTATTCGATGATCTCCCCCAAGGAGGTGGCATTTCAGAGAATCTCAAGTTGATTCCAGAACGGTCAAGCGACAATAGGCCCAAAGTGCAAGACACTCAGCCCATTGATGCTGGTAACAGCAAATGCTCCCCAACGAAAAGAAAACGTAAAATCGCCACCAAGGGCGCACTCTCACCATGCCCACTTCGACGTCCGGAATGCTGTCCGTGAAGAACGTCTCTAGCGCCTTCGGACACGCCTGGGTCCGCAGCCGCACCTTCGGCGGCCCCCCTTCCACGTGGCCTGTTTCCAGGTCGGATACTGCCTCTCCGTTTCCGTTTTGATTCCTGTACTGGCTTCTGCTTTCCTCGCCCATCCCGTCTACCTTCTCACCTCTGCTTTCACTTTCGGGTTCGTTTCCTTCCAACTTCACGTCCCTTTCTGATGTGGCCATTCCGTTCTCATGCCGGTCGGACCGCAACTGTTCGGTATCCACGTTCGATTCCCCATTTTGCGATGTTCCATCAAGCGCTGGCAGTGAATTTCCCCGTGACTCGCTTTCAGTCTCAGTATTGCTCAATGAACAAGCATCCTTGCCAAAACTGTTCGCGAGCTTCGCAACCGTCCCCTCAATTTTTCCAACGCTTGACTTACTCTCGCTGACAGGACCGTTCACTCCTCGGCTAGCCGTTTCACAGTCGGAGTCACCAAATTGCTTCCCCTGGCTTTCCCCGTTTGCTCTCAAGGTTAGGCCAGTGCTGTGGGTGCCTGCCGTGGGGGCTTTCATCAATTGACACAAGTCCTCCGCAACCTGAGCTGCGGCAGCCTCTTTGGTCATCGCTGTGTGATGGCACCAGTAGATGCGCGCAACATATCTGCAGACAAGAGAAGATTGCAAGTTCAGTATGCTTGGAAGTACAGGGCCCATACCAAAGGAACCACAGAACTTCGATCCGATAAGAAAAGGCAGAATTCGTCAACTTTAGCAATTCTACAAGTGCTTTGATGGCTCTTTCTACAAGCATTCGGTTAAACAGGTGAGCCCAATTGGAAAAATAGGGGCTCCTGTCTACGGGGCCAAAAGGTCATGCTCCAAACAAACAATGCTGAGAGAGAGCTCGGGGCGTGCACTCTTTTTGGGGGCTTTTCATACAGTAGTGAAGCGATGCAAGACCAGTATGAACACCGTCTTGAACCTCTGCAGTTCCTCATCATTGCTGGTAGACGATACTTCCAGAAACAAACCACCACACTGAATAACGTTCTTCCTCAGATAGAAGAGTGAGTAAGCTGGGCCATCATGGAATACAAACAACATAGCTCAGGTCCGAAGAAAGGCTGGTCTGAGTACATCAGCTGATGCTCTCTACGGAACAGCAATGTCCGGGCCAAAGAGAAAATCCAAGCTATACAAAGCAGAGCACGTTCACACAGGACAGCTAACCACATCAGAAAGATTGTGTGGCCCCTCTCACCTCCTCAGAAAGGTGGTGTGAATGTGGGCAATGATCTCAGCTTTGCTGGCGGTGCAGTTCCGCAGGAGAACTAGGTTGGGCCCGTGATGCATACTCTTCTTTGGACCAAGCTCCTCGGCTGATTCGCCAAACTTGCCCCCCGGAAGAATGGAGACTCGCGGGTTCTGGGCCAGTAGGCACACGCGGTGGGCGTAGCTCTGGTTGTGCATTTGGAGAATGACGTCCATCTTCTTTTGGGGGGACACAAGTTCGTGATGGCGACTACTGGGTTTTGGGGAGATGAATCGCCACGCTGATGTGCTGCAGCGCTGAGGTTGGAGAGATGCTAGTAGACAGGGTCCCTTAGTTCAAAAGGTGAGCAGTACAACCAAGAGCCCTTTCTCAAAGGCTGACGACTTCGACGGAGGTGGTGGTGAGTTCAAATCGCCAGCAGATCGAGGCCAACACTGGTCGTCAATGTAGGCATACTTGGGGAGGATCCGGACACGTTGGAGTCTGAAGTTCCTACATAAAGCTCCGCAAATGGAGCTGCCGCCTTGCCTCCTCTGAGTTCACAGCTTCAAGGCTTCAGTGCTTCTGAGCTCCAGGTGATTAGCTGCCAGCACATAGAATGCTTGAAGCGCTTGAAGAAATAGAAGCAACCGGAGTCACCATGCAGCAAGAGGCACCCAGAGTACTCCAAGTACGGTAGATAGCATCCCTGCCGGTAAGCTGCCAGTACTGCCACAGCCAGCGGATCTCTCGCCATTGCCACTGTTGGCCAAGCGAAGCTCGGTGTGTTGTCCAACCGCAGAACAAGGCCTTTCACCATGAACCGTTGTCGGTATCGGTCCTGATAAACGGGCCTGGTCTGCTGGCTCGGTTTGATACACGTATGACACATCATTGCCCCTGAATTCCGGTTAAAAAGTCACCGTGCTTTTCGGTCAAAGCACTCGCGTCAGGCAAACCGGCGCAGCCTAGCTATTACCAGGCACATACTGTAAGCAAAGCAAAGCCTAGTCACGCCTCCAAGGCTCCATTCTGCTCATGCATGAACGCCTTGCTGAATTCCGCCCATTTGCTGGACTACTAGTAGGTACTAGAACTTGGGGAGAACGTTGAGAAAGGAGCTGGCCCTCCTTTAACTAATAGCGGCATCTGTTCGGCCCGCACGGTCTGATTGGGAAGATGGAAGGTGCTGCATACGAAATGCAGATGCGAAAGCAGTGGGGCAGCGAAAACAGGCACGATTGCACGATGTGAAATGCAGCATGGCAGTTGAAGCAGCAGCTAGCGACGGAGAGGATTGTCAAGCAGCTTTTGTTCCTACTCTGATTATAATCGAAGGATTTTGAGTGGAGAACTCCGTTCCAGGAGTGTCTTAGCAATGGAACCCCTTCGTGGTTGATGAGCAACAGGATTTTGCCGTGCTGGCCCGTAATGCTGCCCATGCTGGCGCTTCCTTCGAAACCTCAGAATTGTGCAAATGTGGGTGCCACTAACCCAGAAGCAGTGGTTGGAAAGATGATCTGACAAGACTGTTAAGACGGAGCGACCTTTCAGGGCTATATGCTGTAGTCAGCATATAACCCACAGAAAATCAGCCAGTCTGTTGCAGCTAGGTTCGGAGGAAAGATGGCGTCTCTGTTCCACGTCTACTTCCCGGGCAAGAGTTTTGAGCTGGACTCCTCTCGGTTCATCCAGGTTGACACACAGCGGTGGGTCATGAACATGAGCATGTACGTAGGTGAGGCATGGTGTCAAACTACTTTCCTCAGGGCATGCAACTGGTGGCAGCTTGCATTTGTACCGCGTTGCGGTTCTCTCGACCCTCGAGAGTCGCACTTTCTTTTGGAGGGGGGGGGCGTGTTGCCGTACGGAAGAAGCGCGACAGTGATCGCGATGCTTGTCTGTAAAAACTGTAGACTGTACGCGGGCTCATCGTTCTGACATTCCAAAAGGTTCGTTAACGCCGGTGCTTCCATGGTTTGGAAATGTTCCACTGCCCTGGTCTTTGCTCGATGACACCAATCGAAGCCAGTCTCCAGAAGCGGCCGGCCGGCGCTTGGGCATTACAAGGTCCGCATGGCATCATGCCTGGCTAGCCTCGTGTGTTGAGTGGTCCACCATCATTGATGTGAACCGGTCATAATGCTCTGTACTTGCGAAATTCTCGATTTTTTCTGACATGCCTTTGACTGGTTTCAACAGTCCAATCAAACGAGCAACAAGAACAGGGAAGAAGCAAAAAACATTGTGGGGGCAAACCTCCAAAGGAGGCTTCAGGTCGTTTGTAGTCGCTGTCTAGCATTCGTCTTATCGGCGCCTTGCAAACGCTTGACTGTCGCTTTTCTCTCTTTCGAATCCAATTTGTTGAAAATTATTATGATACTGGGGCACACTTTTCGATGCAGTGCAGTCCCTTTATATCTCGAGCCACCTTCTCTCTTTATTTGCAGATACGAACCAGTTCGATATAGTGAAAGGGAGAGAAGAGCTTCGAAGAAAACATGCCATAGAGGAAGATGCCAAACGTTCCTTTTCTAATTCAAATCCATTGTCTGCTCCAAAGCAAACAAGTTGGACAAAAGAACTTCGACTAGGAAACAGAATAGAGACCTCATGATGGCATGAGATCCGAAGCTTTTTGAACCTGCTCGAATCTTCAGCCATACGTTCTCGTTGTTTGCAGGTGATGCTTACGATCAGGTCAAGGAGATCTTCCTCGGTTTACCAACCGAGCAGTCCCTCCCCAATCCCGAGCTTGCTCTCGCAGTCTACGTCCAATCCCCGGGCTCCAATTGGGAATACCGGGGAGCCGTCAACTCCCAACGCCCCAGCGCGGTGATCCCCCTAGTCTGGCCGTCTCCAGGGGGGAGCCCTCAAACTGCGGACGGGACCCCCCTCCCAGCACAAATTGGGATTTCGATCGAAAGCGCGGCGAGTCTACCAACGGCGGTAGTCGGAGCGCAACAAAGGGCGGAAGAGTTCGCGCGGAAAGTCGGGGAAAACTTGTTCCACTTTATGCAGTCGTTCTCGAGTTCGAACGACGGGATGCTGCACGTGCCGGTTAGCATCCTTAACCAGTGGTTTACGAAGTTCCAAGAAAGGTTCAGGGTAGACCCGGATTTCTTGGACCGGCAACGAGACTGAGGACGCGTGCAGTTACTTGGGAACGTAAAGCTCGTATAAACAAAGTCAATTGTAGCCAAACGGTAAGAGTAGAAACTTGGGAGCCGAACGTCTAGGCCAGCTTTGGCATACATGACTCAGACAGAAAGCGGCCGCGTGAAATCTAACCTTGGGCTCTACGGCGCAGCAAGATTATCGATGGAATATGCAATGCTCTATTGTAAGGGGCATGCGCGCATTCCAGAATCATGTTCAATCGAGTACATAAGTTCTGGAATTCACGGTTGACTAAGCAGAAGCATGACGTCCGCAATTTGAACACTGTTTTTAAGATTTGAAGTGAAGTCCGGCTGGCGCGGACGGTCCGACCGACTTGAACTCTTTAGCTCGACTTTCGAGTCCTTTTCGATGTCATGCAAGCGTGCCCGGCAGCAGCGCCAGTCGGAGAGGCTCCGCTCGTTCGGAGAGGCGAGCATGAGTCAACCCTGCAGTCACTTGGACGCAAACTCGATTGAAAGTTTTTGACTCTACTTTAATAGCACGTGTACATGTGTATATGTCGGACACGCGTACGTCAACCACAATATATTGCGTGAGCCATGTGTTTACATTGAGTATGTTTCATACACTGAGTAGCCTGGCCACGTGCACAACCGTAAGGTACCACAATTGCACTGTACTTCCGAAAAGGTCCGTCTAGAATCGTCACATACATGTGATCAAAGAGGGAGAGCTAGAACGACTATACATGCAGCATTCGCATCTTAATCTCGGTTCTACTACCGTCGTGTCGATTCAATTCTTACCTCGGCGTTCACTGCCTTGCAAATCAACAAGCAACAAGCAAGGTACTTCTGTGGGATTTTATTGAGGGCTTTGCCGCAAACGACATCCAGAAGCGCATGCATAAGCTATGGGCCTGATCAACTATTAGAGTTTCTGCGTTTAGCATCATCGCGAGGCACATGTTCACGTCCATACGCGCACACGACCTGCATGCAAAGCAGGTGAACGATCTGAGAAGAGTTTGCCAGCTACAATCCAGAGGTATCACTTACCACGCACAGCTCAAGTCACCACGAGTCTACGAGTGAAAGCTCGAGACAACCAAGCAAGGCGTACTTCTACATTTGGAAAGATAAAGCGGTCCGTACCGTACCGTTGCTGACTTACCTCCGTTGTGCGCCCCCTCCTTGAGATCGTTTATGAACCGGTTCCAAGCTGCGAGGCAAAGAAGAAACGGACCGGGTCATTTGTAAGTGGCGACCTTCGGAATTTTGTCATGCCGGCTGAAACAGGCTACCCGGATGTCACCTTCAACTTGCAGGCTACTCCTTATTCTAGAGTAGTATAAATTATAATAAAACGACAGAAGCCTTGGTGGTATTCATGGGCCGTGTCGCCGCCAGATGTCAGTCAGATTTCGAGCCGTACAGCTCCATTGCACTCTTAAAATTTATGCCTCCCCATCTTAGACGGTGGAGTTGTGCTTGAGGTGTTCTGTGGCACAGCAGTAAAAATAATTCATCACTCATCATCCTGGGGTGCGCCTTCACTCATGAGCTGGCAGAATCCTTCACAGGTTTCGCGATGTTGATCGTGGTGAGTCGAATTGGGTGGAATCTTTCTGCTAACGGACACTAGGAAGGGTTATCAGTGCTTCAGTGGGACGAGTGAGGTTCGTTCTCTAGAACTGAGGTTGAAAAGGGTACACGTGATACTAATTAGCTCCTTTGGTGCTTGTAATATGGCGTTTCTTGCCATGGCGCTTAAGTCTCATTGCCCCCAAAAACCACCAGCTTACCCCCCATATCCTGCCGTGCCTGCCGGGCGACCTTGATGGCCTTCAAGTACGCATCCTTGGCCTCCTCAAATCGCTTTGCTGCGTCCAGCAGTGTCTGAGGCCCGTTCGCCATATCCACACACCCATGTTGTTCCCCTGTCGCAAAACGCATTGCTCAGGCAGGAACAAGATCACTGCTGCAGATCTTCATCTACATAACGGCTGAGACTTTGAGCACGGTTCCTCTGCACGGTGCCCTCAATTACCAAACGTCTTCAAGTTGAAGGATTGGAGATGAGAGTTGAGATTTCGGACCTCAGCAAAGTCGTCCTGAAGGTGAGCAAGTCCCGGCGCACTGTTGGAGCACTGTTGTTGTGGAGAACTGTGCTGAGAATCATCTTAGTGATATTCAGAAGAACGGAGAAAGGAAAGAGTTGCAACCTACTTGCAGAGTCCATCTCCTTCTTCAGGCTTTCCGCAGCGTCCTCCAAGGTCTTCTGCTTGGACAAGGCCGCCTGTTTGCACACCTCGTACTCCTTGACGGTGATGCGTTTCTGCTCATTGCTGAGGCCCTGCTTTCCACGCAGCTCCGAGCTGGCTTCACCCTCCGCCTGCTGCTCTTTCTCTTTCGGAACGGGTGCAGTCTGATCTCCTTTCCTCCAACGCACCCTTGTCAAACAGCCCCCGCTGTCCTCTTCTCGGCAATCATTCAGCTCGCCAAGAAGAGTGCCTTGAGGCTCTTCCACCTCCCTCCGCTGCAACAAGGGCTGCCTTAGGCGTGGTGTCTAAACTGTTTTCTAGTGTCAGCCAGATCACCGCAATTTACGACAGGGGACAGCCCCGGCCCCCCCCGGGGGCCAAACAGGGGTCTATAGGGTGCTGAAAACAGCCCCAAGGCTGGTGGCGACAGGGGACAGGGGCAGGGGTGGGGGGGGAGGCCTTGCGGTGATCTGGTTCGGGCTTGAAAACGGTTCTGACACCACGCCTTATGTCCATCTCCTCACTCAGACCGCGCGTCTCTAGTGACCAGGTGCCGTCGCCCCGGACCAGCCAGCTCCTTTACGTGTACGCTTACGTCCACATGTACAGGTCATAAGCTGGTAGGCTGAAGTACTGTTCAGCCCTCTGGCAGTGCTCTCAAATTTTCAAATGCAGCCCCCCGAATGACCGCGGAATGTTCCCTGGCGGCACCCTTTATAGAGAGCTGCTAGCGTCCTCTGATCCTCCACGGGCCACGATGGGCTAGGTACAATCGAACTTAGAATCGTGCCAGTGATGCGATCGCGTCGGATAGACGGATTTGCCGCAGGCGGCGATCCGGCGGCGGCGGCATGCGCGCCTCTCAGGGTTTGGCACGCGAAGGTTTGACGGATGATGTCACAGTCACCCGGCCCGCATTGACCGCCGGGGCCCGCGGCATAAACCGCGGGCCCTGCATTTACAAACGTACTTATACCGTACTGCTATTTGATTTCGGCACCTTCGACGCCAAAAATTTAATTATGAAACTTTCTATCTTTTCGGCAGACCTAGTATTACCAGCTAAAAAATACCGTTATCGACCATTAACGCTCCAAAATATTTTCCAGCGAAATTCGGCAGGGCACATAATTATTTATTTTTTGCCGAAAGTACGTAGCAGTACGGTATTTGCTTTTATATATTAGAGCAGTTTGACTAGGATTCGTGCTCGGGGAATCACGGAACCGCATACCGTAAAGTTTACAAAATGACACTCTCTATACTTCGATTATCCCAAACCCCCAGCTTTAACCCTGCCCGTTCCCGGGCACATCTAGGCAGTGGGCACATCCATTGGATTCTAGGAACAATCTGGTCAACGTAAATCAAGTCCCGTACAACTTGCATGGCCAGGCCGTCCTGCTGTATACCGTAGTGATCAGCAACCAGATCGCCTGTACCTGGTAAGTACCGGTACTAGTAGGCCCCGGCCGGGTCCGACACACAGTATCTTATGTACCTACGAGCCCCTTCTTTGCGCGGAGATGTCGCACGGGGTACAATGGTGTATCTATCGTGGTGCAATTGCTGAGCAGACCGGAAATAGCGGGATGCGGTTCAGCGCGTATGCACAGGAGCTGGCGCCATGCATGACCAATGAGTCACTGACTCGCGCGGTGAGTCTATGGTAGAATTTCACAACAGTATACAGCTTTTCCCCGACCAACCTGCCACTTTTAGTGTCATCTGAATTACACTATTTTCACTCTGCAACAGACTGACTAAGTTGTACTAATATTTTCACGAAAACGAGCAGGTTGGTCGGAAGAACCACACTGACCCAAAAGTCTGGCGCATGCAACTGATAATACATATACCTACCCAGACCGAGTTGAACGTTCTTGGCAGCTCATGTGCAGGGTACTGGGCACACTAGAATCACAGGCAGCAGGCGCAGAAGCAAATGCAGCTGGCAATCTGTATCAAGACATAATATTAAAATTACAGAGACACAGAGAAGCTAACAGGTGGTAAGCCCACCAAAAAGACGGAGAGGGCAGGCTTCGCTTCACACCTGCTTTCAAGTTCTTGACTGCAGTGTGTGTGGATCACAGGTAGCCGTAATCAAGACAGCTGAGGGTTGGTGGCCGGATCGAATGGATAAGTCTCCTTAATTAAGAGCTTTCAAGAAAGCCCGTGCGATTCAAAAGCGCGCATTTGGCGGGGTATAGGTATGCTGCCATTGCCAATGCCCAGACAGTGGATGGCTCAAGGATGTGGCTTGATCAACTCCAATGATCCATCCTGGGAATCAAGATCGAACTCAGCTCACCGCTGGTTGAAAGTGCAGTGAACTTATAGATCTTACTTTGGAATCTTGATCTGCTCCATCAGTGACAGCGCATCCTGGGAGGAACAAACACAGGGATCCCGGGGCTCCTAAGCGAAGGTTTTAACCGCTGCTTTGAGGCGAACTCCAACTTGAAGCAGCCGGAGTATCTGCTAACCAGCCCTGGTTAGCTGGCCAAACCTCCATTGAAAGGGCCCACAACCACCAGAAATGGTGCTGTCACTGCGCCTTCTAAAGGCGTGTTCCCGCTCTGACTCAAAGACCCCCTATGCTGCCGCCTTGGCTTCTTTCGCTGTAGCAACTCTCGCCCTTCTGGCCGCTATCCTCTTGCTGCAGAATGACTTGGGGTGGGGTCTTCCCACTGTCCTGATCCTCAACCCGGGGCCAAACCTGTGCACCTGTCAAGAGGCCAAGGCTGAGCTCCCAATCTTGGAGAGCGGGGTGGGAGTCCAAACCTTGGCTTCTGAAGTCCAAAAAGTGCACCCGGCGCTGCAACCGCTGCTGGTGAGTAGACATGGGTTGTCTTGTGGTTTAGCCTGTCTGGGTGTCTTGTCGTTCTCAGGCTCAGAGAGCCCTGATCAGAAGCCTGAGTTCAGGTTGTTGACAGTGAAAGCATTGGGTCAGTGGTCGTGACCGACAAACTTAAGTAAGTCCACCCTTCTCGTGGTCTTTCTGAGAAAGCTTCAAACCGTCTGACCAAGGGCAGATATAAATCTCTGTCCTTTGATTACGGGGGCCTTGTTGACCAGCAGGCTGGGCATATTCTTTCCTGCCCTACACAGGTGCTAAGGTGCTGCTATCCGATTTGCAGACCAAGGCTTGTTCTGTTGAACCAGAGCACTAGAGCTTGCCGCAGTCATGGTTACTAGTTGGACTTGGATAGAACGAGTCAGTGAGGGGAGGAAGAACAGTTTTTGGAGAATCAGGGGTCATTTATGATGTTATCTGAAAGCTTGCTTGGTATGAGGAGGATATGGTTGAGTAGACTGGGCAGCAAGAGACAGGGCGCTTCCCTCTTTTCCATTCACACGTCACACCGGTTCACCTGGTTAGGTACGGATAAAAGTTAGATGCCACCACTTGATCCAGCTCATGGGAGAAGCTCACCGCAAAGGAAGATCTGGTAATCTGGACAGCAAGCATACAGATGAGAATCAGCCAGTTGATCAGCAAGATAGGACTCCAGAAGGATCAAGACGGCAATTTTCAGAAGATTTGTCTATGTGACCAGGCCCAGCTAAAACTGCTTAATGACAAGCTATCTTGTTTCGTCAGCGTCACCTTGACATGCGGCTAAAAGGTCTTGGGATGAGAATGGTGTTCGCCAGTCACTGCCATGTGAGAACGTGCATTGTCGAGTGGTCCTATAGTGGGAGAGAGTCGGTTGGTTGACCTTACCCACAAATACTGGATGTCTGCAGGAAAAAGCCCAAAGAAAGTCTGAGAAGACGTTAGGAGCCTGAGCTGTCCCTGAGACTTCGTTAGTTAGTTTCCCTTCTTTATGTCTCTGACAGAAGAGGGATGAGGGGGATGTTATGTCTCTTCAATTTAGGTAAAGTAAGCTCTAGGTATAGTAAGCTCCCAGCCTAACACTAAAACCTAACCCTCAAAATCACCCGCTCCGCACCCGAACCCACCCTAACCCCCAAAACTAAACCCACTCGCCCCAGGCTGCTTGGCTTACTTCACCTGAAGCTTACTTTACCTAAATTGAAGTCTTATGGGGATGCTCTGCTTCTATTGGGAATTGATTTGAGATGCCTGACCATGAAGTCACAGAAAGGCGTAAGCGACACAGATCGTAATCCGAGGACTCTTCAGAGTTCAGTTGCCCCAGCTGGCGGTTGCAGCCATCTTGCCTGACTGAGAAATGTGCTGGTCGGTATCGAGTCGACTCGGTTAAGAACATCCCCATTCAACCCACTTCGATCGAAATCTACACCCCCAAGTAGTACGATCAGGTTCCGTCAGCTTTTTGGGACTTGCCGTCATGCACTATCGTCTCTCCTGATCAAGTTTATCGGCTTCACTCATTAACTGGCGGAACATTGTGCGCGTAAGGGCACTCGAAGAGAGGCTGACCACCTTGACCAGATATTAAACAAGACCTAACCGAGACTCTCTTTCCCTTCCAGGAGTCGCCCCCATGGAACTCCTCCCTAGTGATCGTTCCAGCTGTCTATCACGACTGGGATGCAGGCTGGCCAGAATGGACGGAGGAATTCGCTGTGCACGTGTATCAGAGGACCAATGCCTCGGCGCCCAACTACTGCGAGAACCGGGCGTTTGAGTCGGCCGTGTATCTCAAGTTCATCGTGGATTACTACCATAACCTGCCGGACCTGACAGCATTTGTGCATTCAGAGTGAGCATGCAAACCCGTCTTTCTTTGCACAGGCCTTTGTGCGGTTCACGAGGTCGATCACGGGCTGACTAGAAGCTGATCAAATGTCCAGACTCGAGTGCTGACCAGACTCTTTTAACATCTTTACTGGTCGGAAACCAGAATTGAGCCTGGTAGCCGAGCCTGGTTAGGACCCAGGTACTTTCTAGGTCCCAAATCAACGGACAGCGAATATCGTGGAGCTGGGCATTTTCCGCCCAAAGGTCCTCTCTTCTACAAATATAGCACAATACTCTACCAACCAACCTCAGTATGGCTTCCACTTGGATGATGACCGAATCGGTTGTGTTTGGCAGATTCAGTTGACACCAGGTCCGAACCTAATTCGAATCCCAACGCCCCTATGCGAAGCGGGTCTGAAAGCTTCGACTTCAGTCTCAACACGTGGATTGTCTGAACAGGTAGAACGAGAACCGTACAGCACAGCTTCCTTCCTACTCTGTGTCGCACTCGTTTGCAGCCCGCCATCTCATCCGGGCGACAATTTCATTTTGGCTCCGCTGCCTTCGTTCCAAATTACTGAACGAAGCACAAACAACCAATCAGCACACTAGCTTCCTTCAATCTGGCCTCGCACTGTCGACTTTTAAGCACTCTAGCGCAACGCCTTTTGAGTAAAACGGCTGAGTGCCCCACCTTCTTGCAGCCCGCCATCTCATCGGGAAAATATTCTCACGTGGCTCCGCTGCCCCCGCCCCAATACCTCAAAGCCCCAGGAAAAATGATAAGCACAACCTCGTCCAATCGAGATGTAGGACTTTCGCAGCGCTACCGCCAATCTTCAACCACTGCAGCGCAACCCCAGTGATCTGGTCGCCCTTCTTTCCTTCAGGCCACCATCTCATCGCGGCGACGTCTACCGAAGCCCAGAACAACCGATCCGCATACCTCTCGTCAATTAAACTGATAAAGCTTTGCAGCCACTGTCGATTTCTTTCAACTCCAGCGCAACCCCATGAATCTGGTCGCCCTTCTTTTCTGCAGCCCACCATCTCATCGCCGCGACATCTTCACGTGGCTCCGCTGCCTGCGCCCCAACTCGACGTACTCCGCCCTCAACGTTCATTGGCTGAATCACTGGCACGTGGACCGACCGCTCGAGATTCTGGGCAAGTCCAAGTTCCCCACGGGGGCTTGCCAAGTCCCACGCATTGAGGCGTGCTTCCGGAGATTTGCCGCGATCTTCGGGAAGGACCTGTCGGCGGAGCCGGGGGGGAAAGTCGAGCCCAGTTTCTACGCAAGCAACCAGTTCGTCATCAGCCGCGACGTCATCCTGCGTCACCCGTTGAGGGTATACCAAGAAGCGTATAAGTTGATTGGGTTGGAGGATCGGTGCGTGGAGGGCCCGATCGATCCGCGGGAGAACTGGGCGTTGGGGAAAGGAAATTATTGCTTGCAAGAGCCGCCGCGGGAGTGGCTCGAGGAGGGGTTCGAGAGCAAGATCGTGCAGGCGATGACGATGGAGTATCTCAATCATTACGTGTTCGAGGTCGAGGAGCTAGACGGGAAGCCGTATACGGATGAGCACTACTGCAAACAGTTTCTGAGCTCGGAGCAATGCCCCGGGAGCCCATGCGAGCAAAAAGCGCGCGCGTAGGATATAGCATGTGCAGAAATGAAAGATACGCATAAAAAGCGACCGCTCTCAGTCTAGCAAACAATTCATTTGGATTCCCCCTCCAGCTCTAGTGGCGTGTCTTTCTTTACTTTTCATCCGATCAGGCGTTCGAACCATTCGGCTGCCATGTTTCAGAGAAACGCAAAAAAGTTGTTCACAGGCTCCCAACCGCCCATAGTCAAACTTCGCAATCCGATAACACCAAAATTTTCTAGCTCTTGTCAAATACGGGGTTTTAGTGTATGTAGACGTCCAGTGCAGCTGACTCAGTTGTAGAGGTAGTGGTAACAGCAGGCCGCAGAGAGACTTGCAATGCACAGCTAGGCATCAATCAATCATCGACCGTACATGCATTCATTTGGCCATATCCACAGTACTTATCATTCACTAGCAATAGCCTGCATTCTCTCATTCATCGTCTCAGGTTCGTGCAGACAAGAACTATTTCACGTCGAGTTCTCGACATATCTGCATGGCGCAGATTATCAGCCAACCTGCGTTACGAGTCATGATGCCTCATGATAAAAAGCTAGTGACAGATATATGCGATCGAATGATCCGGTGCACCCATTCGCGAACGTACGTCAACAATAGTCTCTGCTTTGTGCGCTAATATAAAAAGTCGGGTCGATTGGCGGCGATGTCATGTGAGCTTTCATATTGCATACGCGATTTAATTGGATGGTCCGGCCCGGGACCATCCAATTTATGCGATGCACCGATCTACGCAACTTCACATAGGACATGCAAGGTTGCCGCGCGGAATTGAAGCTCACCTGGCAGCTCTTGGCCGGCCTGCATTGATTGCAATTAGCCGTGATTCCTGCATGACATGCAACCAATCATGCGCCGGAAGTGCCAAACGGCCGGGCCGCCGACTCGGCCCGTTCCGAGTAAGTTTGCAACTAGCCTTACGATGGCCACCGCATTTATCGACAAGTTACATGCAGTTGTATGCAGGCCAGCTAGTCAACTTGGAGCATGCAAGCAAAGTCTTCAAAGGCTAATTGTTAAAGTCGGGACGCTGTTATCTCAAGCAGATAGTCTTGGCCAGATCAACAGTGATCATCTAGCTAATAACTTTGTAAGTTCGAGTATACAATCTGAACGCCGGTGACTCGCGAGCCCGCAGAGGGCAATGAGCTATTCAGGTGTAAGCGTCACTAACCCGGGGCCTGTCCATCCGATCAGATACAATTGCGGTCCCTTTACATGCACCAAAAGCGTCCGTTACAAGCGAGCGTAGGAACTCAAAGGGTCTATCGCTGATGTTGCCTTGAGTAATGGCTGAATTGAGATTTTACAAAGCAACTAAACCTTAAACAGTAAACCTGATACACTAGCTTCAAGCTCACGAGTCTCATATGTTACAACCGCGAGGGTGTGATTACTCTGCTCCTTCAACGTGCAAAATACCTTCCCGCAAACTTGGGTCACTCGAACTTAATCCCTTGAGCCAGAGGCAAGTCCTTGCTGTAGTTGATCGTACTGCAAGAAGTAGAACCAGAAGTCAGAAACGATGGACGCGTGTAAGCAATTTTTGCATCCTGCGCCGAAAACCGTCTCCAAATCCACAGGAGTTGCTCTGATCCACAGCCAATTCGCTCTCTTCAACAAGACCACACCTTACTAGGTGGACAAGCAAGCTGAAACAGAGCCCTTGCCGATCGGCATTCTCGCAAACGTCAAACCAGGGATCAAAGGTTTGCCGTGTAACTGAGCGACAAAAGTCCCGGCAATTACCCCAATTGCATAAGAACGGCTCAGCACAAGCCAGAACGCAAAGCGGCCAGAACTCAACCGGCCGGAACATCGGGAACGTGGCGGTCGATTGGTAAAACTAGATTGACAAAGGCTGCGACGAGTAGGTGCCTAGCTGCGTGACGTCAGCTGACGTCATTGGGCCTCTTCTCGCGAACGCTCGGGCCGCAGCCGCTCACCACGTGGCTCGCCGCATGTACTGCTTCCACGAGTCGCTGCCGGCTTCGCGGCCGCCCCCCGTCGCCTTCTCCCCGCCAAATGCGCCGCCGATCTCGGCGCCGTTCGTGGGGATGTTGACGTTCACGATGCCGCAATCGCTGCCGTTCGGCCTGCAGCGCCGAAAGACTCAAGGAGTGAGCGTGGGAGGAAAGCGGTTTGAAACGGGTCGAAACGGGGACACTTACAGTCGAGGCTATTGTGCCTGGAAAAAAGTGATTCTACGAGAGCGCTCGGGTTCAGTTGGGATGTTGATTTAGACAAAGCGACAGTCGCAGTAGTCAGCCGTTGCGAGTCTACAGAGAGTGAGGGGACAAGAGCTTTTGGTCTGAAAAAACTCATCCGGTCTACTTGCAGATGGTTTCCAGACGGTCTTCGCCCCGCGGTTACCTGACGTGGTTTAAACATAGTCCCGCGATAGGTCGTAAAGATGCTGCTGCCCAGCTCCCGCGCCACTCGTTGCTTTGCTCTGAGCGGTAAAGGGAAGGAGCAAGACCATGAAACCTAGCTACGAGGATGTTGTAAACGAAACGACCAAAAGCAGACCCACCCAGTCCATTTGAAAATGGCTCTCCGGGTTCGTCGTAAAGATGCTGCTGCTCAACCCCCGTGGACTCGGGAGCTCATTCTGAGCAAATAATCAGGCACACTGCAGAACGGAGGGAGAGGACGGAAATATAAGGAGCCCGAACTGAGAGAACGTGAAAGACTCAGTACAACTTACCCAGTCCACTTGAAGATGGTCTCCGGGTTGGTCGTGAAGATGCTGCTGCTCAGCCCCTGCGGCACCGAATTGTTGAGCTCGATCGCCTCCTCCAAAGTCTTGAACTTCATCACGTACAAAACCGGCGCAAACAGCTCTTCCTTCACGCACCCGGCGTCGTTTGCGATCTCGACGATCGTGGCTTCGACGTAGTTCCCCTCGCGGTCGATCCTGGCACCGCCCGTCAGGATCTTCCCGCCCTAGAGGGGTTAAGGAAAAGGTTAGAGGTTGAGAAAAAGATTACGAGTCTGTTAGAAGATGCCCTGCGGAATGAACTCGGTCAGTTGATGGGAGTTAACCAACCGGACACGGCCAAGGGTCACGTTGCGTGAGAGCATGAGCAGTAATCTCGTCTTCTGCCAGGCGCTTCTCGATTAGGGTTAAAGGTCATCAGCAGAATCCTGCAGGCTTCAGAGATGAGGAATGAGCTGGTTAACGGGAAGTTGCAGGTAGCTAAGGACGAGAACTCACAGTTGATTAGCGAGACTCTGCAGAAGATAGATAGAGAGATCACAGCATCTCATTTGGTAAGAGGCTGAAGGGATCGTAAAGACAAGGGAGGGTTTATTAACCGTTCCTCAGTGGATTCAAAGGTAACGCGACAAGGGCTAACCGCAATTCCCGAAGACATGATGAAGGCGCGGATCAGCAGTTGCGTAGAAAAGTATTGCAGGGGGTGTCGTCCAAGTGTCCACTCTTGTGAATCTTACAGATCTTCTCAAAGGTTCACTCTTTGCCGAAATTTTAACTCCCGGAACCTTCAGGGTCTGAGTACGAGCATACCATCCTGCCAGCTAACACCTCAGAATTTATTGGGTCAGATCTCACCTGCGCTTTGATCTTCCCAATCCCGTCGAGGAACCGAGTCTTGGAATCCTTGGTGTGAAGCGGCCCCAACAACGTTCCTTCTTCCAGGGGATCCCCCGCCCGCACCTGCTTATACGCCTTCAGCAGCTGCGGAATGAGGGCGTCGTATGCACCCTCTTGCACGTATAACCGCCTGTGGAGCATATGCGATGGGTTTACAAACCAATACAAGGGGCTTTCGCGGACTTTTTCGGCCGCAGCTGAAGCAGGTACTTCCAGCAGCTGCGGGATGAGGGCGTCGAATGCTCCCCAGTGCCCCTATGACCGCCTGGGGGACGAAATATAGCTGATTTGTTGATATATGCCGGCGGTTTTTGGGTCGCAGCTTGAGGAATCCTTGAGGCGGAACTTCGAAAACGTCGTCTACTCCCTTTTTTGATGCAGCAAGAAGGCACCGCGCGTGCAGTCAGCTGCATGTTGGTGTCGGCTAAGGTCACGAAAGCGCCGAAGGCAACTTCTCAACTCGGCGAAGAGAGGGAAAATGGATCGATCTCCAACTCCGATGAAGCAAACTGCAGCCGTCCAAAATCCCGTCCATCGCTCATCGTCCCAACCGCAGCGAACAGAGTGGCCAGCGCACTCACGTCGACTTTTAATCTCCATATCGGTTGACTACGTATCACAGCCGACCCACGTCAAGTCTTCATCGGATGACTATGTTTCGAAGCAGAAAAACTGGGGGAGTTTCCACCGCGCACGAACAGATTATTGACCGGCAGATGGTACATCGCTGTTCCCACGAGCGCAACTAGCTTAGCATGCGGGGCGAGTTTTCAGGTGCGCGTCGTCCATAAGCGAAATTAAAGTCGGTGCTAAATACAGGAGTTTTGAAAGGGTTTGAAATGGGAAGATCAAAGGCACCGACTTTGCCGGCACGTCGTGCATCGCTGACCAGCCGCTCCCCCAACCGCGAACAGCACCGCACGCACAGCGAGCTGCAGGTCCGCATCGGCTATGACCACGCTCCATCGTTCTCTTCTTCTTGATATGCTGGATAAAACAGAGTCCCAGAGAGTCCGAGAAACCAGATGACTTCAGCTTACCGGCAGGTCGTGCATCGCTGCCCCGCCGTTCCCACAGCCGCAAACAGCGTCGCTCGCGCGGCTAGCTGCAGGTCCGCATCGTCCATGACCACAATCGCGTTGTTGCCGCTCAGCTCGAGGAGGCACCGCCCGAAGCGCGCGGCCACCTTCTGCTGCACCAGCTGGCCCACGTGGGAGCTGCCCGTAAACGACATCAGATTGATGCGCTTGTCTGCGAGAAGTAGCAAGTAGGAGTTGTTAAAGAAAATGCTTTTCCAAAGATCCCGTGTTCCTAGATTGACGTTCCCGCTGAACGAGCTAGACCACGCGAGAGCTGCCCGTAAACGACAGCAAAGTCGATGCGCTTGTCTGCGAGAAATGGTGAGAAGGAGTTGAACACCAAAATGTTTCCAAACCTCCCGCGCTCACGGATATCCTTTCTACTGAACGAGCTGGCCCACGTGGGAGCTGGTGAACGATAGCAGGTTGATGCGCTTGTCTGCGAGAATCGGTACGCAGGAGTGATCTGAGAAGATGCTTTTTCAATATTGTCAACGCTACATTATTTTCTGCTGCACCAGCTGACCCACGCGAGGACTGCCCGTAAACGACAGCAGATTGATGCGCTTGTCTGCAAATCGTAATAAGCAGGAGCGTTTACAATGACAACTGTAAATCGTGCACAGCGGACTCCAATCTGTGCGGAACTGTAAGCTCCAAAACGACGTTACTCACAAACTTGCACTGAAAACTGTAGGCTCCAGCCTTGCTTGCTCTGGGTCTATACCCACGCTGAACGAATTGAGCCGTCTAAGCTGGTTCCTCTTTTAGTCTCTATTTCCGTTTGTCCTAACTAAGTCGGTCTCGGCTCCAGCCGCTGTCCTTACCGAAGCGGACAAGGACAGCTTGTCCGACACGAGGCGGAAGGAAGACTCGCAATTCTTGACATGTTGAAACCTAAACTCTTATACAGCAACCTTTCGCTGGTCATGACTGAACGCCCAGCCTTGATGCTTCTTTGTGTCGAAACGGAACGGAACGTGCGTCTTTCACCCACCTTCTGCCATAGCCGTCCCAATCTCCGCTCCTCCACATACGCAGGTGAAGATCGCGCCCGGCAGCCCGTTTCTCTTCAGCACCTCGGCGATGATCTTGGTCGTGGCGACGGTAATGAGGGACGTCGTCGGAGCCCCTTTCCTGTAAACAGAAACAAACCTCAGTGACGTCAAACGGTGAATCATGTGTCGCTTTTTATGATCATTCCTATTCCGAAAACAGCTGATGCCGAGTTCCTGGAAACCTTGTTTTCCTCAAGATTCTGGCCGTGGAGACCATGAACAGGGACGTCGTTGGGGCGCCTTTCCTAATCGACCAACAAACTTTGATGACCTCGAACGAACTTCTTTGTCAAAAACCCCTGCTGTTACTTGGTTGCTTTGTCTGCAACTTCTTTGCCCTCAACATTGACATAAAAACGAATTTTCAAAATCGGGGGTAGAGCAATCAACTGAAATGGCTGGTAGAAGCAACAGACATTGATGCGAAGAGATCGGGAGAGCTTTTATAGGAGGGAAAAAAGGACAAAGAAAGGGTATTTTCAAGACCCCAGACCACGACGATCTTTGTCACCTTTGAAATGAGGACGTTCCGCCCAAGAACCGTGTACACTGAGCGCGAGGAAGGACTTATGTAGGAAGTGACTTTGTTGAAGAACAGTTTATTGCTTACCAGACAACAAGGTTTCCTGTCACTAATGCGATGGCAGCGTTCCACCCAAGGACCGCGTTCGGGAAGTTGAAAGCAGAGATGACGCCCACGATCCCGAGCGGATGCCACTGCTCCATCATGAAGTGGCTGGGCCGCTCGGAGGGCAGCACGGCGCCGTTCAGCATGCGGCTCAGCCCCACCGCGTAGTCGCAGATGTCCACAAACTCCTGCCAATCATGTGAGGACACGTGTCAGAAGATGAATCAGCAACCAGAGGGGATCATCTTTCCTGCATCCTTTGAAACGCAGCGCAGGCCTGTCGCCTATGGCCGCGCACTCCTGCTCAGGAAACGTTCTGAAAACCCTTTAGTTTGATTGCGGGCCGGTCCCGAAGCACAGATGTCAGTATCTACAAATGCCTGCCAAGACGGTGGTGAGGGCAGGTGAAATTGCTGACTCGTGTTCAGAGAGATTGGAGTTTGTCACATCACTTCGAAGTCCCGTCATTCTGTGCCTCCTTTTTGCAAAATTTGGCCAGCTTTCTTTGTTGTGTGCTTGAGTCCTTCACTCCAAATCATACCAACCACCGCAACCACCGTGTCACCTTAGAACACATGTGCGGAAACCCCAGCTCTAATCCAGCCAACTTGTACGAAATGGTTCCGATTAAGTGTTATAAGATCCTTGAGCTGTGAGTATCCTCCTTTCTCAGTCAGGATCACAGTCATAATCACTGTCAGGATCACAGTCAGGATCGCAGCTAAGACCAAAACTGCACAAAGCTTGGAAATGAATTGATGAGCTATAAAACAAACCTCTGCTACAAGTAACATCAAGTTTTCGTTTTAAAAGCGAAGACTAAAGCGGTCCCGCTCACCTGAACCTCCCCTATGCCCTCTGGCAGGATCTTCCCACACTCCAGGCTCACAAGCCGCCCAAGCTGGGCCAACTTCGCTCTCAATGCATCCCCAATCTGACGCACAATCTCGCCCCTCTTGGGTGCAGGAACAGCCATCCATGTCGCCTTGGCACTCTCGCACGCATTCAGTGCTTCTTCATAGTCTTGAACAGAGCCTTCTTGGACTGTGGCGATAGGTTTGTTGTTGCTGGGGCTGACTGAGGTGATGACAGGGCCTGAACCGCTCCAAGCGCCTCCCACGGCAGAGCCACCGAAGACGCCGGGGTTGTGAGCCTGGATGCCAAGGTCTGCATCCGTACAAGGACATTCTTGTTTGCAAAGCTTGATCCTGTCAGTACTTTGCAGACCACAATTTTGGCAGCCAAGATGAGCGAGACTTCTTACCATATTTCTAAAAGTAAAAGCTGACAAATCGCAGTCCCAACTCTTTGTCAGTAGCCATTTAGAGTGGTGTTTTGTGCTTTAAAAAGTATGTCCGAGGACAAGGTCTCTGAGCCAAAGCAATCACATCAAAATCATCCACTGATCCGATGTCACTGGTCTGACTGACTGCGTGAATACACTTTTTCTTAAAGCTTTTTTGGTGGTGCATCATGACCCCTTGGTCTGCACCTAGTGGTTAGTAGTCAGGCGATTAAAGACCAAACCAGGTAGCTGGAGGTTTGCTAATATGACTTTCGCATAAGGGTTTCCATTAGAGTTTTCCCAGAAATCACACAGATATCAGGAACATGGACGACGCAAACGATGGCCATCAGAGTGCTGACAGGCTTCCCTCCTCACACTCATATCATTCTTGAGTAGAACCTCAGGTGCTTGAGGGTGAAAAAGCAGGACACTGCTGATACAAATGCATCGGTCCAAAAATCACAAGACAATTACTAATAACGTGGAAACTCGACAGCTGCTCTTTCAGAAAAGCTTTGTCAACTGAAGCTCTCACTTGAGCTACAGAGGTCAGCTCAACTCGTACAACCAAGGATTCCTATCGAAATCAAACGAAAGCGCTGCCAACGTACCGGCCAGGAAAGCATGCTGTCCAAGGAGCTCGCTGTTTCCCATCCCGTTCTCCACAGCCGCCATGATTGCTACTTTTGCGAACCGCGCTTTCTTTGATTGAGCAAACCAAATCTTTATTGAGCTGCTACCGAGCGCAACTAGCGGGAAGAAAGAGAGACTGGGGCAGAGATGGATAGATGCCAGATGCTCAAGGGTCAGCTTAGAAGTTGGAAGTACGGAAGGCGAAGAGGAACTCACGTACAGGGACCAATGAGCTGCTGCTGTATTACTTGTAACTTGTAAGGCTGCCACTCTGAGTCTGAGATTTAGAACCCTAAAAAGTTGGTGAAGTTAGGTCTTCGAATCCAGTCACCATCTGAAGCGTCAAATGGCAGCTGCTGTTCATCGACGGGTCCAATGCTCACAGGTCAGCAATTTTTCAACAGTGGTAGGATATATCAAGCAGGCCCCGCTCCTCAGATTCGCCTCTAGTTCTATCCCCTAGCTGACGCAGTTCAGGTGCGGCCACGTCTGCCAGCGCAGAAGCAGCACTCTAGAGAGATCAGCAAGCGCACACTGCAGCTCAGGATTAGGGTGGCCCGTGCTTGGGCCATTGGTAGCCTTCTCTTTTCTGGATTGAAGGGGCGTGAAAGTCTGTGCGTCTGTGGATCAGTGAATACCTTGTCAGCGAGGAGGTTTTCGGCGCAGATTGTAGCCACCCACATCAACGATTGAGGTTTGACATTTGCAAGGAGAAAGTGGAAATAAAGGACGAGGAAAGGTTTTGGTGTTGCAAGGATTTGTCTAGGTTGTTTGCTTCTGCTTCACCATGTTGAAGCAGGTGGCGGCGCGGCTGCTGCCGGTCGCAGGCACCGAGCTCCGCGGGCGGTCGTTCCACACCAGCAGGCCTGCTCTGAGGATCCTCGCAAACAGCGCTCCGAGTACCACCAGAAATGAGGTATGTCTCACAAACTGGATATTGCATACTAATCAAGTGTTGTTGTCGTCTGATTCCAAGTTTGGCTTGATTGTCTGGTTTGAGGGTGCTGTATGGTTGTTTCTTCTATTGCATCCATGTACGGCAAAATGACTCATCAATCACCACAGCACACAGATTGTGTTGCTCACCCTCTTGCAAAACTTTTTTTGCAAGCATCTTGAGTAAGAATAATTGGTGGTCCAAATTAAAAAACTACGTGAATATGTCTTTTCCTAGCCTGTTTTCAAAATCACCATTGAGTTTTCTACTGAGCTTCTGTCGCTTCTTGCCCACTATTTCCTTCCCCTTAAATTGGTATGAGGAGTTCAAAGGAAACGTTGTGAAGTTTTGCATGCAGCAAGCCACTGGGTTGCTGTGGTTGAGTTGCTGTAGTTGATTGCGAAAGATAATCAATCCCTGTTGCTGTGCTTTCGTTGAGGAAGGTACATAGTATCCATTTGATAGAGGAGAGTAGATTGGGAATATAATTAGAGCGCCACTTTTTCCGTCTAAGAGAGTCGAGGTCGATGCTTTTGAGCATATGTTTCCTTGTTTCCCTGACGCTTCCAGGGCAAGTTGTTGTAAGGCATACACCACTCCTCTTACCTTGGATGTGATGGAGGGATTAGGCCAAAAAGTTGAGCTGACTTGCATAACAAGTTAAGCGGATCCAACTAGAACAGAAGAAGTTAAGATGTATTATTTCAATTCATGTTTCCAGACTCCTTGTCTCATCTCATGCAGAAAGTGGTTGCGCTGTGCAGTCAACGCCGTACATTTTCTTCAGAACGATATACCAGGGTTGATCGTTAACTTGCTTCATCGAAACTGTGACTTGTTGTCTGCAGGCTGGTGGACCTGCCGCCTACCCGATTGTGGACCATACTTATGATGCGGTGGTTGTGGGAGCCGGTGGTGCGGGACTGAGGGCCGCTATTGGATTGTCTGAAGGAGGCTTCAACACTGCCTGCATCACAAAGCTCTTTCCGACAAGATCCCACACGGTGGCCGCACAGGTGAAGGCTCATTGTTGCTGTTATTCTTTGATGTGGGAGGATTTTTTGTTGAACTTCATGTAATATTGTAGTTCTTGACTAAAGCGTGTGTCTGCTTGGTGCTTCGGTTGCCCAGAAAGCTGACCAAAAACAGAAAAAAGTGTTCGGAGGAGGCTCTATTGTAAGATCGCGATTTGCGCTGCAAAGTTAGGCCTCATCAGACCCATCTTGTCAATGTTGCATACTGATGAGGTTAACAGTGTTGCTGCCACTTGGAAATTAAAGAAACACGTTACAAGTTGTGAAACCCTTGCTTCCCCAGTTTTCGCTTTTTCAGTAAGTCACAGGAAAGTGGCTTCTTGGCAGGTTGCCACTTTTCCACTTAGGCACCTTAGGCTCCTGTCCTCATTGAAAGAGAGGAAGAAAGAAAGGTGTGTGCTGCATTCCTGGCCGGGGCTCGAATGACTGGCGGTGGTTCAACGCGGGGCGTTTCACTATTCTCATGGAGCCTCAGCAATAGCTTTTACTTCTGATTAGTCATATTGTTGCTAGCAACATATGAACATCTGCCCGCATTTGCTTATTGTGCAGGGGGGCATCAACGCTGCCCTTGGCAACATGAGCGAGGACGACTGGCGGTGGCACGCATACGACACAATCAAGGGCAGTGACTGGCTGGGCGATCAGGATGCCATCCAATACATGTGCAGAGAGGCCCCAAAGGCGGTGTACGAGCTGGAGAACTACGGGCTGCCGTTTTCCCGGACGGATGAGGGCAAGATCTATCAGCGCGCGTTCGGTGGCCAGAGCCTTGAGTTCGGCAAGGGTGGTCAGGCATACAGGTGCGTTCCGACTATGTACGATTCTGACTGGTTGGACTAGAATACGCAGAGGTTGTTATGGGAGCAAGGTCTCGGCCAGGATCGGGAACGAGTCATATGAACAAATACATAGGGATGAGTGAGACCGACTTGGTTTGAAGGATTCGAATGGACGGGATTGTGGGCATCGACTCTGCTGTATCTTCAATTCCTCAATTCATAGAAGGTTGGTCCTTCGATTGTAGTTTCTCTTTTAACTTGTCGTCCTTTTCCATTATAAAACCTCACTTTGCAGGAATATGGCCCTGCCGACCGCCACCAGCTCGCCCTGCTGTAGACTCCCGCAGTCACAGTTCCTCGTGTATAAAATCATGCCTGATCGTAGCTTCTTCTAGTCAAAAGTTTACATCATATTTCTTACTTGCGAGGCCGTCACCAACGTCCTCTTGTTTCGCTTATTCTTCAGGTGCGCGGCTGCCGCCGACCGCACCGGTCACGCCCTGCTGCACACCCTGTACGGCCAGGCGCTGCGTCACAACACGCAGTTCTTCGTCGAGTTCTTCGCTCTCGACCTGATCATGGACGAGGACGGCTCCTGCCGCGGCGTCATCGCTCTCAACATGGAGGACGGGACGATCCACCGCTTCCGGGCTCACGAGACGATCCTGACGACCGGCGGCTATGGCCGCGCCTACTTCTCAGCGACGTCAGCGCACACGTGCACGGGCGACGGGAACGCGATGGCTGCCCGTGCGGGGATCCCCCTCCAGGTGGGTCTCCTTCTGCGATGTAGCAGGGACGATTTGTTCCTGAGAGGAAGTGGACAGTTTTGTTCCTGCCTTGTAGGAAGGAAAAGAACAAGCGAAATAGGATTGGTCTATCAAGTTTACACGCAAGCTTCAGAGTGCTGTATGACTCCAGATTGCGCAAACAAGCATTGACGGCGTTCTGAAACTCATGGAAGCGCGGATTGTTTCTAATTTCTCAAAAGGAAAGAGCAGTGTTTAGGTTTGTTAAGTCATGGGCTTGGCGCGTTCACAGTAGTCTGAAGAGGAATTACTGTCTGCAACATCATCAGCCGCGCCAAAATGGTAGTTTCGTCCACGAACGAGCTCCTGCATAGTCCCCAAGGAAATGATTTTCAAACCAGGCTCGCTCGCTCGCTTCTTGCCCACGGTCGCCTACTCCATTCTACTCCACTTCGACTATTCTAACTCTTCTCTCTTCGTTCTTCCAGTTCAACAAGTCTCGTGTCTCTGGTATCACTTGCAGGACCTTGAGTTCGTCCAATTCCATCCTACCGGTATCTACGGCGCCGGTTGCCTCATCACCGAGGGCTCCCGAGGAGAGGGCGGTATCTTGAGGAACAGCGAGGGCGAGCGGTTCATGGAGCGGTATGCCCCAACGGCGAAGGATCTGGCGTCGAGAGACGTGGTGTCCCGGTCGATGACGATGGAGATCCGGGAGGGGCGCGGAGTTGGTAAGGCTGCTATGCGAAGAGCAGAAGTCTGTGCTTCGATAGGAGAGGTTCCCGTTCTTTGCGTTTCACCATGTTCTTGACACTGGATTGATCCCGAAGAATTTTGTCCACCGACCCCTATTTGAAGCGCGAAAAGCAACATGCATGTTTCCTCTGGCAGGCCCCCTGAAGGACCACATCTACCTCCACCTGAACCACCTCCCCCCCGAGGTCCTAAAAGAGCGCCTTCCCGGCATCTCCGAAACCGCCGCCATCTTTGCCGGCGTTGACGTCACCAAGGAGCCCATCCCCGTCCTTCCAACCGTGCACTACAACATGGGGGGTATTCCCACTAACTACCACGGCGAGGTGGTCAATCCCAAGAAGGGCGACCCTGACGCACTGGTCCCGGGCCTGATGGCCGCCGGCGAGGCCGCGTGCGCGTCGGTGCACGGCGCGAACCGGCTGGGCGCGAACTCGCTGCTGGACATCGTCGTCTTTGGGCGGGCGTGCGGGCTGCGGGTTGCGGAGAAGCACAAGCCAGGTGGGTGGAGAGTCTGGGGGTTTTGGGTTTACTGTGAGGTGCAGTCGCTGAATGGATTGCACTTGCGGAAAAGTGACAAGGTCGGTCCATGGATGAAGCTTCTGGTTTAGGTGCTTGAAGGTGCGCTCCCATGTCAGCAAGTTTGAGGTCTTTCTTTGCTGCTCATCATCAATCAAGACAGGAAATTGCGTCCGTCCGAATTGTTGAAAAGCCCGCTGTCAGGACTTTGGTAACGGCAGACTGGCCCAAGGTCACATATGTACCATTGACATCGCATGTGAGTACGGTTTACCTTGATGACAGACGTGCTGATAAGCTGGTTCTAGAAAAAGCGGCAGGCATGTTGAAGGAGCCGGTTCACGTACCCTTCAAACGTCTCCGTGATTAGCCTCAAGACTATATCCGACTGGTTTTGCATTCCACACACATCGCCACGTCACTCGCTCATTCGACCGGCTTGCACACCAGGTTGCAGGGTTTTACTTAGTCAAGTGCTCTACGTGATTGAACACGAAACATGTTTATCCTTTCTCTTCTTGGACTGTCGTCTTTCCCATATCCATCCTGGCTGCTCTCTTTAAAACCCGTTTTCACACCAGTTTCTACGCCTCATACTCGCTACATACGTCAATCATTGACGTCCTGCAAAATGCCACTGCAGGCGCGTCCCACAAGCCCCTCCCCAAGAACGCCGGCGAGGCGACGATCGCGGCGCTCGACCGCGTGCGCTTCGCGTCAGGCGACCTGACCACCGCAGAGATTCGGAACCGCATGCAGCGCGTGATGCAGAACAACGCGGCCGTGTTCCGCACGCAGGAGACGCTCGAGGAGGGCTGCCAACTCATCGACGAGACGGTCAAGAGCTACGAGCGCGTCAAGACGGCCGACCGGAGCCTTGTCTGGTGAGCCCTTGGTTGATCTTTGTATGGTTTAGAATGCGGTTGTCCGGATGTCTGTGGGCCCTTGGTTTATCTCTTAGGTAGTTCGTACTTCATTCTCTGTTTGCAAGTAACGAGGTTCTAGTTGGCGCTGGGATTGCGGTTTTGGAGTTGCCGTTTCAGTGACGAGCGTGTTCTGATGATGACGCCGACCGGAACCATTGGCAGAGGTAGTTCTACAACCTTGAGTTGTTTGTGAGGGTGTGTGATGTGTGTCTTTTGTTCGTGTGCGCGGTGTTGTAACGTCAGGTGTGTGGGGTGTCCGTCTCTTGTGTAGAATCGTGTTGTTTCTCTTGTCCGCCTGTCAGGTTTCGAGGTATGACGGCAATGGCGATTGTTGATGTGCTGCCCATTTAGAACGTGCTTCGGTGCTTGTCGCCTCTGCAAAATAGTATGGACAGGTCTGCTCCGAGCCTTCTTTTTGAGCGGGGGTGTGGTCGATTTGATGTCTTAGCTTGGCTTGCAAGCGGCTCATAAATTCTCTCGGCGTTACTTATCCTGGTGCGTTCTTTAGTGCATAACCCAGAACGTCGAGTTGCCTCGGCAAAATCCTTTTTCAGTGCGTATTTTGACAGGCTGTTTGAAGGGTCATGGCAGTGCTGCCGCCCTGAAGGTACATTGCGGACCTGGATTCACGCTTCCTGTCTGAGGCATTCAGCGAATCGCACGCTGTCAAAGCATGAGTCGTTGTTAAGCTCTTATGCGTCAGGACCGTTGGCTGATGTTGTCCAACTTCTTTGATCAGGAACACTGATCTCACCGAGACGCTGGAGCTGGAGAACCTGTTGATCAACGCGTCCATCACCATGCACTCTGCCGAAGCCCGCAAGGAGAGCCGCGGAGCACACGCTCGGGAGGACTTCACAAAGAGGGACGATGAGCATTGGATGAAGCACACCGTCGCTTTCTGGAAGGATGGGAAGGTGGAGCTCGATTATAGGCCGGTTCACAGCCACCCCCTGGACGACGAGATGGAGTATGTACCACCAAAGGCCCGTGTGTATTGATTGAGCTTTGTTGCAAAGAGGTTGAGGGCAAGCTCGTTTGACCTATTCATAAATCATAAAACCAGTACAACAAATGCAGTCACGATTGAAGGACAATGTTATCAACTCACATTTTGTGCATTAGGCTTGCAACAATACAGACGAATCTGGCAAGCTATTACTGTGACACAGTAACAAGCTTCTTAGCAGCAGTGCCGGCCACGAGCTTCATGTCTGCACATGCTATGTATGGTACATTAATTGAGTTATAACATCAACATGTAGCGCGTTGTGTTGGTTTGATGGTTCATACCAAGTTCCCGCCACCTACTCGAGCCTGGGCAACAAATGATTTGGCACAAGAAACAACTTCACTTAAAGTATGTCTGAATTTTGAAGGGCTCAGTGGGGCGGTGATGTATGGACGTACTGTTATTTACTTGAAGTGGCAGCGGGGTACAGGTATTCTACAGGCCCCTTTCTCTCAAGGCCTCAGCCCCCCCCCCCCTCCTCCGCGGCCTAGCCTAAGGAAAAGGGCCACAAGCCTCGATCTAGCTGGCCTTACAGGTGGCCAAAGCGGGTAAGAAAGGCCGGAAAATATTTGCCCCCAATTTTTGGTTAAAACATCGGCCGGGCTACGCCCCGGCGAGAGGGCTCAAGCCCCCCCCCAACCCCCTCCCACCTTAGCCCAGCAGATCAAGCCCCAGCCCCTCCCCCCCATCAGAATTCCTACCCCGCTCCAGGCCGGCCCCCCACAATTCAAAATACCTCAATCACACGTAATTTGGATACGCCTAATTGTTGCAATAAGTTCATCATGGCGTGGCCTTGACGACGTAGCAATTATTTCATGATGACGTCATCAATATGCAGTGACAACTGGCATCCTTCATGGCCGGAATCTGGAGGAACCAAGTTTGCGTCCGTCCATAAAAATACATTTCTCATCGACGGTATGCAATACCGGGGTAGGTTTGCCTTGACACCGTCCGATCAGAACAATATTCATCGAGCGGAGGCGAACGCTCTGTTTCCAGGATTTTCGCGGCACACTCCCCTCGGTTCCCTGCGCTGGCAGCAGCTGACTGGTTCATTTTCTCCTCCTGCCACTGGACCTTGACCATTCTTGGAATCTCTTCTTGACATGAGTCCACAGGAGTCCAGGCGTCAGACCATCAGTGCACTGTGCATGACATCTTTCCACCACCTTTCGCATCACCTGTAATACCTGATTCCTGAAACTGAAGCTCGTCCACCTGGAGTTCCCAGCGGCAACGCTGCTTGGACGAGAAACGAAACCCCAGTTCTTTAGCTGCTTTGTTCCTCGGCCCTTGTTGCGTTGCTGCTGTGTCCGCTTCCCTTCTTCGTCTCATCCCCGTCTCATCGCTTTGGTCTGTTCCATCACGCCAAAGTCTGCACACATGGCGGAGCCTCGGGTTCAGGCTGTCCCTGTAGCCCAACCCGCTTACCCTGCGGCTGCAGCGTCCCCTTATGGCATCCCTCCCCCAAAGCACCCCACGGCAGCGTATGACACAGGGGCCAACAGGGATGTGAAGAAGCTCTCGCTCGTGACTTCGCTGCTGAGAGTCCTGCAAGTCCTCTTTGCATTGATAGGTTTTTCGGTGAGTCTTTTACTCAGCTTGTCAACTTCTGAGTGGTCCAACACGAAAATTATTGGAAGTTGATGTCATCGCTTCGTATTGAAAGCCATGGAGAGGTTCCTCATTTTACCTTGAGCTCTTGAGCGGTAACATTGCTTTAAGCTTCATGACAGGACTGGGTATGCACTTTCTGTTGCCTAAGAAATGCGACACTTCCTCGTATGAAGCAAACAAAAAACTTCTTTGTCTTGCGCCACTGCATTTATGTGCCCTCTCCAACTTTGTTCTGAAAGAATGCTTCCTTCTACAGGCCTTTATCTTGTACACATTGTCTCCAGAATCTCGTTTGTTTGTATCTCTCCATGTAGCTTGTCGCCCTATGGGCAGTTTAGTACACTCCAGACTGCACACGTAGGCGCCTGATAATGAAGTTGTTCCGCTCTTTCAATAGGTGTAAACAGTGTTTCATCACTCCTGTGACCTTGTGCGTCTGCGTTGTCCCAAGAGATTATGTACAACTTTGCAGAGAGTCGACTTGAAATTCAAAATAGTAACATTGGTCTCAGGGAAGTTTTATCAAGCACTGAAACCACTCAAAAGAAGTGCTATTGTACCATCCTGCGAGTTTTAAGCCAAGGTGCAAGGTGCTGGGGATTTGGAGAATCAGTTTGTGGAAGTCCGCGTTGCTTTGAGATTGTGCTTTGGTGCGGACTAGGTTTTTTTAGAAGTTTCCAAGGGCATTTTAAGGCAGTGGACCAGCAGAAGCGAGGTAAATGCCCAACCCTAACGTCCAGATTTAGCAAATTCAGGTCATCTCGAAACAGACTCTTGAACCACTGGTGGGACCCATTGTCTGCACAGCAATCGTTGCTAGTGTGGCGCGTGGTAGTTTATACGGACCCCTGCGGTTGTTTCCCAAAGTAGGTCAAGGTGTCGCCAGCTCTTGGGATTCCATCCCTCCCTGGCTAATGCGTATGAAGTAGACACCACCTGACCGAGTCTGACTACTGCCAGGAGTACTGGTGTTTGGTCGGTAAATCGAAAATAGCAACTTTATGAAGTTGCAATAGCTGGGGATTGGGAAATTGAGCTGCAAGATAATATTTTCCAAGCAAATTTTTTGCGTGGTGCTCTGCTATTCAGAGGGAGGAAGGGGATCTTTTTCGAGCAGATAAGCTGGCTGTTCCGTTAGATAATCACAGATTGTTGTTGAATATCAGATCATCAAAGAACTGGTATAGATCCCAGCCTAAGTTAAAGGCAGTGGCAGCTTCGTGCAAGTCAATGCATCCGCATGAACAAGCCTGGGGTTTAGATCTTTGGAATGATTAATCACTTTGGTCACAAATTAAATGACTTCATGCATCGATCTCTCCAACTGTACACTACCCCAATGCCGAACGATCAACATCTTGCCCAACGTAGAATTCATTTTACGTGAGGATCACTATGTATCTGTCATTCCAACTCAACAAACTGATCTGAAGCACTTCCAATCGACCAAGCCCTGCGTGTGGGGTGGCGTTGAAGTTTGTCAAGGGTATAGACTGGCACTCGTCTATTTGGTCTCCGTGTTTGGGAAGTACTTTGCGAGCCAGGGGGCTATTTCCTGGTCCGCGGGAACTGCTATTGGTCCAGTTGTTTACCTAGATCACTTACCTGAGTACAAATTTTTGAAGTATCTATCGCCGATTGTCTGCAGATCATGGCAGCGTCCAAGGTTGGGGGCCTCACGTGGGAGGATGTGAAGGCCTACAAGTTCTGTCTCTCCATGCTTGTCATTGTCTTTGTTTGGGCGCTCATCTTGGCAGTCCTTGAGCTCTTGGAGGCCTTCGCAAAGATGGCGGTTGGCGGAGGCGTCAAGCCTTTCATCGTCGCTCTTGGAGATCTGGTGAGTTCTTTGTGTGACACTTCTCGATGGGCTCGGCCTTCTTTGCTGAGGCCCTTCGCAACTTGACGATTGTGTGTTCTGTGCTTCCACTAAAGGCAGATGTCGTCAGAGACTCGTGTCATGCTGTCCTTCATTTGGTGCTTGTGTTCTTGCACATGTATGAACCCTCAAGCACACGGAAGGTTTTCAAAAGCATCTCCATGCGCATCCACAGTTCGTCTCGAGATTGATTATAAATTCTGGTGCAGATCTTGGCTTTTCTCCTGTTTGGAGCCGCTTGCGCTGCTGCCACTGTCGACACAGACTTCCTAAGCGGCACTCCAAGCGAGTTCAGTTCCAAAGTACGCGCCGCAACCGCGTTCGCATTCCTCACGTGGTTTGTGCTGGTGCCTACCATGGTCATCAACTTGGCCCTGGTAGCTAGCGAGTTTTTCAGCTCGTAGTTAACCTTAAAGGTTTTATTGTCTAGCAACCACGTATAAACCCGGTCTTGTACCATCTATGCCCGGTTGCGGCTGAGGATAGCGCTTCAAAGGTTGACATGCAAGACCATTGACCATCACAGATTGAGGCTAAAAACCGTTGTCTAGGTGTCGCGTAGGTTTGCGTACGTTGCTCACTACTTGGTCTTAGTTGTTGTCCGAGTCAACCGAGGGTCGCTTTTGGATAGCAAAAGCAAATCTGTTTGAATGGCCGTGATATGACGCATTCTGATATGATTAAGGGCATCGCAGCTATGCTAGCCTAGACATTTAGCTTCATAGGCGTTACAAGGGCCTAACCCATGAAACTACCAGACGTTTGAACATTTTCTATTCTGTACGAATTGTTGACAGAGAGACTCCAGATGTGATTGCAGTCGTTTGTTCCTAGATTTCGGTCGATTTGAGCTCTCCAAGAAAGGCCTCACGCTTAAGGTCCTATGAAAGACTCTGGCGCGGCCACTCTTGATCCCAGTTGTTGCAAAGGTATAGTACCGACGTAGATGATGAAGCTCCGATTAACTTGGCTGGGGGAAAAGATCATTATATATACGGTCAAATCGTGTGGCCTTCCAACCATGCGAGTATGCCATCTGGCATATGGGTAGAAGTGACGCCGACGCAGGCATCATTGGCGCGCGTAGTACGTACCCCATGCTGTAGCCTTAGTGACAGCAACAATGCAGCACTGTAATTGCAGAAAAAAGCATCCGGATCCTATGTATCTTGGTCAAATATATCCAGCTAGCCACTGACCCCGCAGTGACACGTACGGGAATACGAAGCTTTGCATCTCGATCCTACAGCTCCTCAGGCTCAGGGGCGATTCGCGCCCGCCAACTTTCCAATACTTTTGCGGGTGCGAATCGCCCCTCACTGCCCTCAGGCTCAGGCTGCATGCCGCTGTGCAGCTGTGCGGTTCGGTAGTAGGACTACCCCGGCCGGGCCTGTGTGCAAAAGTATCTACATGGTGTACTGAAATACAGCTGGTTAACCAAAGAAAGGTTTGCCGGCCCAGGAACCGGCATTCTATCACTGACGGCATTGCTGGCTTCATGCTGTGCTGCATGATACCAGCCGCCCGGCGACGGTTGACGGTTGTTTGCACACACGGCCGTGTCACATCAACAGCGGCCGGTTTGCGAAACCAAGGTCCAACCCGTCTTCTTTGGCGCCAAATTGCATGAATGCTGGATCGCAGTGAACTGTGAAGGCTAGCTCAGGCTAGCTGGTGAGGCAGCATTCTGATATGATATGTACGTACCGTGTTATACATTGCTTCTTCTACAATAAGACAATCAAGATAAAGTCATGATGGGGAAGGAATGGCTGTCCTGCAGAGCAGAGTCTTACATTACGCATGTCCAAGTCGCCATGTAATGCTGGCAGGTCTGCTGCTCGGCTGCTTATAAGTTGTTTCGCTTCTTTGCAAGGACGCCAAAATGACTTCAAAAGGACAAGCTTCTCTCAGAGGCTCGGCCCAACCTCCAAAAAAGAAACAAAGGGTCAAGGGACCTGCGGGCACTCTAATCATGGACCAATTCTTCCGCCAGGTCCTGAGTGGGAAGAAGGTTCCAGAAACACTGATCCCACCAGATGCTGATCAACTGGAAGAGAACAAGAAGAGCTCAGCTGGCGAAAAGCTTGCAAGGTTGTTTGAGTTAGGGAGGGTGCTAAATTTGCAGAGCAGCGCAGGGCTTGGAATCCCCGCAGGGGTGACGCATGCTGACATCATCGCTGAGCTGGACAAGCGGCTGACAGACCACTTGGATGCAATGTATGACCAGCTGCACCATTTCGATGTGCAGACCCTTGATCAGCGGGACGGAACTCTGACAATAAGGTCTGGCTTGGGCTCTCACGTGACCAAGATGGAATTTGTGGACATGTTTCTGAGGACGGCAACCAACCCCACCCTCTCCAAGCAGATGCTCCAGGAGAGGGTGAAAAAGTACGGAGAGGATAATAGAATCGTTCCAGCGCCAGCGCCGACGAAAGATAGCAGCCACTTAGCCCGCTTCAACCCTGGGTTTGATGCAAGTGCACCAGTTGGATCTAAGGCGGCACAGAACGTTCATCAGGCGCGCTGTGATGTGCTGACCAGCGAATGCTGTCAGATCTATGGAACGGCTGCCAGCGGGGATGGGAGCTTGATAGCAATCGCAGTGAGGACAACGACACTTTCATTGTTTAAACATTATCTCATTTTGTCGATTGTAATTTCATGGACAAAAACATTCTCAGTGTTGAAGGCTTGAAAATATAGGATGATATGAGCAGTAGATGCAACTAGGTTGCACTAAGAGTACTCATTGTAGTCCCTGACACTTGCCTCAGCTGCCTTAAAATGGTTGCCTTCGTTTCTTGGAGTTTCGAAACTTCCGTTCTGTGGTAGGTTTCAGGCCCTTGATGTGCATCTCGTAGCTTCGTAGTGTGACCAAACCAAAGAAGTGCTCATCTGCACAGGTTTTTTTAACTCAAACCCTTGGTGTGCAATATTTTTGCCTGAGGTTCATTAATTAAGAGGAGTCCAGTGTTCGTCTGCGCGTACTTCGTTTATGTAATATAAAGCAGAGGACTTTTGTCGATGTTGAAATCTTTGCTGGCAAATATTGCCGGCATCGCCTTGCGATACCAGGTTTTAAAACACCTGTCCGCTAAACACTAACTGTCTTTGATTCCCCAGGGTGGAGCAGGCTGGAAGGACCGCGCTCCTGCTTTGGAGATTGCAAAGAGAAGAGGGCCTGATGACGAACCCAAGACGTCCACCCGCGACCCAGACTTCAAGCTGGAGTATGAAACTCCTGGTTTCTGGGAGCCAGGTACTCTCGAAGAAGCTACAAGTCCTGTTCCTTCAGGACGTGCTAGAAGTGTTGTTGGATGAAACGACGTTCAGGAGAGGACCCTTCACATCGCATTTCAGATTAGTGCCAACTTACGAACTTCTCTGAGTACCTTCGTGTCTTGAACAGGCCTCAGCTTATAGCATACTGACCCTCGTCATGGTCATTGTGATACTCCAAACTTTCTGATGGCGTTCTCATCTGAGAATGACAATCAACAGCTTGTACAACTGAAAGGAAATGGCTTTAAAGAAACCGTACCCTCAGAAAAGCTCCACATTCATGTTGCAATCTTTCAAAGCAGAGTGAGGTGATTTAGTGTGCTTTCCGCGCTTTAATATCTCCGATACGTGACAGCTAAATCTTACGGGATTTGTGAGCGGGCTATTTTTCCAACTCTTGAATGGTCCAGGCAATGAAAGGAAGTCAGGTAACCACCGTTGAGCTTCCGCTCTATCCTCGATAAATCCTCGTGCCAATAAGACAAAAGAGGAACAACGCGCTGACCTACATTGGCGAACCTTCGAATCCCAAAACACTTCCCTTTTTTCATCTTCAGGTCATGCCACGTGCGTCGACAGCGAGCGAGAACTCGTGTGGATCGCCGGCGATAACCGCGTCAAAGCATTCGCTATGGAAGACGAAGCCGTCTCGTGCCAGTACACGCTGCAAACAGGAGGTCGGGTTAAAGGGCTAACCATGGTTGGTGACCGGCTATTTGCATCCGTGGGGAAGGAAGTGAAGTACTGGGACGTTGGCTCGGTCGAAAAGCACGTGAAAGACGTTTCGGGCATGCGCATCGAGGTTCGTAAGCAGATGACTCTATTTTGAGTGTTTTGGTGCTGCTCTGCATTCCAGAGCGGGTGGAGATCTTTCGGCATCGACTTACATCAATCTAGTTCCCGCTTGCGCTGTTGATTCAAGGTTCAATCCAATTTGATTGATAGGTTTGCTTCTCAACTAAAGTGAGTCAAGAGTCCTGTTTGCATCTTAGGAGCGCAGTCAGCTTTGTAAGTCTGGCTTTTCTATCGAGCACATAGGGTCCGAAACTCTCTTGTCTTTGATGTTGATTCATGTCGGCCGAGGTCTCCCTCTTCCAATCTGCAACATGTATATCTAACCTTTCTGGTGATCGAGCTGCTTTGAAGTCGTCGCTTAATTCGCAGCAATTCTTCATTTTTAACGACTCCCCGTCAGAAGCAGCTAACCCGACCTTCGCATGACGCCTGAGGAAGAGGACTTTAAGTACCCATGATAAAGTTTTCGTTGACTCTTGGAGTATGTTCTCCGCAGGGGATCCTGCACGATCCAAAAACCACGAAGGAAAAGGAAGAGAGGATCCGGGCGAAGTACGAAGTCTGGTTCGAGTGCCACGACCTGGTAAGCCCCAGCGAATCCACCCGAGTCGTTTCGTTGAGGATGGATGGCGATCTCAAGAACACAAGAACTCTCTTGTGAACGGGCAACCCTTATTTCTCTCAGCGCACCCGGATGTCTTCTTTCTTCGAAAGCCCTCTGGCTTTCGTACGAGCCTATATTTGTTTGTCATTTTCAGATTGAGGATCGCCGCGCATTTGGTTTTGGTGCTTAAGCACCCGCTGTTAGTGTTTCGTATACCTTGCCAAGTCGGATCTCCGGTTGCACGGATTGACGATCATGGGAAACTTAGAATGCGAAACACTGCAAAGCTTTTCAGGTTTTCTCCGAGGTCTACCCAGAAGCAGGCAGTATCTGACGTTACAGAGGCCACCGAAACTGAGAATTGCTGAAGTATTTGCTCTGCTTTCCTTGGAATGTTTCTCTGGAACATTACTTTTCTGCAAACCCAGAAACGCTGAAACGCCGATAACCTATAAATGTCAAGTCTGCCAAGAATGGCGGAAAACGCCAATCATCAAAACGTTTAATGTGTTCGAGACACGTTAAAAACGTCGAATCCTTGATACCCGTGCGCTTCAGGGCGAGATCGACACGGAAGCAGGTGCTTCTAACACTACAATAGCTGCAGAACTTTGAACTGCTGAAATCCCTACTGCTCTGTTTCCCTTATCGCTTCACATCCTGCAAATCTCGAGGTTTTTATAACCTAGATTGTAATTGTAGAATTGTAATTCTGCAACAGGACGAGAACGACGCGGAAAACACCGAAGCCACGCGCGGCCACGACCCGCACGGCTCCCTCTCCCTCGGCTTCTCCGTCGAGCGTTTCCTCGCCCTTCCGGCTTCCGTTTCCGGCTTCGAGGGCGCCGCCGCGGCCACAAAAACGGACGGCTACGGAGTGTACGTGTGCGACATGGAGCGTGCGACGATTCGGACGCGTCTCTTCGGACACACGGGCGGCGTCGAGCAGATGAGCGCGAGCGCAGCGCTGCCGAACCTGCTGGCGTCAGCGAGTCGGGACACGACGGTGAAGCTGTGGGATCTGCGGACGAGGGGCGCAGTTTGTACGCTCCAGGTGAGCCCGGAGCGTCCGGACCGGAAAGCGGCTGGAAAGTGCCGGGAAAGTGACGGGCAAGGGTCCGGAACGGTCTGAAAAATGGCCGGAAAGGGTCCGAAAAGCGTCTGGAAAGCGTTCGGAAAGCGGCCGAAAGCCGCCGGAAAGGGTCCCGAAAGGGTCCGGAAAGCGTCAAAAGACGGCCGCTTCTAGAACAGGATTGAAAAAGGTCCCGAAGCGTCTGAGAAGGGTCCGGAAAGGGTCTTCAAAGTCTGCTGAGGCGAGAATGCAACGAAAACTCGGGTTTTCCGGACTTCTAAGGTTCTAGATTGGTGGCTTTGAGATTGTTTGGTGGTGAGGGGATCTGCCGACGAGAGGGCGCCACGTGCCCCTTCGGCGTCCAAGTTAAAAACCCTGGGCTTGTGGTTTTTCAAGTTTTGAAATTCTCTCATGTATTCTGGTTTATCTCCTCACATTGAATCTGAATTTCTTCTCAGATACTGCGGCTTCGACCAATCGGGCGTCGCGCTTATTCCGAAGGCGGCTACCCCTTTGACTTTACCGGGGAACAGAACGAGTTCTGCTCTGTGACGCATGCTGTTGACCAAGCACACTAATCACCTGAATACCACCGGCCAATAAGACCCATCGTGACCGCTGTACAGTATATTTTCAATCTTCAAGCCTTTCATTTTCTTGTCAGGGCTTACTCGGCTTCGTGCAATGGGGCGTTGCGCTCGTTTCCGAAGGCGGCTATCCGTTCTGCTTCACCGGGGGCCAGAACGAGTCCGTTCTGGCGTGGGACCTGCGGATGCTGCGGAACCTGTACGAGCTGAGCACCGGAAACACCGCCGTCCGGTCCCTCTACTGGAACGGAACGGCCCACTCCTTGCTAGCGGTAACGGAATGCGACTACTTCGACCGGCTCGGGAACGCGATAGGGTACGAGGAGACGTACGATTACAACGGGACAGACGACGAGCTTTTCGATGACGAGGGAGAGGAAGGGGATGAGGAAGAAGGGTACGGGCGAAACGGAGAGAAAGAAGAGCCGTATAGGTGGCCCAAGGAAGCTGCGCACACGGCCAAGGACTTCGCCGTGACGTGGGATGCGGGGCGACACCTTTTCATTCAGTATTCGTTTAAGCGACACCCGGGGCATTGCTTGCCGGACGCGGCTAATCAAGAGTGGGCTTAGGGTTTGCGCAGCAGTACCATGTGGACGATGCGGGTATAGGTTGTGAGGTTTTGAGCTAGTGTAAAGAGTCTCAAGACTGACATGCTCCTGACTGAAAGCAAGGACTTTTTTGCAACAGGCCCGCTCTCTCGGTATCATTACGCAGGAGAGACAACGTGGAATGCCAAAGGAGTGCCTAGAAGAGCTTTACCTGTTCAAAGCTTGCTAGGTGAACCGGGCCGTCGTTCTCTTTCGCCTGCATGACTAACCTTCCTCTTTCAAGCTCTGCGCGCGTGTTGCGCCAGCTCGATATAAAATCTCATATAAAAATGCCGACGTACACACTGCGGTATGGCGACGTGCGGCTCCACTTGCACTGCATATTACCGGGCGCGCTGCCGCCAGGCTGGCCCCATATCGGCGAGCTGCAAGTCGGTTGCCAGACTGAGAAAGCTGTGGGTCCGAATCACGTGCAAGGAATCCTGGCATCATAAGAGCACATTAACTAGTAAGTCACTGCTCGATCATTGTACTTTGAGCCTACTTCTTGTTGCACCGCACAACCACGCAGGCCGGCTTGCCAGCGGCATTTGGGTTGCCCTAGCCTCAATCATTATGTCGCAGAGACTGTATCAGTTAGTGTACACAGATATTGAATCGTGCATGCACCTTCTTATAACGTCAACAAAATTACAAGAGCACAATTGCAACACGTAAACTTGCCTCGATCATTCCATGCATCAGACGTTTTGCATGTCTGGCATGAAGGTTTCAAGCTGGGCCAAAATTCTGTAAAAACGTAGCCGTACAGCGCGCTAGCAGGCCCGCGGCACCAACGGGGCGCGGGCCCCTGGCAACCGCACTCCATGGTACAAGCGGCCGGTCACTGGGTCCTCTGGCATCATTATACATGGCTACAGTATCACGTCACGTGTGGCCGATCGGGCTCAGTCATTTAGGACTAGACACGATAAATCTACTTGATCATTGAATTGCCTGTTCGTACAGCCTGCCGAAGCGCAAAGTCCACAGAGATCTGCCATGATCCCTACTGTTAGAATACACAATCAATGCAGGCGTTGCTCTTACAACTTCGAGAGTTACTCCGTGGATCGGATGTTTCTCAAACGCGGTGGTCGGGGCCCGGCCATGTGACTGTGATCCGGAGTCACAAATTATTGATGGAAGATTGTATCGATAACTTATCCTCTGATTAGTGGTTCAGATCAATCAACATCAAATTTTCTGCATTACTTTATGGATTTAGGAGGTGGCTAAGCTTGTTTTACACTTTGACGCTACACTTAACCGCTTAGTCCATTCTTTCAATCTTACACTCTTTCGTACGGTTCTATAAGCTGATGAGGAGACGAAGCCACTGCTTTTCAATCTCTCAATCGAGCAAACAATGGGTTAAGAACCGGCGATCTTTGAGCAACCTTCTCAATCATGTACTATTTCAGATGAGGGCTTTCCGCGACAGTCGCCGTGCCTGAGCCGGAGGCGGCTGAGCAGGGTTAATGGGCGGGGACTCGGTGTTAGGGGTCGGCTTAGGCGTTTTCACGGTTGGCTGGGTCGGAGTCGGTTGAGGAGGGGAAGTTTCTGTGGGAGTCGGGGCAAAAGTTTCCGGTTGACGAGTGAATATCGGGGGGAACGTCTCCGGGAGAAGTGTACGCATTGGGGGCCCGGTAGGGATGGTCGGGCTCCCGGTTGACGGAGCGTGCGTCATCGGGGGTTGAGGAGAGGCTTCGGTGGGCTTGGGCGTC